GACCTCCCCATTGGACAATCCAGTAAAGATGAAAAATAATTGAACTTTCCTCTACGTATAGATGAGAAACTAGGAAGAAAATAATTGAGGAAATGAAAATTATTATTGGCACATCATACCATAAAAAAACACTAGCAAATGGTCTAAGCAGCTAAAAGAGAAGATTGTGAACAATCATTAAAATAGAATAATTAGGTCCCCCCCCCCCCCCCAAACCATGATTAATGAACTTGACATATATTGTAGAATACTCAAAGTAGTTATCTGACAACTTGTCCATAAAATGTGAACTTGTCACATGATTCTCCCATGATCCAAAGAAATATACGCAATAAAAATCCTTGAAAATGCTCCGATCCAGGTTTAGTGGTAGAAATTCTTAGATTACAAGAATTCACAAAGTAAAGGGAGGCGAATGGAATAGTCATCCTTGGTTATCGATTGCAATGCTCCTCATGATGAAACTCCATTGGTAGTTTGTGTTGAAATTAATTAATTGCCTCTATACTGAGGTTTATAGCAATTAACAAATTATCGATTTTTTTATGATATTTTATTTAAATATAATCATGATAAATTTGTCAAAACTTACACACTGACATGGGAAATGACGGTGATCCAAGCCAAAGAATTTCAAGGTCTCAACTTCTTCATGACTTGGAATTGACAATAGTAAAGGTAACGAGATTGTGCTGATGAGCTCACAAATTAAATGAATTTTAACAAATTAAGTTTGCTTAAATAACTCAAATATATCAAGTTATAAATACTAAAATTATTCTTTTCATTTATAATTAATTTCGCTCAGATTTTTAATATTGACATTAATAGCATTAGTCCCCTAAACATAATCTATTAAGACCTCTTGGATTTGTATTTTCAATTTGCTTTCAATAAAAAAATTGATTAGAGACTAGGTCATAATTGATTAGTGAGTCTTTGAGGGACATCCTTTTTTAATTGGGTGAGGAATCCCAAGATTGTGACAACATATCATGACTAATACTTTTATTTGGTGGGAAATTTTTTTCAAATTATACTTGAGGATTAAACATACAAGTCAATCACACGTGATTAATGACTAAACTAAAATAAATAGAACTTACTTTTATCTTCAACTATTTTAATTTCCTAAATTCAATTATTGTGTGTTTGAATTATTTTTCAAAAGTGTTTTTTTATGTGAAAGGTGCACAACTCAAGCCATGAGAGAGGAGAATAGATTCTAACTTTATATTACAATACTAATTCTAGTTTCAATCTATCACGAGTCCTAGGTTATTTAAAACAAATCTCATTATAAATTGTAAGTTAAAATATTTATATTGTTTAAAACATAAAAACATATTTAATAAAATTATTATAAGTTAATATTTATATATAAAAATATGCGTTTAGTCTATTTATAATTTGTTTGATGTAATATAACTCTAAATTTAAAAATTAAAATTTAACCGAATCAAATAAAATATAATCTTTTAGTTAAGAATTTGGTTAACTTATAATTTCTTTAGCATCCACTAATCGTTTGACACATTTAACATTTTGAAGATGCAAAGTTTATTTTAACTAATGTATTTTTCTGGAAAGAGCATGCAAATAGAATCTTACATTAATTAAACTAGGGAACATGCGTCAACAATACTTCATCCTCTGAAGTACAAGTTGTCAACTTTATCATAAATTCAAAGTCATGCACACGGCTAGAGGGAAATTGCATCTTAATATTCACGCCAAGGAAATATAATAAGGATTTTGCTTACGAATAAGTAATTAATAATAAAAAATATATTAAAATATATTTATTATATTTTTATAATTTTAATATAATAATTATATATGTTTATAAAAAAATTTATTTATAAATATTTAAACTCAGTCATGAAAACTAAAATTAACAAAACTCATATAATAAAGTACTGAAAATTTTATATATAATAAAAATATAATTCTAAATCTTTCTATTTATAAATGTGCTTAATTATTATTTTATGTAGTATTTTAAGATAATAAATCCAGGTATTTTTTAAATATTTTTTATAAAATAATAAAAATATAAGAAAAATTAATAATAAAGTTAACTACAACTCTCTTTTATTTATTCTTTATTCGCCTTAAAATGATGACACAGCACAAACATGTCTTACTTAAACTTGTCTACCCCGAAGATTTGTTTTTCTATTAAAAGTATTGTATACTTAATTAGGTAAGAAATATTTCTAAAATAATCTATTTAATTTTAATTATATAAAAATCATAGTTTATGATAAGCTTGTAAAATAACATAAAATTACGAGAAATACTTAAAGTATGCTTGTTTCTAATTTTTAAAAACTAAAAATACACATGTTTTTATAATTAATTATTAAGAACAAAATAAAAATTAACCAAAAATAGCCAATAATTTTTTTGTGATAGATTTTAATATATTTAATTTTAAATAATATATTTTTATAAAAATTAACCATAAATTTTAAAATCTTTTTTTAAAACAAATATCAGATTAAATAGAATTTTTAACAGTTTTTTTATACATAATCAGAAAAAATAATTTATTCCAAATATACTTTTGTATTTAAAAAAAAATCTTGCGCATGGTGATTAATTTTTACGCATGATTTACACGCATAAAAAAAAGTTTTATGTAAAATTCAGAGTGAGTTTCATATATACTTAATTAATAAATGTGTGAAAATATCTGAATTTGGTGATTAAATTGAAATTATATTTTCTATTGAATGGATGCACGAAATTTAAGAATATTATTATTTACACAATTTTGGAGACGTAGTAGCACATGGTGTGCCTTTTTTGACCAAAGGAACCAATTTCTAGGGAACCTGCAAATTTATGAACACGTTGCAATGTCAGTGATGTTAAATTATTTGTTCGATTCTTTTAATGTGGGTAAAGAACATTAAAAAAAAATAACGATATTTTACAAATTTATAACATTTAATGTTATTATCAGATATTTAGTGTATTAAATTATAAAAAACTATTATTCAGTATTATTAGATGTACATTTAAAATTTTATTATTCATTTATAATTTTTAAAAATTAATTTAATAAATCATGCAATATATATATATATATATAATTTAATAATAAAAATGATATTTTCTAAATATAAAAATCAAAATATATAAATATTTACAAAAAATTATTAATATTTGTTAAATAACACTTTCATTTATAATATAAAATTAATTAATTATTGATAAAGTGAGATATTTTTCTTAGTTTAAAAATAGACTTGAATTAAAATTATACTGATAGTATAATAATTTTTTACATCTTGTTTAATTATAAAATATTATATAAAATTTTAAAGTTTTAATAATTGATATAAAAATTTAAATTTTTGTATAATTTAATTAACAATATAAAATTAGGTGCATATCGAATTAAATATGATTAAGAATATTTTATTAAGATAGATTAAAATATGTTATATTAATAAATTTATTAAATAAATTTCAAATAATTTATGAAAGCATAATTTATTTTCATGACGTATTTATAAGCCCTTCCAAAGATATTAGTTTTCCAATAATATGTTATTGAATTTTGATGTAGTAGTAGTAGTGGTGGATGCCATTGGAATATTGATTAATTGGTATATGAGAAATCCTTAAGAAAATTTGAACCACATGTATGATATGTTTAAAATAATAAATAAAACTTAATGACTATTTATTTTGAAAACTTAGAACATCGTGCATTATATGTCTCATCACGGATGATTTATGTTTTTCTATGTACTGATTAAAGTTACAATGAATACATGCTTTTTATTTTCTATACTAATTTAAATGTTTATCTTAATTGTGTGTGTGAAATTTTGTAAAATCTTGTAATTTCTTAGGCCTCTGTTTCTTTTGCATAGGTTCATGTATGCATGCTATAAGGACAAGTTTTCAAAAGATTAAACTTTAAAATAATAATATTTTTTATAAAATATTACTAAACAAAGTAAATGATTATAATATATTAATTTATTAACTATATAAAAAAGTAAATTTTTTTACTAATATAAAATAATAATTTATCTGAAAATATTATATTAATTAACTATGATATATTCACGAGATAAATTAGATTTGTATTAAAAATTAGTATCAAACAATAAAATAGTAACATTTTAATAAAAAAATCAATTATCTAATAAATATACTATAGTCAAGTAATATAAAGTTTAATTGAACTATTAACATTTAATATATTATTTTTTATTAAATAAACAATATGTCGTGTTTATTTAATAAATACAACGTTTAATATTAATGTACAATTCATTTTATTTTTATATAATTTATTAAATTATTTTATTTGTATACAAACATATAATAAAATCTTATTTATGACAAATTTTTTTATTGTAAATCCTAAAATATCAAAGAATTCAATGAATTAATAACGTTAGTTATATATTTTTGTTGTTCTTATTTATATGTTTAGAGAAAAATTATTTATATTTATCTATGAATATAGCTATTTAAGACAAAATTAATTGTTAATATTTCACTAATATTGTTTTATTTATTTAAAATATTTATATTATTTAAACAGTGTAAAAATAAAAAGATATATTAATAAAGAATAAATAAATAAGTTAGCAATTAATTTTAATAAAATATTATTTTTTATTTGTGTCATTTCTTACAATATTTCATCGGATAAAAATTATCTGGTTTAATGAAAAATTATAACATTTAATAATATCAATATATTAAAATTTATAATTTTAAATAAAAATATAGTAATATAAAGTTTTATATATAATGTTATATTAATTATAAAAATATTTAAAATATAATACATATTTTTAATAAAAATATGATTTTGATGTGCTAAAAATGAATCTTAAAGATTGAATGTTAACACTTCCTAGTTATTTTCGATCTTGTATCTAAATTGTAAATAACAAAAAAACGATGAAAATAAAAACTTAAACGTGCTGAAAGGGTTGTTTGGAAAAAAATATGCGATGACTCCAAACATAGGAAGACGCTTTATATTTCAATGATTCATTCCATTTGCTTAGGAGAAGTGCTTCCATTCCCTTTTCCCTCCCTCGCTTTCTCTGGTCAGTTTTCATTTCACCCCTTTCATTTTCCTTTGCATTTCCCATTTCTTCATTCCACATTTGAAGCTTCCCTCCATGCTATTATGCTTCAACAAATTATTTGTTAATATTGAGATTGAACTTTTGTTTTTATTTACAAATATTCCCTTTTTTTTTCCTCCAAAAGCGCATCATTATATGCTTTTACTTTCCGGATCCGGTTGCATTTTTGTAGCAAAGTTTCCTTTTTGATCTTACCCTTTAAAGTGTTTGTGTTTGGTTTTTGAGTGGTCTTTCCGCAGTGGGAATGATAAAATTCTCGTGTGCAATTTTGTGTGTTTGTATTCAGAGGTGCTGTGCACGTGTTGATTGAAGTTTCATTTTATGCGAGGTTATAGCACAATTGGGTTTCTAGCTCTAGCTTCAAATTTGAGGTTTTGGCATGGATCCTCTGGTTCATGACCTATATTTGTGTTGTGCGGATGCTATGCTATAAGCATTCTACTTTGTATTTGTGTTTTTTTATAAAGATTGGATGGATTGTTGCTGTTTAGATCAATGGAAATCAATATTCTGGAGTATTCTTTTTGGCGTTGTTTTAAACTCAAGTTGATAGGTTTTTGTGCTTTTGAATTAAAGAGAGGATCAGTGAGTTGAAAGATTCCAATTTTTATTATTCTTTCCAGTGAACTGGCTTTTTCCGTTGATTTGTCTTCTGCATTTTTCAGCTGTCAGTTACGAAATATTGCGTTCAGTGCTTATTTGTGGACAGGAACATCAATTTTATTTTACTTGGTTGGTGAGACGCAACTGAAATACTTGCTGTGATTTATAGATGTTTATGTGTGTTAATAGACAGGCCCCGGCACAAACCTTGAATTCAGTAATGTATAACACTTATTTTTTTATAGATATTGACCAGTTTGGTGTATACCACGGGGTGATTTGAATTGGTATAACTTACAAGTATAATTTGTACTTTTGATAATCTCTTACGATGGTTTAATTTAAGTAATTAAAGTACTTAAGGGCTCCTTCTAATGTTGATTTGTTTTCGGAGGTTGTGGTTTTTATTTGGTTTCAGGGGTTTAAGCTTAAAACTGATGTTGCAAGTCTATGAATGTGTGTTTTCACTTAAGAGACTTTCAGTAATAGCTGAAACTTATGTCTGTGATAGATTGATTGGGTTCTGCTAGTGATTTGTGTAGGAAAATAATTTCAGAAGTTTGATTATTTGTCGTATTCAACCACAAAAATAGGATTTGGTACAAAGAAAATGAATAACATCTTATTTTTAATCAGGTTGTTTGATTATACTGGTGATTGACTCTTAATTGTGTCGAAGTTTTTTAATTTCTAAGGTGAACTGAACTCTGTTTAAACAATGCTTTCTACTAATAGTCAAAGGTGAAAAGCAGCCTTAAGGCACTAGTAGGTTTTAAACTGTAAGATGAGACCATGTGAGGCGTTAAAACGTGCATGCCCCACCGTAGAAAGGGCACCTAAAAAATGAGGATAACTGCAAAATATTGACCGTTTTGTGTTAATTTTCCACATAGATTAACTAATCGAGCTTAGCATTCTTATTAAAAACAAATAAAACAATGACCATATTAGCTGGTTACTTTTACTAGTCCAAATGACTGACAACTTGTTTTTGTTTTTTTTAGAAGCCTTGCTTCTTCTTCTTGTTCTGTTTTTCTCCCAGTTATCAGTAAGCTCTGAACACTAAAGGCATGCCTGAAATAAAAATTGGAAACAGTGGTTTATTAACTTGATTGATTATTACCATTTATGTCCTTTGATTCCCTCTTTGTTTCAAATATAGCTTTTAAGTACAGTTCAATTTTCCCTTTTTCTGCTTCCTTCATGGGTGCTTGTTTGTTTTCCATTTTCATGCTTTTATGTAAAAAGATTGTTTTCTTCTTCATAACTTCAGATCAATTAGTGTGTTTGATTTGGACGCCGCTTAGAAAAATGTATCCTTTCACTGTAAAATACATTTACAGCTCTGGCCATTTCTTGTCAGTTAATTAATTTGCATTGTGAATTCCCTTTTGAATTTGTTCAAGTTGGTTTTTTTATCTTGAAGTTCAATCTGATTTTTATTTTTTTTCAACTGGTCATGTGGCTAATTCCTTTATTTATTTGGTCTTGTTCTTGTTCAAAGTTCAGCAGGTTGTGCTGAGGCTTAACTAGTCCTTGAAGCATATTTCAGAGTTTTATCATAGAGAGAATGGGTTATATTGGGGCTCATGGTGTTGCAGCTCTTCATAGATACAAATATAGTGGAGTAGATCATTCCTATCTGGCCAAATATGTTCTACAGCCGTTTTGGACTCGCTTTGTTAATTTTTTCCCCCTATGGATGCCGTGAGTACTTTTATCATTTGGAACTAAAGTTCTTTCGTTGTTTTGACTTACTTATTTGATAAAAATATAAATATCTTTCCACTTCAAGGATTATAAATCATATAATGAATTTGGGCAGATTGAGTGTTATTATTCTAACCATGGAAAATTTTCTCTTGTAAATATTATGTTATTACTATTATTGTTGCTGTTACTTGATACTATCATTATCAGTTTGAACTTTTAATGGACATGCACAATGTTCACTATAGCCTTAGGACTACACAATCTTTTCCTATATTAGTAATATAGATCTTGGTTTATAAATGAATGGCTGGTTTATTTGCATTGCTAGTGTTCCTTTAATGACTTAAAAATGCTTTATACAGCCATCATTAGAGTATTACCTGCCAGATCATTTACTCTTTGGCAATACTTTGGTTTATTTTTTCTACAACTTTATTTTGAGTTCTGACTAAGTAACTTGTCCCTTTTGCTTTTTATTTATCACCACCTCTTGGCATTTGGCGAATCTTTGCAGTCCAAACATGGTACACCTTTGCCTCCTTTCTTATTGTAGTGTCATCTGTGATTGTTACTGTTATAAAAAACTATAACCTTGGCACTGATGATTCATAAATTGTTTGGTTACAGATAACTCTTACAGGATTTATGTTCTTACTAGTGTCTGCATTGCTTGGTTATGTAAGTGGAACCGAAGTCCTTTAGTATTTATACTTCTTAAAGTTCAAGTCATAACAGTTATCATTCCAATGCATCACTTTATCTCTCATTTTCGTGAAATTAAAGAAAGCAATTTGCAATTATTTAAACAAGTATATGAAGCGTTTATAAGATTGTTGGTTAATTTCACTCTATTGATACTTTCTTTCTGGAACTGTTCTTTACATGGTTAGTGAAGGGGAATCATAATAGTCAATAGCGGCCATAGAGGCCTCTATTGCGGTGGAGCAGAGCGCACAGCACCGCAATGGAGACCCAAATAGCGTTGTGGTTCAGAGGAGTGTCTGTCGTGCCGCGGATTGCAGCCATAAATGGCGGAAATCGCTACTGTTGCTGCCGCCGTTTTATTCTTGCAGAAATTTTGAACTTTCCCTTTGTTTCTGAATGTTGGGTGACTTTTAAGAGTGACAATCTTGGGATTTCGTCTCCCTCTTGTTTTTTGTTTTCTGATATCTTTTCCCTCTCTCTTTTGCGGCCCTAAGTTTTTCATTTCATCTCTCAGCTCTCCTCTCATTTCATCTTTATTCTCTATGATTCCACTGCCTTTGGTGGCCTTCATCTCTGATGAGGCTTCTTACATGACATAGACGTTCTTCGGTTATCTTCTTCTACATCTCCGGTTGTCTTCTTTTAGTTTAACAAAGCTTCCAACGTTACCCAAATATTTTTCTGTCATTTTCTACATCTCTGGCGAACTTTCCAGCAAATCTGCATGTTTTCCAGTGACTAAACATTTGTTTTTTATATTTCCTTCTCTGTTTTGATTCTCTTACTCTGTTCTGTTTCAAATTTCAAAACTTAAAGTAGAAGCGATGATTGCTCCTGCATCCTTCTTTGTTATTTATTTCCTTCTCTGATTTGAGTTTTTCTTTTTTGTTTTGTTTTAAATTTGTGTAATAATTTTGTATTTTTTGGATGTATATGTGTGTATTAAAACTTCAGAATAACTATCATCTTGTTACTGCTATCCCTGCTATAGCATTTATGAGGTTGGCTGCTCCGCGCTGCTATTCAAGATTGACTACTATGAGGGGAATATGGATATAGTGTGAATGGCTGTGGTGAAATTCCTAGACACATTATGCATAAATTTCTTTATTTATTGATTTTTCAGATATACTCACCTCAATTGGACTCAGCTCCTCCAAGATGGGTTCATTTTGCTCATGGCCTACTTCTATTTTTATACCAGGTTTGATTATATTCTCAAACTGAAATACTTGTTTACTTCATTTTCATTTTGACTTCTATCTTTATGTTGCATAGCCCTGTTTTCCTGTCTTGATGGCAAACAGCCTAATAAGTTTTACTTATGCTATCATTTGCCTTGAATCTTGATCTCATTCCAAGCACACCATATTTGCTCTATTGAATCTCGGATATCATGGCTGTGGTGTTGTTTCACAATGAATCTAAATGATTTGAATTCCAGAATTTGTCAAATGCTTATGCCTGGATTTATAATGATTGAAGCCTTTTAGTTTTATATTTATGATTGTTTGACATTATCGAAATTCTTGAAGTGAGTCTGAAGCATGTTTACAATTACATTTGACCTTCTGTTTCTTATTCCAGAGGAATTCTCAGAAAAAAGGAATCTATATTTGAACATTTTTATCTTTTCCACAATGCCTTTGCGATTATTTATACCCTAGCAGGTTTTGTTGTTCCACATGCAGTTTTTGCCTGACAACTTAGCCAGACTCTTATATTTTATCCATGGAAGAAGTTTACTACATGATGCCTAAGTTTCCATATTTTGCTGTAATTATTTTGGTTGTTGTTTTCTTGTATGTGTTTGTGCACGCTAGACATTTGATGCTGTTGATGGGAAGCAAGCTAGACGAACAAATTCTTCAAGCCCATTGGGGGAGCTCTTTGATCATGGTAATTTTCCTGCACTATGCTGTTCATTATATTGCTTTTCATTAAGCATATTATTAACGAAGATATTTTCAACTGTGTGTGCAGGGTGTGATGCACTTGCTTGTACAGTATGTCTCTTTTAACTTTGGACATTATTTTTAAATTGTTGAAAGAAAATATAGATGATCATCTTTGAGAGCTTCTTTTCAGTTTGAAGCATTGGCTTTTGGGAGCACAGCCATGTGTGGAAGAAGTACTTTCTGGTGGTGGTTAATATCAGCAATTACATTTTATGGTGCAACCTGGGAGCAGTAAGTTATCATGTTAAATTAATACATGATAGTCAGAAGACGTGTTATATTACATATATATATATATATATATATTTATTTTATTTTTTTTTTCCTTTTCTTAAACTGTTTTTTTAAGCTTTAATAGAAAGTCGTACAGTACTATACATTGCAGTCTGTGCTGAACATAAAAATTAGTTTTTGCTTCCCCCTCTATCAAATAAAAAATGGCTCTAAGTTCTAAATGAATTGTAATAGTCAGTAAAAATAAATTTTGCATTGACTCTGGAAAATGATTATATGTTCTCCTGTTTATACTGTTGTATTTTTATGGAATATCTCTTAATCTGAAGCCAACATCTTTCCTTTTGTAAAACCATACCATTGGCAATTTGGCATGATTATATATTTTAATACTATATTTCATACACACTGTTACACAGACTAGGAATATTGATTTTCTTTTGAATATTGTTTTGGATGCAGCTATTTCACCAATACTCTAATACTGCCTGTTGTAAATGGACCTACAGAGGGTCTTATGCTAATATACGCCTGTCACTTTTTCACTGCCATTGTGGGTACGGACTTTCCTTGTGTTTATACATACACTCACAGCTACAAAGTTTAAAATCTGATGCATGTTATTTATGTTATTATTTTTAATATTATTGTACAGGTGCTGAGTGGTGGGCTCAGCAATTTGAGAAGTCCGTGCCATTTTTAAATTGGATTCCTTTTATGGGGGGTATGACTCGTTCATTATATTCTTTCTAAGTTTTGGACCAAAAAGAAATGTCTCTATTCTTCAATGCTATATGTGATAATTATTATACTTTTCTAAGTTTCATACTACTACTAAGAAGTATTTTTGGTATTTCCTTTTCAGAAGTTTTTTCATGCATTTGGAGACAACCTTTTGTACATTTGATTATTTCTTTTTACATGAAAAAATATTAGATTTACATCAATATGCCTTCATTTTCAGTCCAACTATTAATTTTGCATGCTCACTGGATACCCTGATGTTCTTGTTGGTCAAGATGCTTGATAGTGTGTTATATGAGCTTCAGATTTGGGTAAAAATATACAACAGGGACATATCTAATTGGAGTTAACTTACCCATAAGTGGGGAAATCATCTGTATGGCTCGATTAGATCTTTAGAACTGTTTGGATGTATATATTTTTATCTAATTTTCTAGTCTTCAGCTATGTAGAATATGTTCTTAACTTCAATGTCTGGAATGCCAGTTTTTTCCTCTCAAATTCTTTGCTATATGTACTGCAGTATGTTCTTTACTTCAATGTCTGGTCTGGATAGCCAAATTTTTCTTCTCTTATTAGTGTATATCCCTTTATTTTGAACTCCTCAATTTATATTTATTTTTTGTGTATCTTTTCATTTCTTCTTAACTAGTGAGAATCCATGCAATCACTAAGATCATATTGTTGGTAGAAACCAACAGATACCGAAAAGATCTTACCACGTTTATTAATACTTATGACTACATGGGTGCATCTGGTTTTATTTTCATTTTCAGTTGACACTGTTTTACTACTACTTACAAAAGTGCCTCCTTGTTTTCACTGTTTCCTACTTTAAAGAATTTGCAAAGGAAATGGTGAAAACAACAAAATATTGTGTTCTCCACTTTTGCAAAATCAAGAAGCAGAGTGAAAACAAAAAGCAATTAAAAAACATATCAATTTAAAAATAAAAACAAATATCAAACTGATCACAATCTTATATATTCATTCTTGTGTACTTCACTTGTCTGATAAACTTGGACGAATAAAGTTAAGGTTGTGTAGTCCAAATAACATAAACAATCAAGGCAGGTTCCATTGCTTGTTCAGTATGAACTGAGCTAAATGACCTTTGGGCAGTGTAGTAGAGCTCAACTTAAAAATTATTGGTTTTTAGAGTCAATATTCTCTTCTTATAAATTACTGCTTGACTTAGTTTTCTTTCTGGATTTCAGGAATCCCAACATTCCAAGCTGTATTGATTTTAATGATAGCTTTTGGTGTTACGCCAACTGTCACTTGCAAGTATGTATAGCTAAAACTGTTAGTTAAATTTTCTCTAGCTAGCCATTGGCATAAACTTTGTGTGTTTAAATTTTCTCTAGCTAGCCATTGGCATAAACTTTGTGTGTTCTTTTCTAACTCAGATATTTTCTTTTAAGTTGAACTATACCATTTGGTTGTTTTCTTGTTACTAGTTATACTCATAGCATTGAAGGACTGCAACTGTAGATCCAAATTATTAGAATCCTAACTCATAATATGCTAGGATATTTTTAAGTTTCTTAGATGATCTTGTAGGAGTGGTTTCTTGATTTCATTGTATTTGTTGATTTGTTTCCTTATTTGATTTGATTAGGATTTTGAATACTAGTTCTTACATAGATGGGGACTAGTACTTCAGATTTTGTATCACATTATAATAAATCATAATGTTCTGATATTTTGAATCTCTATTCACCCTATTTTTTTCCTTACCTAAACCCTATAATTTCAACATGGTATCAAAGTTAGTCTGTGTATTCTTTTTTTGTAAAGAGGTCTAGGGGAGTTATTATGCATAAGTTATCAGGTTATTGAAGTTTTAATATATATGGGTTGAAGTACCCCTTGCACTCTATATTAGTATATTATACCTTATCTGAAAAAATAATTTCAGCTTGATGTCAACGGTTTTTGTATGAAATTTTTTAAAATAGATCTATTTGATAAGAACCTTCAAACCAACGGTTGGATTGATTAATTTCTCATTCTATGAAAAGTTATTAAGTAGTGTAAGTATTCAAGTGTGAAACTTGGTGTCGATGAATCATGACTTATGTGTGTGTAGCATAATCTACAATAAGTGTATGTCAAATCTTCAAAATAGTGGTCATTTTGCTATCATCTGTCCTGCAATTGTATTTTTGGTGTTTGCCGCTTTGCACTGTTGTATGGGATTGACAACGTTTCATAATAGATTAATATTTTTATATTATCTTAGAATAATTTAGACTCTTAGATAAATTCTTAGGAGAGGCTTCCATATTTCATTATATTTCTGGATTTGTTTCCTTTTTTAAAATTAAGATTAGAGTATAATATGAGTATAAATAAGGGGCAAGTGCTTTATATTTTGTATCACATCATATTACCCCATATCAATTTAATATCATATTATTTTGAGTCTATTCTTTTTCTCCTTCCTTACCTAAACCTGAAATCTCAATTAAATCTCTTCATCTATGATAGAAACCAAGAGTTTATGATAGTTAAGTACAAAATGATCCTTATGTTTCTATAGCCCGTTATCCTTAATTTATTTGATGGTCAACATTATCTTTTGTCCATACAGTGTTTGCAATGTTTACAAGGTTGTGAAGGCAAGAAATGGAAGCATGCCACTTGCATTGGCAATGGTAATACTTTTTTCATATTGAAAATTCTTTCTCTAAAATCTGGTTGCTTTGTTGATGTGTGCTTTTTCTTGGGCAGCTTTACCCATTTGTTATTCTTGTCGGAGGAGTGCTTATGTGGTATAACTTAACTCAAGATGCACTATTTTTTTACATTCTATTATTCTTTCGTTCATATAAGCACTTGTGTGATTTTTATGCAGGGATTATTTGTCACCATCAGACATCATAGCGAGATATCCACATTTAATTGTTATAGGAACTGGACTTATATTTGGATATCTTGTGGTAAGACGGTCATGTTTTAAATTTGAAAAATTGTGGCCTTTTTCTTTTTAATGGAGAGCTTCCTCTTAATTTCCTTTAAAGTTTTTGAGAGACCTAGAAGACCCTTAGAGAATGTTGTTAAAAGAGATCTTTTGATTAATAATATTTTTGAAAATTTAATTTTTGACTGAGTTTAATAGTGTTGTGTGATTCATATAATTGATTTCATTTAGTGGGATAAAGCTTTGTGGTTGTTGTTGTTATTGCTTATTTTAACTTGTTGCCATCCATTAGTGTAACTATTCTTGGTAAGGACTCTTTTGAGGATGAACCAATTTGCATTGGACTAGATAGCTGTCAAATTGCAATGTTAATTAATTTGGTTTAGGGCCTTATCAACTCATGCACAATCTGGTTTTCAGAAGCCATTTTTGTTTTCCTTATCAATAACTATGTTGACTTTGTAATTTATATGCTTTTTTGTTTTTGAGTGAGTCTTAGAGCTTCTTTGGGTTAGATTTGGGGAATTGATTGTTGCTAGCAGATTGCGAATTTGAAAGAAATGGGTTCTTTGGAAAAACAAAATTCATGTTCTTTCTGTCTGTTATAGAACCTTTCTTGGTTATCTGTTGTCTAGTATCTGAGCATATAACTTGTCTTGGTTTGTTTTGGGATTGCAAATTCCATAGTGGAAGGTGTATTACTTGATTTCAATTTTTATTCATGTCTACTTTACCTGCTTATTTGACTTTGTAAAAACTGATTTTAATGGTCACATTATTTGGGGGGTTAGATATTCCTCTTACTGTATGCTATCTACATTCGTAACATTATATTTAGTTCAGTCCTCAAAATGCTAATTTAATTGCTTTTTTTTATTATTATTATTATGAAAAGTATTGAACTGTAAATTGTTATAATATGTTTTTCATTGCCATGACTAATATTTATACATATATTATTTCTTATGATGTTTTTGCTAGTACGTTTTTGCAAAATTTGTGTCAAATTGAAAATGTGTTCTCTAAAGGCAAATTCTGCCGGTAGTTGGAGCTCAAGATCTTATATGATGTGAAATCTTGCATTGGCTGCCTGGTTTGTGAAAATTTGATATACGCAGGAAGTTGTCAAACTCAAATCAAACTTTTTAAAACTTAATTGAATAAATGAGATGAGTAATTAGAAGTGTTTTTGATTATGCAAATAGCCTTAGTAACTTTGTTCGTAAATTCAACTACATATGCATATTTTGAAATAAAAGTTCTTCCCACTATTCTTGTGGTAGGTTCTGTTCCTCTTGGTGGGGTTTCTTAGTAACTCTTCTGAAGATTATATATCTTGCCTTTTGCATACGAATATAACTTCATATATTATGATTTTTAATGAGGGAAGCTTAATTTTGCAGGGGAGGATGATTTTGGCTCACTTATGTGATGAACCAAAGGGTTTAAAAACTGGAATGTGCATGGTATTGAACTGTTCTACTTAGATTTTACATTCTGAGATGCTTTTATTTTCATATTTGGCTGTTGTCCTTCATTATAAAACTATAAAGACTGAATTTGATGATATTGCCAAAAGTTCTCTACAGTTTCAGCAAGCTTCACTTTCATTTATATGTGTTACCTACACCAATTATAGTGACAAAATATAAATATTTTCAAAATTAGATGGAAAGTCCACAAGGAACAAGCCCCAAGTAGAAATAGTATGTGAATTAGGACAGGAAGGCTGAATTTCAGAGAAGAAAGATGCTATCCCTGCCATATGGCTACAACACCCAAATTAACCAAGTGATCCCATGTCCCTTAGGCCCTTCATTCCCTTCATATTCATGTTCCCTTTCATGACACCAATTCTGCACTGTCGAGTGTCCTCTCTGTTAGTGCCACCTTTTCCTTGCATAACAAGATCCTACACTACACTTCCCTGCATTTCCATTCTACTATTGTGCCCCCTCTACGCTCTTCTGTACTATGCATGAATTGGAGGCTGAGGCACGTTACCTTGAGAGGCTCATCATGTTGCGTAAATTTTAAGATCATCACCTTGTCTTTAGTTGTTATGCATGTAGGCCCAAATAGAACATATTTATTACTCTAGCTAATTTCATTTATGTGATTATTTGTCCAAGTTTTAATTACACTAAGATGATGTAACCGTTATTTATATTGTACAGTCCCTCGTGTATCTCCCATTGGCCATTGCTAATGTACTTGCATCAAGGCTGAATGATGGGTATGTACTGTGTCTTTGCTTTCTGAATTTTGTTGAGATGCTGTTCATGTTCATCTGTTTCTTCTCACAAAATTCTTTTATATATTTTTGCAGGGTTCCTTTAGTAGATGAGAGACTAGTTCTTCTTGGTTACTGTGCATTTGCAGGTACAACTATCTTTTTGTTTTTGCTAGAAAAGCAAAATATTATTAGAAAGAGAAGAAACAAGTACAATAGAAAATGATAAATGTCCTGAAGGTAACCCCTTTGCACAGTAATCTGAACAAAGAGGGCAAAGTATCTAACCAGTACAAACTAGTAAATAAACCCCTCAACTTGCATCCTGAGAACCATAAATTGGCTAAGGAAACTTTATATAACAAATTTATTAATTATCCTTGAATGTGTTCATATTCTTTTCCCACAAAAAATAACTGCATTTTGCATTCTTGAAAGCATTGACAAATTCAACAAGCTTTTTGAACGGATCCAACATTCATTAAAATTACCAAGAGTTGTCAGTGAGCACAAATATCTAGCATACACCAATATTTTGCTGCTATGCTTTTATTTGGTGAATTACTTTTGTATCAGATGTTGGATCTGATTTATCTCACCTAGTGAGATAAGTTTTGGTTGCTGTTGTTGGATCTGATTTATGACTTATGACCACTGCTTGTAGTACGAAGCAACTCATCTAACTAGGAAACTACTATTCACAAATATTTTGAACTTGAGAAATTAATGCATTGGCCATTCCTGTACTTTTGAGTTAAAATTTTGTTTTTGGTTAACACTTGAGCTGTATATTATTAATTCTATTCTCTTTCTGGATGATTTTGTTTTTATAAACAGTGGCACTCTACTTACACTTCGCCACTTCTGTAATTCATGAAATTACAAATGCCCTGGGAATATATTGTTTCAGGTAAATTACTAGCATTATATTAGTGTGCTTGATGTGAAATTTGGCATTTGTTGCCCCCTTCAATTCATTTCTACTCTCTGAAAGTCTAATTTATTCTGTTAAATGCATATAGAAAATTGGTTTTTTATGGCATAGTGTATGGATTATTTGGTTAAATTAATACACCAGTCCATGTTTTTTGTTGAACTTGTATATTTGGAATAGTAAATGACAACTTGTCCTTGGCTAGTTTTACTATGGTTTGTACTTTTATATCATCCAAGAATAATGACCTTTGATACTTAATGTCTTGCCTTTTGTTCAATTGCAGGATAACTAGGAAGGAAGCTTGAATGTACCCAAGATTTCCTCTAGGTATGCATGCCCGTTTCTAAGTCATACCTGTGCTGTTGTTCCAAACTGTCAAATTTCAATTTATAAAACTAGCATTTTGTTTGCACATACTTCCTTTCCCATGTCTTGCTTAGTCTTTTAATCTTGTGATTTTTCAGCTTGGAACTCAAGAAAAATACTGGCAAGGCTTTGCTCAGTACTAATTTTGCTTTATTTGACAAATTTGACTAACATGGAACTTGTAATTATATATTGGTTTAGTTTTAGACTAGGAAATCTATTTGTGGAAACTGTAGTTTTTCAATTCAGCAACTACAACTATTAATTTTATCTGTCTTTCTGCATATTTTTTATTTTTTTAATATATGGATTAGTATGTGGATTTGGCATGGTTATTTGCGTATGGGAACTGAATTTAAAGTAATCCAAAGTGGAACTACAAATAGAGAGAATCAGCTACAAATAGTAGAACCACAAATTCTGAACGCTTGTGTCTACATATTTTCATCTCCATCATAGTTGTTAACGCGTTACTCCTAAAGTGACTCATCTACAATTTTTTAGCTACGTTTATTACACTTAACCTATAATTTGATGGATCTGACTACGATTAAACTATTCCTTACAAAAGTATCCTACAAACACTACACACCATAAACCAATTCATAAAAGTCAAAGTCAATGTTCACGGACCTAAGTCAAAGTAAATATCAACTTAATTGGCATTAATTTCAGAAATTATATTCTTAAAAATAAATACGTAAAGGTAAATGAATTATCAAATTAAATTAATTTATCAATTTTTTGCTATTTATGTCAGGTAAATGAAGTTTGGGTGCTAGTGTTTCTGTTTTGAAGCTTGATTAAGGATGCTTGTCAACTTAGATTTTGAGAATTCTTAGGTTCTGACTCTTTTTCTTTTATTGGTCCATGTATAGGATTTGGTCAAGGCCCATTTTATTTTTCTTCAATAATTACTTATTGTAATGAATAATTTGAAATATATTTCCTAGATTCAGTCGTCAAATCTGACTCAACAAAAAGTTATGTTAAATTTTAATTGGGCTTAAAATTGTCCTAGCCCAATACACCATAGTCGTTCAAACCCACCCGCAAAAACTTGTGACTTGCATACCTGTAAACCACTTCACCCGAATGTTACATTGGACAACAATGGCCCAACATACTGACAGAATCTGCTCGATTAACAATAATGAGTAGAATAAAACAGTATGAACTAATCAATTTTTGTCAGAATTAACTTTTTAAAATATGAAACAACAATTTAGAAACAATAAAATAATATAAAATTATTAAAAATTAAGTTAAGCAAATTTTAGAATAACATAAAATATCATATACAAATTAAAAATTTAAAATGAAAAGTTAAATAATAACAATTTATAAATACATATTTTGTAACGCTCTAAATTTTGTAATATAACTTGTTTATTAATATAAGTGTTTACATAGACTTTGATGTGTTGTGTATTTATTATATATTCACATATATGTATGAAGTGAATGGATTGGATTGACTGGACTGGATAGATTGAATATATATATATATATATATGTGTGTGTGTGTATATGTTAAGTATGGATGTTGCTGCAGAGCATTCTCGCTGTAGCGAGAGGGCCCTAAACATGAGGCATGGAAACTGTGTCGTTCTCGCTATAGCGAGAAGGCACTGGGAGAAGATGATGAAACTGTTGCCTTGTCACTGTAGCGAGAGGTTCCTTGCTGTAGCGACAAAACTACAGTTTGAGGTACATTTTTGAGTGTAGTCATACTGTAGCGAGATTTTGCAGAAACTTAAGTATAGTTTTGTCTAAGTTTTTCGCTGTAGCGAGAGAGGGTGTCGCTGTAGCTAAAGTGTCGCAACCATAAAATGATTTAAATGGGTTAGGGTTTGGGGAAGCTTCATTTCTCACTTTTCCTTCGAGATTTCTTTGATTCTCTTACTCCTAAATCCTATTCCACCGATTAAATTATCTCCAAAGTTATTCGTGAGCTAGATTGAAGGTTAGATTTGTGTTGGGAACGCTTGGAGGTGAGTTTCCATGGTTAGGGTTTATGATTTCTCGTTTCACTCACTATTTTCTCAGTTCTCATTGGGTTCTCATGGGGTTCTCATATGTAATTAGGTCAAAGTTTATGTGTGGGAGCGCCTACCTTGTTGTTTTAGTGCGTGGGTCTTTATTTGAGGTAAGGGAGACTCTACCGTATCTCATTTTGCTTAAAACCTGTATAATTTCTATGTTTTGTAATGTAATTGAGATAGATAATGTGTGGTGGATATAATTGTGATGATTTGAAAGTGATTTGAGTGAATTTTTATAAAGAATTGGTGTTGAATGTGATGAGTGGAATGATTGAGCTCAATATAGATGAATAAGTGTATTTGTGTGTCCCTTAATGATGTAAATGGATGGAAATGAATATAAATAGACATGTGTGTTGTGTGTGAGAATGAATGTGGGCACTTGTGGCGTGTGTGCGAATGAATATGGGCTTATGTGCCATGTAATGTTAATAATTATGGATAATTGTGCTGTGTGTTGTAGATGAGTAATATGTGTGGTTAAAATGTGTGTGAATGAGGCATGTTAAATGCTGTTGTAATGATGCTGTGAATGGTTCAATGATACACTGGAGGTGTGGAAGATGAGGACAGTAGAAATACCTTGGGAAAGAGAGAGTGGTGGTTACATCAACAGTGAGCGTGGGTGCACCATGGGTCACACACTCTCCTCTTGATTAGACCTCTGATCATTATCTTTGTTGAGTGACCCGTGACTGCTCACGCGGTATCCGTGAGGCAGGAGTAACCGACGACCATTCATGGTGTGAAACTATGATCACATTGCTACAATGAATGTGGCTAGGTGCGGTAAGCGCACATGTGAATGTTGGTGCAATGAGTGTACCGGTTGTGTTTTAAATTTGAATAAATGATGAATGATGATTGTGACTTAGATTGAGATGCTTGTTTTGTGAATGCATAATTTAAATATGTTAGTAAATGTGTAGTATTTGAGGTGAATCTTTATGTTTGTGTGTGTTGGATAGTGTAGAGTACTTACTTTTACATTTATTTTTCAAGTAACCAAGATGATCATCACTAGACTTAGTGAAAGAAAGATGAACTGCTATAGGGCATAGATTGTATTTTAAAAAAATGATGTAACTAAATTATTCATGTAGCAGTCTTTGATATAAATTGTAATCTTTTATTGTTTTGAACTGTTTGTGAAACTCTACGAGAAAATCTTTTTATTTAAATGAAAATTTTATTACCCTTATTTTACGAATTTATTACTTGAAAATTAAATTAAGGTGTTACATATTTCATATATATAAGCTTTTATTCATTTTGGTATTTTAGAATTAAAAATTTTAAAAATTAAAAAATTCAGTTTACTTTTGAAAAAATTATTATTTTAGATTCGACACTTGGATTAATTAATAACGAAGAGAGAAAGCTTCAGTAATTAATGTATTTGTCGTAAAATAGTTATAATTGAATAATAGTAACATCTTAGGCAATAGAAGAATATAAGAATTTAATAAATTTTTATATAATGTAAGATGAATGAATTTAATTATTATATTATTTTTATAATGATGTATATTAAATTTTAAATAATTACAGGTAGAGAAATGGTAACAACACAATATGTAACATATTCTTTTTGACACACTTTTTGTTATTAATTAAAATTTATTAAAAAATACAAAATTATGTGAGTTTTACTTTTTTCACTCCTAATTTAATATTTTTTTATATTTGTGTAATTTTTAATAAATTTTAATCAATAATTTAAAATATGTTAAAAAATATATTATTAGTATTTATCTTTTTAAATATATTATCCAAAATTTAATATTTACATGAGAACTGTTTGGTAAAAATGATAAGAGAAAAAATAATAAAATAAATAAATAGATAAAAATAAGATATAATAAAAAATGGTAAGCTTTTATTCTATCATGTATTTGATGTACATTAGAATAGTAAAATAAATAATATTATGTCATTTAATTTTATGTTTAAGATAAATAAAGTATAAATTACATTTAAATGACAATATTAATCTTTTATCAAATTTAATACAATTTTTAAAAACTATTTTATTTAATTTTTTTACTTTATATATATATATATAATAAATTTTGATATAAATTATAATAATTTTGTTCAAATTTTTAGGATTAAAATTTTGTAGGTAATAAAATATAATTAGAACAAAAAATTAAAAATATTAAAAATATTTTTTTACAAATATTTTTTAAATTATACTTTTATTTTAAAATATTTTTTAGTAAAAATATTAAAATAATATTTTAAAAATTAATTTGTTTTTATAAAATATTTAAAAGTATAAAGCATGAATAACAATGTAATAAAAAAATTATCTTATTCTTATATTTCCTAACTCATTACCCTCCTTAGTATAAGAATTTAAATTATGATGATAAGATATGATAGCATAACAGGAATCATCATATTTTAAAAATATAATATCTATTAAAATAAAATAATATAATAAATTACATATTAATTTTATTTTTTATAAAAATTTAAAAGTTAATCTACCTTACAAAAACTTTTGTTAAGAATTTCCCGTCATTCGATCTCTATAAATATTAAACTATTGATTAAATATAAATTTATTTTAATTTCTCTAATTATAAGAGTCAATTATTTTAGCCATCAACTTTATAAAAATCTCATTTTTTGTTTTCATTGTTTTTAAAGAACACTCATTTTAATCTTTCATAAAATTTTTTATCATCGTTTTGTATACAGAAAAAACTAAAGCGAATGTCATATTTTATAAAGTAAAATGAATGTTTATTGTTAAAGTATCCTACCTGACATAAAATTAGTCGGAAATTTGATTTCTATTATGTTCATAATTTAGCTTTTTGGTTGTGTTTTATTTTATTTTCATATGGACAAGATAATAACTGCATTCCACTCAGAACCTAAAACTACATCTCAAGAATTGAATAATAAAATAAAAGTTGAAAAGTTTTAAGAAGATGGTGATATGAACATTTGCATAAGTATTCATCCTTTTATCTGTAGTATGTCAAATTGTTATGCCATTGTAAATAATATACAACCTCAGCCATCTATCCCTTCCCAAACTCCAATAGAGAAGAATAACTTCTCAATTGAAAATATTGAGACAACTTGAACACATTTTATGGTATCAGATGGCCCTCTCCAGCCATCTTGGCAATCTAAGTGAAGACTTCATTCCCATTCTAGTAAGGAAAACGGAATACAACAGGTGGAGCAAGAACATGAAACATCCACTATTAAGCAAAACCTGAAAGCAAAAACCACATCAGAGTTTATAGACTCGAGAAACAAGTCAATACAAAGATCCTGTCAGAGAATAGTGACATACCAAAATGCCAAAAAGGGTATATATCGCATTCATTGAAGGAATAGCATTAACACCAGAGGCAGCGAGGACAAACGTGAGAGAAGCATGAATGTTAATGGTGATCTATGAGCCACGTTTCAAACAAAACAAGAGGAAGAGAACAACACACGTCAGTGGCTGCGGTATAAGATGATAAAAAGAATTAGGAGAGAATTGCAGATTTGATTACCAAAGCAAGTATATTTTCCCTTATCAAAAAAGATGAAATCAAGACAAAGCCAACCGCACCTAGTGATCGTACCTGCAAACATTATTAAGATTTTATCATGAGTAAAAGAAGAAGCAAAAATAATAACTTTAAATAGAGAGTATAAGATTTTTGAAGCAAAAGGTGACAAACATTACAATTGTGCACAAGAAAATTGACAGGTTCCAACTCGCTTCCAACCTGCAAAAAGAAGACAGCGAAGTAGTTATAGCATTATTTAACTTATTTCATTTTCAACACAAAAAGGGACTAATGGTTCACAGTTGTCATGCTTATTAGAAACATTTCAGTCTTGTGATAGGCCCCCACCATTGTCTAAGGTATATATAAGGAAAAGATTTTGGAGAGATCGGGGATCTGAGCCGCAGAGCAGCAAGGGAAATATGGTGGCTCCAGATAACTAACTGCCAATGTGACAGGGGAAAAGATTGGAGGTAAAGAATTCAGTTAATTCTAAAATGTGTGACTGAAGGTGAGGAAATTGCCTGGGCTATCTGTATTTTCCTATCTGAGCTTATCTTGATCAGCGTATAGTAAATTCACTAATACTGATAAAAAGAATATATCAAATGCAGTTGTCTATTTTACTTCTATAATTGTCCAGTTCTATCATCTTGCCACCTAACACAGCGAGTATAATATAAGAAATCAAACAACATCTGATCCAACCAAAGCAACATACAAAAGCAACTATAAATTGCTTTTTGCCCACTTTAAAACAATAGCATCTGTTTGTCATCAGAAGATTCAATGTTATACTACAAAATTCAAATTTAAGAATTTCAATAAAAGTGTGGTGAAAAGCCAATACACGTTAACTTAAATTGAAAGATAAATACCATGATCAATGATCTACAAAATTATACTACCAGAGCAGCAATCTAAATGCAACTAATTCCATTACAAAGTTTGCCACTAAGCGAAGTTTAAAAGAACATAGATTTGTGCACGATTGTAAAATACTTTACCTCCACAAAGCACCCATTGTGAAACCAACTATACCATGCTTAAGCTGCATGAAAGAAATATTAACAAATTAAGTAATTTATAGGTGTTTCACTACAGTATGCAAACTATAAAGAACCCAGCATAAAATATTTGTGAAAAGCAGATCAGTAATCCAACAAGATTAAATTGTTCAATGATCATGCTACAATTCTTACAGAAATGGCCCATGGTATACAGGTTTTTAATCCATATGCAAAAAATTGTCATGTTATGTTTAAGGTACAGTAAACCTCTTTATTGGCTATTACCATCTCTAGAGGGAGAAAATATAACCCAGGTGAGATGTTCAGCTCGGAATACACTTTATATTGGTACATAACAACTTAACACCACATTTACAGGAATGCTATGTTATATTAACTGTATACCCGCACTACTTCGTAAGCAACTTTTCTCCTCCTAAGATATAAAAATACTCGTCTCATAAAATGACAATTTGTCCCACTAAACTACATTTATGTTCTTTTGAAAACAAAATAACAGGCAACAGGAAGAAAAACACAAAGGCCGAGTTGAGAGTCTTATTGCCTAGTTCAGTTAGTTGATAAAGTTAAAAGCAAGCTCACCAGATAGGTTAGAGCTTTAAATGGACCAGACAAGACAAGCAAAAGTATAGTTGTTGCCACCTACACCAAGAACAAAACTACAACATTAAATATCAAATAGTACAATAAGGCCCAATTAGGGTAAACTTCTAAAGAAGTACTTATAGGAGAAGAAAATAAGGAGTTAAAATGAATCAAACTTCTCCAGTAAGTTGAAAAGAACTTATGCATGTTGTGTTTGAGAGAAGTTATAAAAGAGCCTCTAAAAAATAAAAGAGCAAAAGTTGATTTTAACTTTCGGGAGAAGTTTGGTTTATTTTACTTCTTTATTTTGTCTCATAGAAGTATTTATTGAGAAGTTAATCCAAATTAGGCCTAATTCAATAACAATTCAAGAATTATCTGTCACATTTTAGAAAGCAACAAGCAAACAAGTCTAACCAGAGTTTTCCTTCCAGCCTCAACACCCCATCTCATTGAGGATATCACTATTGGCAATGAGAAGAAACAACTAAAATAATTCTGCAATCAGAAAAGAAAGCCAAAAAGTGAGCTAAAAATAGCAATAAACATCTAAAAACTGATAAGAACTCCTCTACTCTATCAGCATAACTAGGAACAAGAGCGGCATCAGCTAATCAATTTCTGTAAGAACTAACAAAATTCCAAGCCCCCAAAAAATCACACTCATTTCTGAACTTTCGTAACCAAACCTTATACATATACAAAGATTCAATTTTTATGAGAACCAACCAAAGTTCAACCAGAAAAACACATACCCATTATTCTACATCATTAACAAAACTTCAAACACAAACAAAAACCCAATTTTGATATCACATTAACAAACCTCAATGGCAAGAGAATTGCTCAAGAAATAGACCAAACCAGTGAGTGCAGCAAGCATGGAACACTCAACCAATTGCAGTGTTTTCTGGTACACTGCTCCATTTGGCGACAAGTCATGAACTTGTGGTGAAAGCCCCTTGTGTTTTTGTTCATGTTCTTCGCTTCTGCAAAGTGGCACTCCAATTTTTGAAACCCTGAGAAGATTGGGAGACACAGAGAGTGGAGGTGTGAGGGTGAGAGAAGAGTTAGAGGGAAATGGCAGAGACAGAGAATGTTGATAAGTTTTGCAAACGGAGAAGAAGAAGGAAGAGGAACAAGAACGTTGATAAGTTTTGAGGGGAATCATGGAGAAGGCTTAGGTCGCGTTTGGTTCAATGAAAATTGGTTTTAAAACGTTCGTTGCAGTTAAGTTTTTGTCAAAAATTGAAAATGATTTAATGAAAAGAATCAAGGATTCCCCAATGTAAGGTAAATATTAGTTTTTGATAATTTTTTTTCAAATTTCATTTCTCACGTTCAAATAAGATAATATTTTCTTCCTCAAAACTCTTGTAATTTTAATAAAAAATATTCATCATTATCTACATAATTTTAAAAATTAAAATGGACCAACCTATTCGATTGATTGAATTAGAATATGATCAGGTTACTAACTCAAAAGACCTAATAAAATTAATGTGACCATATCGACTATAAATTGATACTAATGAATTGATTCGAACTAATCTGTTTGGAACAAAAATATATTTTGCTTTTTAAAATTTTTAATGCTAAAATAATTTAAAAATAAATAAAAAGTAACATATAATAAATAAGTTTTTAAATTTAGAAACATATAATACAATCTTTTATATTAATTTAAGAAAACTAATTAATTTTTTATATAACATTAAGAAATATTATTTAATTTAAACATGTATAATTTCGATTCAAGTGTATAGAATGTTTGAACCTTCAAATAATATTTTCATTGATTGACCTGTATTGTTTCTAAAAGACTGATTACATCTCCATAGACTACTGTGTGGTGTCTCTGTCTCTTTCACTTCTACGAAACGCTATTCTGAGTAATCTTTTTCTTCTTCAAATATTCATAAATTAAAAAAAAAAAAAAAACTCAACAACACTTACAATTAAAAATATCATAATACGTAATAAAAAAAAATCAAACATGTACGTTAAATTTAATAGTCCTTAAGCATAATAAAATTAAAAATAAATATTTCACTTTCATGTATAACAAACTTTTTACAAGAAATAAGTTTTTTTATCTTTTTTTTTTTTCCTAATTAGCACTTTAAAAGCAATTCTAATGAAAAAGAAAGAAGTTAAATATAGTAAAAGAAAGATAAAAAAAGAAAAAAAATCAAACAAGAAAGATGAATTGTTACCATAATAATTTGATAATAATCGGGCCTATTGGATTAGTCTGCGTCTCAATTGGGTTATTTAGAATTGCCGACCCGAAAACAAAAAAAGTTTTTGGATTGGAATTATTAATTTGGATCAGTCCAACTTATTGGCCCAGGTTGTGGATTAGTAATTACTTTTTTATTATAATTAACTATTATCATCTTCTTCTATTAACTTCATAGATCTCATCACATATGCCTTTTATCATGTAATACTTTGGTTTATTTTTATATATTTAAATATAAAAAAGTAATTTAAATAAATAAGATTCCAAATAATTGTAAAAAAAAATATTGGGCAAGTGAGCTCGCCTAACTCAAAACAGGTCAGTCTACATCGGGTAGTCAAATTCTGAATTAAAGTAAATGAAGATCAAGTTTAAATTTTTAAAGTTCAATCCACAACACATATCATGTTATTTAAGTCAACTCATCGAATTTGACCCTTCTTTTTATTGCCATTTATTTATTAATTGTTTACATAATTTGATAACTTAATATATATCTTAGATTTATTGGTCTTATTTTATCTTTCATGTTAACCATCAAAGAATTGGAAAATAGCAGCACAGAAAAGAAAAGGCATATATAAATCAATGAGATCTTTATATTTATGAATAGATTATTAGACACATTCGAATTTAATGTAAGGCTTGGTTTAAAAGGAAGGATAAACTTAATGCTTGTGTATGTTAAGTTTCTAGTGGATTGTTATTAATATATCACACGTGTTTTTTTAATCTGGTGTAGGGATTTTATACAACTCTCATAAACCCAAATAAAAAGTTTGTGTTTATCCTAAGATGACAAAATTATTCAATGCTATAGCTAAGATTGACACGGTTGTACTTAAAATAGCATGTAATTGATTTATTGAATGTTGTAAGGTTGTGGATGCCTAGATATATACATCGAAAAGGGTTGGTGGGAATAGTTCAATACAATAAAGAAAAAGGTTGATATTTTTTGGTTTAAAGATGAAAGTTAAAACATGAGACCAACAAGCCAAACCTTTGCAGCGATTTCATTCACATATTTGCATCTCATATTATTGGATCAAGACTTGGTTCTTTCAACCAGATATATAAAAGTTGTATGGTTCTCATGTATCATCTTAAGCATGGGAACAAATTAAGCCTATCCCATTTAGTGATCAAATACATGATTTTTGGAAGTAAAGTGTCAAGAAGACCTCAAGTCTATCCAATAGAATGTTTGTTACTAAGGTATTCAATTACTACAATGTACAACTTATTGGATAGAAGGTTCTTAATGAAGGTTGAAGTAATTAGGAAAATAGTTGATCAAGGTTTCTATACTAATTGGAGCTGTTCTCCTAATCCACAAAATAAAGCTGAACAAGATGTTGCTAATGTTGGTGTTAGATAAAAAAAAATGAGGACAATAAAAAAGAATGAGAAAAAAAAAAAGAAACAAAAAAGGGTCTAACATTGCATGCATTGAGAACGAAAAAGAAAGTGAAAAGAAAAAAAATATAAATAGTTGTTTAATTTTTAAAAAATATTGTATTTTTTGTTTTATTTTTAGTTATAAAATATGTACATTATTTAGTTTTATTCAATTTTACAGGGAAATTTTACTTAATGTACTTTAAAATAAGTAAAATTTATATAATTTTTATGTTATAAAAATTCTGCAGTTAACATTACAAGATGAATTTAATTTCTGTTTTAATCTGCTACCACCACTTTCATGTAATATTACATTTGAACTATTTTTTTTTAATAATAATGAAACTATTATAATTTATTTTTCTATACATATATAATACTCAAACTCAAAGCCTTATAAAGTTAAATACTTTCATTACTGTCAGCTCTTAAAATTTAAAAGTTATAAATTTTTACCAAAAAATTATTTATTTTACTGAGAATTATAAATATAATAAATGTTTTAAAGATTTAATATCAATATTTTCTTAAATTGAGTGCTTGAAACAAAACAAGAAACTTGGAAAATTTATATAACAGCTGTGTGGAAAAGATCTTGTATTTACCTGGTATTGTCTGTCTACTATTATTAATTACTTGAAATAATTGAAGTATTGAACAGCAATAAACAAGCTTAGAGCATTGGTGAAAGTATAGGACTAACATGGGCCCATAAGATGTGCATGTCAGACAGCCAACATGCCCATAACTTTGTAGGTTAATTGCACTTAATCATTCCTCATTCAAAAGAAAGCACATAGACAAATCTTTGTTTCTTTTTTATTTCCCCTTCTTTTTCTCTCTTTTATCTTTTTTTGGGTCTCTTTCACTTTTGTTGGATGGCTCGATGTAATTGTATTTTATTAGGACCCCAAATCATTTAAAACTTAATTGATTGCAAAAACAACAAAATAATTAGAAAACAAAGGCCAAGGAAACATCATGATTACCCTAATATTTATAAATTACGACAAACTCAAGAGATTTACTATAGAGAATATTAGCTAGGGAGAAAATAAAATTAAAAAAAAAAGAAAGAAAAAGCAAGGGACAATGAAGCATTGCTTAAGCAATATACTATTCTGCCTCTTTGTCCCAATGATTCAATAGGATTGTGCATGCTTTGGGGCGTGCCACCCCAGCTATTATGTTTGTCTCATGGTCATGGAAGAGTTTCTATTGGTCCTTAGAAGTGATCTTGTAGCCATTTGCAATGTTTGATTGTACCATGCTTCCACCGTTAAAAATTGCAATTGACATGGCACTGTTTTTTGAGGGTGAAATTGAAGACCGTTTCTGAAGCCACTCAAGGATCAATCAAAAGCATTGACTCTTCTTTAACCATTATCATTTTCTTATGAATAGAATCTTTACCAACACACAAATTAATGGCACAATAAGATGTTACTGAAAATGAAGGAAGTGAGCTTAGCATGTTGATTTGTATGGCCTCTATCTTTCTATGTTCCTGTAAGCAAATTGCTTAAGAAATTCATAAACAGAAGGATGGAGCATTCAAATCAAAACATTTTCTTTCTCTTTAGTTTGGTACATCAACGTGGCTAATAAAATGAGAAGTAATTATTTCTCTTTTTCTATTCGATCGCATCTTCTTTGGTTAAAGTAAAATTTTATCAGTATGAAAAATAAAAAAAAAATTAGTTTCTATGAATTAAACATAAAATAAACATGACTAAAAATTGGCAATCTTAGATACATGTCTCGCCTTTAATGGAATAAAAAAATCTACTTTGATCGAATTTGATTTTTTTCAAATTAATGTATAAATGATAAGTTAGTGACGGATTTTAAAATATCTATACTCGTTATGATTTCAAATTCAAATCTAATGTTACACAACAATAATCAAGTTCTCTCTGAAAGAATTATTTTTTAAATGATAACCTTTTAGGAGCTTTCTTAAATAAGAATATCTTTGAGAATTAGTTTTCTTTTTTATTATATCAAATAATTTTGTTTAGATTAATAATTATTAGTTTTACTCTTCTTAGTTTATAAAATTTAAAAATAGTCATATAACATGTTTTTAATTAGTTATTTAAAATTTTTATTTTAATTTAATAATACCAATGAAAAATTTACTACTAATAATAAAACTCAACTTATATGTTTGTATTAAGGATTGAATATCAAAAAAATCTTTATGATTTGCTTAATGTTTAAATTAGCTCCCTATAATTCAAAAACCTACATATATTTTACTTTCCTAAGGTTTTGATAAAAATTTAACTCAAACAAATTTAAATTAATGTTTTCAAGAAAAAAAAAATCACCCTTGATTATATTTGAAGGCTCTTCCGTCTATTTGCTACAATAGCTAGTTTGCATATTTCTCGTTCAATTTTATACCAGTTTGATGATATCAATCTCATAAATCTATGATGACATTAATTTTGGGGTTTTATAGACAAAGTTATTCCCAATTTTATGAATAAATCTATATTAACTTTTAACGAATAACCTATTCAAGAAACTCGTTCATCAATATCAGAATACATTTATTATCTCAAGCCTTATCAAAATAGAAAAATGATACCATGAAATGAACATTAAATTTCCTAACCACATGAACAATGTCTTAATTTATTCATAAGGGTAAGATAGTCAACAACATAGGATAATTAAGTCTTTTCACTAACAAATTTTAATTTGGACATTTTTGTTTAAGATGTAATTTATTCAAAATTATACAAAGTTAGAATGCTATACCAATATAAGTAAAGTAAAAAAACTTTTACACTTAATCTGAGCTATTATAACCGTTAAATTTAAGTTAAATGAAAGACTTTAATTGAGTGTAAAAAATTTTAAATTTATACAGATGTAAAAAAATCTGCTCATATATATATATATATATATATATATATATATAATTTTAAGGTTTTAATGTTCATTTATTATTTTTAAAAAAATATGGGTCTAGCTCAAGAATTGGAACAAATTAAGAATGAGAACAAAGATGTAGCCAAATTGATTTAGAACTGTTTCTGGAGAGACAAGATTGGAGGCAAGGAGGGTGAAACCTGTTACCATCCTGCTCCATTGCCATATCTACAAAAAGGACTTCAAAAGATTTGAATCGTACGCGGTGTAAATGTCAATGAGCTGAGTCTAGTTTTAGGTGTTTTTTGATTCAACTTTATAAATAAAACAATCCTAAATAAGTTTGATTATATGTTTAACAATTTCAGTAAATGTTAGCCATTCCATCAAATATTACAGGGGATATTTATTTTACATTTAGTTTGCCTTTGGTGTAGGAATTTTTTTATTTCCAATTAAACTATTTTATTGAGAATGAAATTTCTGTAAAAAGTTATAAAGTGTATTTGATTATCGTTTAAAAGTCATAAATAATATATTTGCTATTAATTATCAGAAATTTTAATAATTTTATTTGAGAAAGTTTTGTTCTCATTTATGAAAAGAAAAGCTTTTATACTATCCTATCCAGTCCTTACTAGTTGCAGTTAAATATACACTTGTTAAAATACGAAACTAAAAAGAAACTCCCTTAAAAAAACTAAAAAGAATTTCAGATCGTGTCAAATAACTTTTGTTTCAATAAATTTTAGTGATTAAAGTGAACTAGGTATCCATCGAAATATTATGATAGTGATCTTACATATTTGATCTTCTAATGGGCCATAGGAATAGATCCTCATACCAAAAAACAATGGTTGTGATGTAATAATAATAATAAACAAGTAACGAAATTGAACAAGTTTGAGTCAATAAATAAAGACTACCCTTTTGCTATTTGTTTTCTCTTTCCTTGATTCCCCACATGTAAAACTCTGATGATGAAGGGTAATGGCAAAGGGTTACTTGGGAGCATGAGGGAAGAAGAAATGAAACAGGGTCCTACAGTCTATGTGGAAAAGACAAGATGGAGAATTGAATGAATACGGCACGCCAAAGCTCTTATCTCTTGGCCCAATGATGGTTCAACCTAGTCCGTGACCTCAAGCAAGTCCCTCCCCTCACCAAAGACTAGCATTAGCATGGTTCAAATTGGTCAAAATAATGGTGACCCCTAACATTTTAAATTACACTTCAAATCATAATTGTAATATCAACATATAAATATTTAATATGTCTTAGTTTATGAGAGAAAATTAGAAAGGTCTAAATGAAAATGAAGAAAGAAAAATGGGGAGGGTGATATTAGATTCTTGAATTTTCAGTGAGAGAGACCCACAAGGTAGATGTGTCGGTGGGACACGTGGTTATGATCCACGAGGAAAGGACAGAGTTGATGAGACTAGTATGGCTTGGCTATAACGAATGATGGTAGGGAGCGAAAAAGAGAGTGGACAAATGAATATGCGTGCCACACTCATGTTACTCTGAAGGGTTGCTTTCTCAACCCACTAATCTAAGGGGGGGACACATGCAAAGTGGCTATTGGGAGGGTTAGGATTTATTGTCAAACCTCAATGCAAAAGTCAAGGGAAGAGAGAAAGAAAAATCCTTGGGAAAATGTTGTTGACAGTTCATATGAAAGAAAGATTGATGGGTTTTCAAGAGCAGATATGATTCTAATTCTAAGGCACTTTTTTTCTTTTTATTTTAAATTTGATTAAGGGAAGAAGGGTCTTTGAAGTGGCACTTCAACTTTGGTAATATAGTATTTTGATGGGCACACACGTTATAGACATAGTTATCAATCAACATATGTGCATGCAAGTGTTGAATAGCTAGCAAGTGATGAATAGAGTTTGTTCACTTGTTCACTCAATTTTATTGTTTCAATCTCTTCCCTACATAATAATGCCTGCAGGAGCTAGTGCTTTATCTCTTTTCTTTTCTTGCATCACCCTTTTTCTCTTCCTTCCTATCACTGTTTTTTCTGCAAAGAAAACGTAAAGGAAACGCCTCTGTGCTTACTTGTTTCCCCTTTCTCTCTCTTTCTCTCTCTCACTCTACACTACCCTTTATTCATTCAATTTCAAAATTCTCTACTTTTTACTCATAGGGTCAATAGCTTCAAAGAGGAAGCTCCTTCTTGAAGCCAAGTATTTGGTTCTTTGTTTGTTTCTTTCATAGAGCTAAACTCATTGCTATATTTTCATTTTACTTTTGAAGAGTGAAGAGAGAAGAAGCTATGAAGGAGAGAAACAAAGGGGTTGAAGCTTACAACAACAATGAGATGGATTGCTACTACTCTACCTCTGAACTCCCATGTAAGAAGCACCCTTCTTCTTCTTCTGTTGGTATTTGTGCTTATTGTCTCAAGGACCGTTTGGTCAAGCTTGTGTGTTCTGATTGTGGGGAGCAAAGGCTTTCTTCTTGTTCTTGCTCTGATGAGATGCTCTCTTCCCATCGAAATTCATGCAATGTTGATGTGGGGAGTGTTGGAAGGGTCTCATTTCTCATTGAGAATGAGAAGAACAATGAGAACCAAGTTGTTCAGAACTTGAGTTCAAAGGCAAAGTTGCAAGATAAGGAGGAGGAAGAGGAGGAGGTTGTCGTGTTGAGGAGAAGCAGTAGTAACTGTGTTGAAATCAAAAGGCATCATCATGGGTTTTGGAGGATTGTGAAGTTGTTTAGGAAGAAGAAAGAGAAGGATTGTGGAAGAAGTGTTGGTGGGTTTGATGAGAGGACTGAGATGTGGATGATGGATCATGGAGGTGTGTCTAGGTCCAGGTCTTTATGCAGCTTTAGGGGTGGTGGATTATATGGATCCGAAGATGGTGGTGATTCAGTGTTATCAGGTGCTAGAAGTTCAATTTCTGCAGCTAGGAGTTCAGGTGTTAATGGGGGTTTGATGTTAGAGTCTGGTAGGAGAAGTGGATATAGTGAAGCTGAACCAAGAAGGAGTGGTTTTGATGGGTTTCTATTTGAATCTGAGAATGGTAATGATCTCAAGGGTGTGAAGAAGGGTGGACCAATGGAGGGTGATGGAGGGTTCTATGGGGTAAATAGGCGGGTGTTTTCACTAAGAGAGAGTGATTTCAAAGGCATGGATGAGTCTAGATTTATTGATTTGAAGCTTGATTATTCGTCAGAATCAAAGCCAGAGTTTTCTGCTGCAAAGATGGGTGATAACCTCTCAGCTTTTGGTAGCATAAGAGGTGGGAATTTCATGGCACATGATGGAGGAGGTTCTTATGGTGGTTTGGTAGGGGATGGAGTTTTAGCTAATGGAGGGTCATGTAGGATCACTGTGAATGACAGAGGAATCAAAAGGGGAAGGAAAAGCATGAAGGGTTGGAGATGGATTTTCAGATACCATTCAAATTGGGGAGGCTCAAGGAAAAGAGATGAAGACCTTATGTTCAAAACTTGATATAGTACCATCAAATACACAATACCAAGAGAAAAAAAAACCATCTTTCCTGGTAGTTTCACTAGGTTAGTCATAGTTCATGGTTTAAATTGTCTTGTAGCTTGGTCATTAGTCATTATCTTTCATGTGTACTAATGTTATTTTTTCTTCAGTAAATGCTTAATAGAGGGAACTTCATACTTCTTGGAAAGTGCCATGCCATATGTTTCTATCATAAGGAAGAAGGAGAGGAAAGTCCCTCTCAATGCTAGTAAAAGAATGAGCCAAAAACCAAGCCAGAATTTCAAATTCAATGTAGAAAAGTATGTAATAGGGTAATAGACATATGATTACAAGCTCTACAACAAAAGTGGTTGCCAAATTTGACACTTGACCCGTTACTATCACCTATCAATATGATATAAATCTCAATTGCATTTATTTATTTATATAAACCCTCGTCACAAGTGAGACCCAGTAATAAGTACTGTGGCAACGACTTTGCTTTAAACGTCAGTGAATTGCATTATTGAAAGAAAGGGCCAAGAAACTGAGATGTGGAGGATTCTCTTTTGACTCGTCCATGTCTTGGTTTCAACGTTACTAATATTTTGTACTATTACAACTATTATGAGGACACATCTTGTGAAGGTAATAGCTGATTTCTTTTAAGCTATGAGCTCAGCTTAGTTACGTAATATGTGTAATTTTCAAACATAAATATGATCTTTTGTAGAATAATATAATTTCCAACTCTTTATGGTACTCACTATCTGTATATTTTTCAACAGAACATGTACTTCAGTCAAAATATAACAAAAATGAATTCATTTAAAACTAATTACCATTCGTTTATTTTTAAGTTTTGTTAGAAATGGTTAAAGATATGCAAAAATAAATTTATTGTAAAAAATTAATGTAAAAAAAAAAACGTTGTGTTTAAAAATGATAGTCCCAAAATAATTTAAGATAATTAATTTTATTTAAATAAATAAATAACTTGTGAAGTAATAATGTACGGTCTTAAAATATTTGTGATCTTATATATTTAAAATCAATTTTTTTCACTTTAAAAATAAAAATTTTTGGCTTCTCTTACGATGAATGTAACTAATGTGTAATTGATTTTTATACACAGTTTTTTATATAACATATGAAATTATTTACTGTATATTTGAATGCAAGTTAAAATGCTATAAAACCAAGTTAATTTCATTATATGATTTTGCAATAAAAATTATATTTAATTAATTTTGATTAAAGTTAATTTTTCTTTCAAATTCAAGTTTAAATCAACATGAAAAAAAATGTAACAATTATATTCAAATTTGATATAAAATTATTTTTAAAAAGTTTTTTTTAATATGATTTACATCACTTTAAACATACTTTTAAACAAAATTAATTTTATTCAAAGTTAATTTTTTAAACATTTACCCAAACACATTTACTGAAAGACTCATGTTATTCTATAACAATATTCCAATGTGAATTGGAAATATGATATTTTGGTATCCAAACATGCTCAATCTTAGGGGAACATCGAATTGTTTGCAATTATAAATTTTAGTACAAGGGTGATATTTTGAAATGATGTGAAATGGATGTTAAAAGGAGAAAAATAGAAAGAAAAAAAAGTAAACAAATAATAAGTGATGCAATAAAAAACTAGAGATAAAATAAAAAAGGGAATTAAGAGAATTAAGACATTAAAATATTATTATTAATTTTAGTAACCTGTCTGTTTTCACGTTAAAAAATTTGCCTATATTGTCCAATCAGCATCACGAGCTAGAAAATTTGAAGTGGTATTCTTAACCAAACACAATTCCTTTTATGTATACGAGCGACCATAGTTCAAAATAGAACAAGCTATGGCCTAACTTGTTAATCATTAAAAATGTTGACCAAAGATTTGAAAGAGAACCAACCATGTCATGAAGTGTTGAACTCACCAGCATAGCACACCTAACAATCTTTGTTTAGGTGAAATGCTGGGTCTAATCTTTTCAACTTGACATCTCAGCATCCTATTCTAATCCCCAAATCCTTTTTGGCTGAAACTATCCAAATAGACAAAGCCAAAGCCAACAAAGTTGACCAAAATGGACCCTTTTAAATACTTACCCAGTTGCCACCGGATCCATATTCCATGCAATAAAATAATATTATACATTTGGTGTAGTTAATAAATTAGAACCGTTAGATGAAGATCCTATGGCTAAAATTTTGATCACATTAAATCGGATTTAAAGTGTGATGCAAAATCTGAACTATCTGATTTCATCCAACGGCTTAAATTTACTAATTGCATTAACTTTATTATTATTTTTTTAACTGTATGAATCTGGATCCTCTGTTAGTGACGCACCTTTGTTATCATGTGGGGGCCACACTGTTAACAATTCCTAGATATGGCTGTACTAGATTGTGAGAATTATAATTTTCTTCACTAAGCTTGGTCAATTGTGAACATTTTATACACGTTTTGGTAATATTGGTCAAGGTTGACTATATTAAAAGTAAAATTTCATCTCATATATATATATATAAGTGCGTGTGCATCTAACAAGATCCACATTAAATCAAGTTATTTCTAGATACAGAACTAGGAAGAACAGGAATCTTTGTGAGTGAAGAGCAAAAAAGTGAAGCAAAATTAGAATCATAGAATGTATGTGACTAGGCCTTTGTCTCTTTATAAGAAGTCCATAGAAGCACTCTCCGTGCCTCCACCTGAAGGCCCAAATTCTGGTATTCTTGTAATCCAAGATGAAGAATTGAAACCAACCTCTTGTTTTGGGTTGGGAGAGCTCCATGAAGTAAAGGAGTTGCCTTTCCCTCAAAATTTGAACCTTGAGTTGTTTTATAGATCAGGGATTTCACTGAACAGAACCACTCATTACCACCATGTGGCCTTCATTCCAGTTCTTAATCAACCATTGTCTTCCAACAAATACTATGTGATACAACTCAATGGGAAGAAAAGAGGGTAAGCTTAATTTTTATGAAAAAAGTTGGATTTTCGTTACTTGGTTGTGTTGATAATTTATTCTGTACTGTCTGACTTAAACATCAGTTATATGGGATGAGGGTTATTTTGATGTTCCCAAGAAACTATATAGCTTTCACCATAGGATATGATCTAGATCCAGCTTGTAAGATTGAACCAAAATTTTTGGCATTAAATAAATGAATGTGTTAAATTTGTAGCACACATTAGTGATTAAACTTTTTGACAAGTTTAAGGAATATATTGACGTAATTTGCATTTCGTTTTGCAGAGAAGTATACATTAGCTCAAAGGAGGAAGATTTGGAGACCTTCTGTTTCTACAATGCTGTTGCTGATGTACCACTACACCCAATAGATATCAGTGATACGCATCAAGAGTTTGAGATATATCCTAGAAGAAGCAAAGTTACTTTGAGGAGTGGTTTTTCAGCTGAATCTGTTGCTCCAAATGGATACCCTCCAAGATTTTTGAGTAGAAGGTGGAAAGTGAGTGCTTCAACTTCAAGTGATTCTAGGCTAGGAGAAGCATCAGGTGTAAATCAAGCCCTACGTGCCAGCAAGCCAGAATTCAAATTCTCATTGGCAAAGGAAAGTTCAGAAAATGTTGTTGTGGGAAATTGGTATTGCCCCTTCATTTTTATTAAGGAAGGAACTCACAGAACATTGAAAGAAGAAGTGAGAAAATCAATGTTTTATGAGATGACACTGGAGCAGAAATGGGAAAAAATCTTTGCATGTGAGAATGAGCATGGAATGGGAAACACTGTGAATGTGAATGCTGTTGTTCAAAACGAAGTGGTCGTGATTGCTGGCTGGGAAGCTGTGACTGATGAGATGGATATTGCTGAGGGTGTTTTGTGGTTCCATAGTTTCAACAATGTTGGAGAAAAGAATAGTGTGGGATTGAACATTGCGATAGTTGAAAGAATCAAGTGGGAGCAGGAAAGAGTTGGGTGGGTTGGAGGGAAGGAAAAGGAAGTTAGAGTTGAGAAAGTGGAAGAATTTAGAGGGACTAATGGATGGAAGAAATTTGGATGTTATATGTTGGTTGAGACTTTTGTGCTAAAAAGATTGGATGGAAGCATAATACTAACTTATGCTTTCAAACACCATCATCAAATTAGAAGCAAATGGGAATAAAGATTTCTGGTACTGGTTTTAGACCAAGCCAAACTCATCCAAATTGGTGTTAAGTGTATATCCCCTATGTCTTAGTGAATGAAAAGAATGCCTAGTCTTGTAGTCTGCATATTCAATTTTGTGCCAGCTTGTTGATTGATTCATTCAGTTTTGCAGTGTAATCATTTTGATACTCCATAAAGATTATAAGGATAAACTATTGAGATCTTTCTTCATGTTTTTCTGCATTCAGAAAACATTGTTGCCTGAAGGTTGGAAATATCTCGTTAATTTATGAACCAAACACTCAATATATTGGATCCCGGGCGTAAAAAAAAATACATATATTAGATCATGAGCCTAAACCTCAGATGTATTGTATGAACTTGAGGACTGGATGCACTGACCTTTGAGCCGAAAGCTTACACACAATCAAATACTATAGGTGCAAACAAAAGCTTTAAAACTAATAATGAAAATAATCAAATTCTAAAAGTACATGACACAAGCAAAGCAAAAATTGCATATTTGACAGGTTATACTGAAATTATTTAACCTCATAATCACACTAATATGCACAAAAGAAGAAGCGATGGAAGGTTATTATTTATGATCCTAAATTCAAAGGGATTCAAAAACTTGCATATTAGCAGTGTGTTCCAATATGAGCTTGGTTTCACCCTTATTAAACCAAGTCTACTATTGGAAGAATATATGATGAAATTAACCAAGCACAGGAGTTTACCAAGAGATGGATCAAGAAGCCAGCTTCAAGTGTTGAAAATCAAGACCAGACAAGAGCATACTGAGAAAAATAAATGATCACCCCGAAATGCACTCACAACTTGAAATGTTTGAATAGCTTGGGCTCGGTTGAAGAAGTCAAATGGTTGAATCACACAAAGGGACGAGAAGCGGCAAATGTTTAATTTTTTTATCCATTTTCCAGCATTGGACACAAAACAATTAGCATTTTTGGTTTCAGATGAAATATCTAGACTGTAACTGCAAAGAAATGTAGTTTCAAAAGGTGGTCATCATTTATCTGGACTTAGTTTGACTCGTGTGCTTGAAATTATAAGTTTATGAAAATATTTTATAATTTTGTTTGATTATAGTTTGTTTAAATGAGTTTATAGATAATTTATAAAACTTATATAAATTTATTTTAATACACTTTTTATAATTTATCAAAATTTTATTTTTAATTCAAAAAATTATATCATTAAATTTATAACATATTATTGAAAAACAACTTATTAATTAAATAAGCATCTAGTTAATTTGTTCCTCTAAACTTCTAGACTTTACCACTCTCTCTCCACAACTCTTTTTCCCTTCCACCTAGTGAGTTAATGAGATCTTCTCAGCACAAACGATGATGCACTTCCAAATATTGGCGAAGAATATAGTATTAAAAAAAAATAATTGGGTGTCATAATTGATGTTGAGCTTCTTAATTGAGCTAATTCAAGATACAATATTTGCTGTCTCATAATATTATATTATTTAAACATTCCATTCAATGTGTTCAAACTTCAAACTGCAATTAGCAGATGAAGGTGCAGTGCGGCTCTGCTCTTCCCAGCGCTGCAAGTAACTTTTGTTTCAGGTGTTGGAAAGTCAACAATTCAATTCTAGTGATATCCAAATCCAATTACAAATTAAAATAACTTTAGCTATTATTTTATTTAAATATAGTCTTTTTTTAATAATATATATAAAATAATGTTTTTAGAAAATTAAAATTTTTAATTAATAATTAAATTTTAAAATTTTATATTTTTAATAAAAAATCATTTATAATAAATTTTCATTATATAACTTTTGACATATGTTATAAATGAGAATTGAGGAGTTTAGAGAAATAAATGGGAGAAGCTTAGCTTGTGTTAATAAGAGTTATTTTTTAATGATAAGAGACTAAAATGATTGGACAATATATATATCTTTTTTTTAAAGTGAATATATAACAAAGTGTGAGTAATCGAAATTATATGATTTTAGATCCCTCAAAAATTCCTTGTGTTTGTGTTGGAAGAGGATTTTGTAAATAAGAATGAATGGAAATTTAATGCTAATTTATGATTTTAAATAAATTTTATTAAGTGTAGACGAAAACGAAGACTTTAGAATTTTAAAATTATTTTGCTTTGCCATTCTAATTTAATGTGAAAGGAAATTATTTAGAAGAATATTTTGAATATTAGAAACTTTTTCATTTTTGTTTGTACTTTTACAACTCATCAATTTAAAGGTCATACAAATACAAATCTAATGCCAAAGGAAATCGAAATTAGTATCTCGGTTCACAACAATTGAAGAAGTCCATGGCAGGCTAACTTGGTGAAACAAGGAAATGCCAGAAAAAAGAAAAAAAGATTATTTGCTAAATTTCCAACAAATTGAAATAGTTACATTAACCTCATAATTTTTATCATAAAGAAATTTTAATTAGCTTAATAATATCAAATTAAATTCGTATCTCACAAATATATATAAAAATAATATCAATTAATATAGACAAAAAAATGAGTTTAAAACAACTCCATAAGCTTTCTCATAGAGTCTATCTTTCTAATTTCTTCTCAACAATTATCTCTAATTATATTTTAATTAGAACCAAATCCCAATCATTATACTGCATCTAAGATTTATTCTCTAAAAATTAGGGAATAAAAAAGTCAAAGTTATATTTTTCTAAAATGAATTCAAGTAAGCAAAGGACTAGAAAAGTCAGAACACGACTCTTGCAGGATATTTCCTAGAACTTGCAACTATAGAAGATATTTCCTGGGCTAAGAATGTATTATAAAAAAAAAAAAGGGAAATTGCGTTTGTATAATAACATTAACACTACTCTTACCCGTTATTTTCTCATTAAGAAATGATGTTCAAACATTATTATTCTATTGATAAATAAGAAAATCATTTCATAGGCAGCCGGAATCATCAAACAGGGATGAAGGAAACAAAAATTGTTATTTTAACATTCATTTTTGAATATTTATAACAGATATTTACTATTTTTGGATGTTAAAATATTTTTTTTTATAATTGTTTTATATCATTAAATTAATATTATTTTAACTCTTTATACATTAAATAATTTTAAAAAATATTTCGAAATTACAATAACGACAACTGTCAATTAATGTAACCCAAAACAAGACAAAACAACTGTAGCCGTACACAATTGACTAGTATTCAAATTATTTTATTTTAGTAATACATATTTATCCTTTTACACACACATATATATATATATATATATATATATATATATATATATATATATATATATTTTGAATTCCAAGGAAATACAACACAAAGATCAGAGAGTGAAAAAAGAAAAAAATGTATGTGACAAGACCAGTATCAATGTACAGGAGGAATCCTGGTGCTCTTTCAGAACCTCCATCAGGACCAAATTCAGGTTTTCTTGTGATCTGGGATGAACCTCCTACTTACACTTGTTTCGGTTTGTGTGAGGACCCCAGAATCAAGCATCTTCCATTTCCTCAGGACAAGAACTTGACCATAAGCTATTCAGTTAACCAAGATACTGAATACTATGATAAAGTCTTGTTCATTCCAGTTCTGAATAAGCCCTTGTCTTCAAACCAGTACCATGTGATAAGAAGGCAAGGGAGACATCAAGGGTATGCATAAATCAATTTTCTTATTATATCATTTAATCTTGTTACTTTCAACTTTTAGACCATTAGAATTTGGCCTGCATAACCAGGTAGCTAGCTCATTTGTTGCATGTAAAGCTTATGGATTATACTACACAAGATTGGAAATTTTCATCTTTGAATTGAAGTATTTAACTGTCAACTTTAATATTTGAGACTAAAGTGATTCCCACATTCTTTTCTGCTTTTGAAAGTTCACACACATATTTAGAGTTAATATTAATTCCTGAATTGATTATATATGATGATGGTTTGGTTCTTAAAAGTTATTGTTTATACAAATTTGGTCCTTTCAATGATGAATTTGTTAACATGTTGAAAACTTGACAGGGTCAATTTGTTAATGAGCTATCAATTTTAGAGACTAATTTGTATAGGCGTATACTTTTAGGGGTAAAAGGAACATAATATGCTTCTTTCAAGGACCATATTTTGTATATTTACTTATGAATTAATGTTGGTAGCTAAAATATAAATTTGAAATGATTTCAGCCAAGCAAGCACAAGCTCAAAGGAAGAGGACATGGGAACTTGTTTATGCTGCAGCTTTGCAAGGGATGTTAAACCAGCACCTTTGGACCCCTCTGATGATTATCAGCAGGTTGAAATAATAATTGTGAGTCACGGTTTCCAAGCAAAGTCTGTTGCTTCAGATGGAATTCCTCCTGACTTCTTGAGGAGAAAAGGTTGGAAGGTTGCGGCTAAAACTCCGCGCAATTACCATTTGAAAGAAGCTTTGGGCTGCAACGATTCCTTACGTGCCACGCTACCGGATTTCAACTTCCCATTGTCCAATGATTGTTCTAAATCTGTGGTTGTTGGGAAGTGGTACTGCCCTTTTATGTTTGTGAAGGAAGGAATGAGATTGAAGGAGCAGATGAAAAAGTCGGTGTTCTATGAGTTGACACTTGAGCAAAGATGGGAAAAGATATTTTCAAAGGAAAATGGTGACAATGGAAAAGATCATTCTGTGCTTGTGGATATTGCGGTTCAAACAGAAGTTGCCAAGGTTGTAGGAAGGGAAGCTGTTTGGGATGAAAATGCTGTGGTTGATAGGGTGTTGTGGTTTAGGAGTGTTGATGATGTGGGAAGAGAGATCAGTGTTGGATTGAGCTTGGAAGTGTTTGAGAGAATGAAATGGGAGCAAGAAAGGGTTGGATGGAAAGCAAGTAATGAAAGGCAAGAGAGGGTGGCAAGAGTTGAGGAGTTTAGTGGAACAAACAAGTGGGAAAATTTTAGTTGTTATGCGCTGGTGGAGAGTTTTGTATTTAAGAGAATGGATGGAAGTTTGGTGCTAACGTATGATTTCAGGCACATGCACCAAATTAAGTGCAAATGGGAATGATCCAAAAGACTGATTGTTCTATTAAGTTCACAATCAGAATATAGTTTGAACTTTTAAGTTCCTTCTGCTTGAATATATGCTTTATATAGTTTTGTAGAGAATTATAGACCAAGGAGATACTTTGTATATGCAAGAATAATCATTGTTAAACCCATATTTGTGTGTGTATAATTTTATACTGAATGTATTTCTATAGATTACATTGCTCATATGTAATTAGCTTATGGTTGTGTTGTGGATGTGTGTGTGTGTGTGTGTGTGTGGGTGTGTGTGTATACCATACAAATATATATACATCCTCAAAACTCATGAATCTATGAATGCGCTATTAGCTTCATATGTGGATTACATCCCCATAATTTGAGACTTAAATCTTGCTCTACATCGCCTCACTTCCATTCTCATCCTTCATTGCTAAGTTGTGTTTCGGTGTGATCAACCATTGACCTCTTCAACCATCTCCCCTCCTCCAGTCTATTTTTGGAAAACACCGTCTTTTTGGCCTGCCAATGCTTCTCTTATACCAATACAACTAGGATTTCTTTACTCGGATTCATTCATTCAGATATTTTAACTTTTTTATACTAAAATCCTTCCAGCAAAATTTAAAGCTTTGTTCGACCTTAACTTTCAGAATTTACATGATTAAACTTTAATATTAAACTTTAATAATTTTGCTGGTTAAATCACCAGTTTTGATTTTAAAAATGTTAATAATAAGAGGCATTTAATATATGCCTTGTTTCAGTTTTATTTTTTAATATTTTATCTTTTCACATACATACATACATCTCGAAAATATATTTTAAAATTGAATAAAACAATCTTTTATTATCTTATTATACTGTTCACAAACCATTTTCCTTTCTTTTCTTTTTTGGAAATTGTAGTCTTATCAACAATCCCCCTTCATACATAACACGTATATAGATTCACACTTCTTGCAAGGATTGATCCATGTTGTTCATGGTTAATCGAACATGAGATCCCAAAAACTTATGCCTAACTACTTCATCATTTTAACTATTTCCCAAATCCAAGTATTAATCATCCTTAACAAGCTGCAGGCGTCCCTGCTTCAGGATCCATAGAATAGAAATAGACAACATATCATAATTAACAACATTAAATAGATAGATACAAGGTTGAAATATTGAAAGGACCAAATCAAAGATAATGGAAAAATACTACATGAAAATTTCAAAGAACCAACACTCACACATTTATATACGTCATTGACTCATTGTCATTAGTCAAATTAAACGGTGTTTACAATGAGCCTTGAACAAGTAACCCAATTAATTATTGATCGTGGTCCATTCAAACGGTTGTTCGAAATTAATTACATGGATAAGAAGCACACTGCACACCTAGCATTTTATGTTCTTGGAACAATGTATATAAATCAACATGAGTGCATACAAAATATACATAGAAAATAAAAGCAAACAACAAATATTAAGGTGTGAACAGTTTTTAAGTGTGAGAGAAAATGTATATGACAAGACCACTATCCATGTACAAAAGGAATCCTGCTGCTCTTTCAGACCCTCCTCCAATAGGGCCAAATTCAGGTTATCTTGTAATCTTCGATGAAGAAGCTCAGACATACTCATGTTTCGGTTTGTGCAAGGACAACTCGATTGAGGATCTTCCTTTTCCTCAGAATAAAAACTTAACCATCAATTATTCAAGCGACGATGAAGAAGCCTTGTTTGTTCCCGTGTTGAATAAGCCACTCTCTTCGAACCACTACTATGTGATAAGAAGGACGGGGAAGCATCAAGGGTATGGATAATCACTTTTCTATATATATCAATTAACCTTCATACTATTTTTTTAAACTATGTGCGTGTTTAATTTATTTTTTTCTCTAATTTTTTTAATTAATTTATAAATAAATCGAAAATAAATTTTTATTTATTTAAAATTAAGCGTTATTAAATTGATTTCAGTCAAGCTAGCACCAGTTCAAAGGAAGAGAACATGGACACTTGTTTATGTTGTAGCTATGTCCGAGATGTAAAGCCAAAACCTTTGGATCCCTCTGATGATTATCAACAAGTTGAAATAATCAAGAAGAATTATGGTTTCCATGCAAAATCCGTTGCCCCAGATGGAATTCCTCCTGGTTTATTGAGGGAAAAAGGTTGGACAGTTTATGCTCAAAGTCCTAACAATTACCATTTAGGGGAAGCTTTAGGCTCCAATGATTCCTTGCGTGCCAAGTTTCCAGATTTTAACTTTCCATTGTCCAATGATTGTTCTAAATCTGTGGTTGTTGGAAAGTGGTATTGCCCTTTTATGTTTGTGAAGGAAGGAATGACACTGAAGGAGCAAATGAAAAAGTCAGTGTTCTATGAGTTGACACTCGAGCAAAGATGGGAAAAGATATTTTCGAAGGAAAATGGAGACAATGGAAAAGATCATGCTGTGCTTGTGGATGTTGTGGTGCAAACTAAAAGTGCCAAGGTTGTAGGAAGGGAAGATGTTTGGGATGAGAATGGTGTGGATAATGATAGGGTGATGTGGTTTAAGGATGTTGGATCAAAGACAACTAGTGTTGGATTGAGTATGGAAATTGTTGAGGGCATGAAATGGGAACAAGAGAAAGTTGGGTGGATTGGTGGGAGGGAAAGGCAAGTGAGAGTGGAAAGAGTAGAAGAGTTTGGAGGAATAAATAGTTGGAACAAATTTGGCTGTTATGTGCTGGTTGAAAGTTTTGTGTTCAAGAGAATGGATAGAACATTGCTCCTAACTTGTGATTACAGGCACACACATCAAATTAGATGTAAATGGGAGTGATTTTACACTACCGTTGAATTTATTGTTTTGTTTGACAGTGTTTCTTATTGTGCATATATTACGTCTTTGTTATAAAATTTTGTTCAAATTCTGGTGTGAAAAGCAAGAGTCAATACTCGATACAATACATTGAGAATACTATCAGGATGCTTTTTTAATTTTAATTCGATTTAAGTTCTTTAATATATCTATAATTTCTTTTTCAATCAAGTCTTTTGCGTGGGAAAAAGTAATGAAAGATAAACCATGTCACATATGAAATGCAAGATGGTCACCTAATAATTGTATTTATTTTTTCTAATATAATAACAAATTCATTATTAAATAATTAAAAATTAATTCAACATATTTACCTTAAATTAATATTTGTCAAATATATATATTCTAGTGTTTTAAAAAGAAGAAGATCAACTTATTTAAGGGTGAGTTTTTATTACTTATTCTTTATAGATGTCAAAAGTTAAATTTTAGACAAATTAAATATTTATAAATATATAATATTATGGTCGACAATTGTCAAGGGAGCTACAGAAAGTTGAACTTAACGATTACTTTACTAATTATAAATGTCTGATATTGATGCTCGATGACAATTATTCTACTGGACAGACTTCTGAATTGTGAGAGTTTTCAAAGTAAAAGAAGAGTTTAAAATCATGAAGAAGGAGGAGTTTTAATAGAAAGAGATGATTAATATGAAATAAATAAATAAATTTTAAAAATGTTAATAATAAAAAAGAGAAGAGTAGTATACTAGGTAAAAATCAATATTAAAAGTAATTACTAAACAATACTCTAACAATAAACTTTAAAAAGTTAATAAAAAAATATAACATTAAAATAATATTTAATTATAAATTAGTTCTACGCACTTGTAATATTTCTTATTTTAATCTTTACATAACAAAATTTTGTATTTCAGTTTATATATAAAAAAATACTTATAAATTAGTCTTTGCCATCTTTTGATATTTGAACAACATTAAATTTAATTTTTATACTTAGTATTATTTTTTATTTAAATTTTTATGCATACCCTTTATTTTGTTCTTTTTATATAAAAACTCTTAGACTTTATTTGTTTGAATATGTTGATTCTGTGAGGAAAAAAAAATCAGAGAAGTGATTTTATGCGTACGTACCGGTGAAATAAATCGTAAAAAGGGAGGAAAATATTTTATTTTATTATAATATCATATAATTTTTAAAATAATGTAAAATATAAAAAGTAATAAAAAATTAGAAACGTTAAGAAAAATAGTATATTAGAAGGCTAAAAATAAAATGAAGGGGTAGGAGACTGGGAACTATTGATGAAAATTTCATTTCTGCCACTGTTGAAGCACTCTATAATCCTCCTTCCATCAACTTGAAAACACCTTCCCAGCTGCACCTCTATATATTCCTTCAGCAGAGCGGGAAAAAGCAGCGCGGCCAAAAACCGAAACTTCGCCGTTCCGTTCCGTTCTATCGCGCTCTAGGGTTTTTGGTTCCGTTTTGTTTCGCGCATGGCCAACGTGGTGGATCAAGATCAGCAATGGCTGCTTAGTTGCTTGTCTGCCACACTCGACCCCAACCCAGAGGTTCGCTGTTTCGCCGAGGCTTCCCTCGATCAAGCCTCTCGCCAACCAGGTTTCGTTAGCCAGCTCAATTCTCTTAAATCACTGAGAATTTTCCTCTTAGTACACGTTTGGGATGGATTATTATTGTTAATAATTGTTTTGTTAGCCCGGGCAAAACCGATTGTTTATTGGAAATATGCTGAACAGAATAGATACTTGTTTGGTTTGTTAGGTGTGCTCTGATTGGTGTTTGTGTTAAAATGTTGGTAGCATGGGAATGAGTGATGCAGTTGAGGGGAATAGTGATGGATTTTGGAAGCTGAATTTGCTTGTGAATGCTGTTTGTTGATTTTGTTTTTAATGTGTAATGAATAGTTAATTAAGATGAGCGAAGGGGTGGATTTTGGTATTTAGGAGGTGGGAGGGGGGAGGGGGGGGGGCTATGGATAACCATTTAACAAGGATATGAGTGGATGCTTTCAGTCACTGGGATGGCCGCCTGTTGAATATATGAGCAATTGACAATGGTGTTATGCATCAGTCTTGGCTTGAAAATTATCGTACTTAAATGGGAATCATGTTTTATTTTCTTAAATGAAGCACTGCTGGCTGTTTTGCTTTTTCTTTTATAATGTGTAACTTATCTTTTCTGAAATTTATCAACTGGAGATGGAGCGTAATCGGTAATACTCATTGCTGTTCAACTAAAATTTTCCATCTTGTTCAACCATGTTTATGTGATAATTTTGAATGTTCAATTGTTGTGAAGGTTTTGGCAGTGCATTATCAAAAGTTGCTGCAAACAAGGAGCTTGCGGTGGGATTGCGTCAGATATCCTTTTTCATAATGATCACATACTTATTATGATTTTTGAGTCACAACCAAAATATTTCCTTTGATTTTTTATTTCATTTTTTCTTTCTGAAAGAAAGAAATACCTATTGTGGCAGTTTCACAGTGGATGTTGATATAACAATCATTATGTTAGTTTTCATCATTTGGAAGGGATTGCTAATATATAACTTGCTGTAATTGAAGGTGAAAACAGCTGATTTTACAACAAAGGAGGGAAACATTTTCTTTTGTATGCAATAATGCTAGTCATAGAGTTGACATTTTTGTTGTAATCAAGTTATCTCGTCTTTAAATTTACAAAGACATTCATGCTACGAATCTTTCACTCTTTAGATATTTCATTCTTGTAGGAGAAAACAAAAGTTTAATTTGGGCTTGTCTGTTTCTTTCTTCCATCCATCTGTGAAAAACTTTACTAGAGTTACAACTTAAATGTTTGTGCTAGTAAATTACTCATCTGGCTTCTTCCATGAGCTTATGAACTTGGATACTTTAACCTTCCTCTACTTAGCTGCAGTCCTTCTTAAGCAGTTAGTTAAAAAGCATTGGCAGGAGGGTGAGGAATCTTTTGAACCTCCTGTTGTTTCTAGCAATGAAAAGGTAAATATGTTTTCATTTTTATTGTGAACGTTATTGAAAAGTCAATGTCTAGAAGCTATTTCAGGAAACTACTTTCCAACCTTGATTTGATTTTAGATTTAATGATAGGGAAACTGATGAGATCCTTGAGCCCAAGACAAAGTGTCAGTAGTGCACCAGTCAGGTCATGATTCTAAGATATGGAAAGTATATTCCAGAAAAGGGAAAAGAGGGATAAGTGGAGGTCAAACAGGAGAGATTGTTATGCTAAGTGCAAGTGTGAGAGGGGTCCAATAGGAGGTGCACAGATTTGGAAGCAGTTATGATTTTGAGAGTGAAGGGGAATGGGGACAGATTTTTTGAAAAACTTGGATGGCCTTGGGGCTTGACAGGAAGTAGCATTTTGTAGCTACCAAGGAAGCCAAAATTGAGATTTTACTTAGGATTGGAAAAGGAGTTAAGATTGTAAAACATGGGATCATAAAACAGATGTGTTTGAGTGTGTGAATGTGCATATACATTCATATATGTGCATATAAAATGGCATAACTAATCACAAAAACCCTCTAAACCACTAAAAATAAAAACAATTACACTAAATTCAAAATCCATAAGAACTTAAGAAGGTCTTTAACAACTCATAAGTGACAATATAACATAAGAAAATACAACCCCAAACTTCTTAAGAGGTCCCAAAATGTAAAATTAAACACCAAAAGGGACAGCTTGGATTTCCCTATACCTAGCAAACCTGATGTAGAAGAGATGAGAAAAATGTGAATCCAGCTGCCAGCAAAATACAGGTACAGAAGAGAAGGAGAATCACCCAGTGAACCCAGCAAATAAAGGCTTGGAAGAGAAGAGGGTCAATGGAGGAGTTGAAGACCGATGCAGGAGAAGAAAGCACGCTCCAAGTACTATTATAAGAACACCTTTTGTCTAGCCTTATCCACATGCACCTATATCTTCTCCCATTGAGCTTTTGTACTAAATGATTTCTCTTTCCACTAGATAAGGATGGAGGGTAGTAGCAAAGTTTGAAAGCCCCTAATGGGGCTTGATTTGATTTCAAGGTTCCAATGTTGGCCTCATGGATCTCATATCTGCTACTGCAAATATTATCTATTTTCCAGAACCTGAATTTCTTGAAAACTTAATGATAGGTTCATATGTTACTGATAAAATTGTAAAACTGTTTCTTGTTCTATGTAAACCTGTAATTGTTCTTTTCAGATACAGTTCATTTAATAAAACTGTCTTCGAAAATACACTTTTTTCATACTAACTAAAGTATGTTCCATTATCAGGAAATCATCCGCAGAATGCTTCTATTGACATTGGATGACCCTCATAGGAAAATCTGCACAGCTATTGGTATGGCTGTAGCTTCCATTGCAACACATGACTGGCCAGAGTTATGGCCAGATTTGTTACCATTTCTCCTGAATTTGATTAACAATCAAACAAACTTGAATGGAGGTAAGTGTTTCTGCCTGATTTGGTCATTTTTGGGATTTCTACATATGAATGATTGTGGAAAAGCCGTGGGTGGAAAAAGGGCTTCATTTGGTTGTAGAGACTAGAGACTAAATATCAGATGATAAGAGCCCTATCATATCCTTGAATTAAATTGTTTGCTTTACGTTTTTCTTAGCATGTTTTTCTAACTTTTGGATCATCAGCCAGAATTTTCAGATTGTACATGATTAATCAATAAAATAATTGAATTGGGCCTGGATGCTGGTGACTAGTTGATTCCTTCACTTTCTTTCTTAAGTTTTCTGGAAATAATTTTATAATAAGTGATTGCACTGTTTTGGGGTTACAGTGTTTACTGGAGTTTATGTATGTTAAATCCACTTATTTATTTATTTTTTTAATAATTTATTCCAGTGCATGGAGCTATGAAATGTTTGGTTCTTCTCTCTGTGGACTTGGAAGATAAAATGGTTACAACATTAATACCAGCTTTGTTCCCGAGTTTGCTGACAATTGTGTCCTCTCCCCAGGTTATTTTTTGTATATTTTTCTGTTAAGCTTCTAATTATCCTGTTTTATGTTTTTCTTTTTGGTGTATTGTGTTACATGTATAGTTTTCATAGTTTTTTCACTTTCTTGTTTCATCATTATTTCTTGGTAAAGTTTTTGAGGATTTCTTATCCTCTTGCATTTTTTCCTTTCCTTTATTTAATACATTCTTTGTTTTGTAAAATAATGTTTTTTCCCCTTTTTAAGTTGATTGATTTGGAAGAATTAAGTTGCTTTTGGAGGATTATTCACATGTGCATAAGTGCTTATGCTAATGTGAAAAATTCTATAAATTTTCTTAAATTAAATGTCTTACCACAATTGCAGTAAAATGCCCAAATAAAATGGGAAGATGATGCTTTAATGGTGGAAAAATTGAAGTCCAAAGTATGGTTGAATAGTTAAAATAGAACCAACGTGCAAAAGCTTTGAGCACTAGTGTGGGAGAGCTGAAGTCCAGAAAAGAGCAATTTTGCGAGATTCAGAATCACTGTTACATGTGAAGAGGAGACCCACGATGATCAAGTGTTGTGAGTTGTTAGAGACAAATTTCCAGAGAGTTTAAAAGTTTATAAAAGGCTTTAGGAAAGGTGTTAAGAAATAGATTAGCTTTCTAAATTTAATTTCTGTTTTTATTTTTCTGTTATTATCTTTCGGTTATGATGTTTGTTTTTCCATTAGAGGTAGTTTAAATAAAGGTTATGATAGATAGAAGAGATAGCGTGTATTATTTTGAGAATAAGGCAATTGAGCCGCTTGAGAGCTCAAACATTCAGAGTGCTTTAGTTCGACTGAGCCTATTCAATACATTCTCCTTCATTCAAAATTCCTATTCTATCAATTTGGTATCAAAGCTCTATCCTGGGGTGCGAAGATACCTCTTTGTTGAAATGGAGTCTGAACGTTTAGAGCTTGTGGAGAAGACGTTGGAAGAGCTGCTGCAATGAATGACTATGCGGGGCCGATCACGCCGGCGTGACCGCGCACCACCCAGGGCCGTCCGCCGCCAATCTGTAGGAAGGTGGAGACCCACATCTAGATCGGAGGTCTCAGCCTCCCCCGACCCCCACCACGGACAATCATCCTTATCCCCTCGCAAACCTAAAGATTCCTCCAGATGCTGGCACCACTATTCCCCGTTTCGAGACTGCCAACGTTACTACTCCCCACCCTCAGACCGTGATCGGCACCACCATTCCCCGTTTCAAGACCGTCGACGCTACTACTCCCCACCCTCAGACCGTGATCGAAAAATTGAACTAATTTTTTCCGGCGACGACCCAGTTAGCTGGCTGGTGAAAATTAAGAGGTACTTCACCCTCCAACACATCACCAGTCATGAGCGCCTCGACGTGGTGCTCCTCGCCTTGGAAGGAGCGGCTTTGAACTGTTTTACGCTTTGGGAGGAGCATACGACGGCCCCTTCGTGCCGCCAGTTCAAAAGCGCTTTGCTAGGTCGCTACCAACCAAGTGCGAGCAGGGACCCCTTTGGAGTACTATTTCGCCTAATACAGACCAACTCCGTGCGGGAATACATAGAGGAGTTCGAGAAACTCTCGCGTCCTCTTAAGCATTTGGACATGGAGGTGCAGATCGGAGTCTTCCTCAACGGACTCAAAGAGAAGATTGGGGCAGAGCTAAGGAGCTTGGAGCTGGAGTGTTGATGGTGATGAAGGATAAGGCCATCCTTCTAGAAGAGAGAAACCGAGCTTGGAGAAATAACCAAGTTGCCCAGTGGGCCAAAGGGGCCAGCAACAATAGGCCCAATAGCTCGCCCTACTCAAAATTGGGACAGACAACAGCCAAAGCCTGGCCCAATAACACCACGCGTGACTCGCAACCCAAACGAGACCCACCACATAATCAGAAACATGACCACGCTTATCTCAAGCCGAAATCCATGATCGAAATCGTCGAGGACTGTGCTACAAGTGTTGGGACCCATGGAATAAGGAGCATGTGTACAAGTACAGACACTTTTGGCTCGAACTAGTGAAAGGAAGTGAAGGCGAAGGGACGGGGGAGGAAGGAGACGAGACTCAGGTAGAAGAAGAAGAAGCACCTCCCCTGGAAACCAGACTTCGCATATTGAAGATTTCACTGCAAAGCTTAAAGGGGTTCACCAACAAGAAGTCTTTCATGGTGCGGGGGAGTCTTAAAGGCCGCGACATCACTATTCTGGTGGACTGTGGCGCTGAAGGAAATTTCCTGCACACAGCGTTGGTCGAGCAATTGAGGCTAAAAGTAGCAGAGACCCCAGAATACAGAGTGGAACTAAGAACGGGAGCATAGCACCAGAGTACAGGAGTGTGCGAAGGAGTCGAGCTCAAGGTGCAGGGAGTGACAATAATACAAACATTTTTCCTCATCAAACTGGGAAGCATGGATGTAGTACTAGGTATGGACTGGTTGCAAAGTTTGGGGACAATCACAGCAAACTTCTCTCAGCTCTACATTAGGTGGCACTAGGGCGTAGAAATCCTGATGATACAGGGAGACCCATCTCTGAGCAAGAAAGGAGCCACGTTCAAGACGACCTTGAAGGCGCTGAAGGAGGAAGGCGTAGGTGTTTTGGTAACCCCAGTGGAGCCTCAACCCGAAGAAGAAACCTCACAAAAGATACTTGAAACCATGAGTGAGCTGCTCAATGAGTTTTTCGACATCGGTAAAATGCCCAGGGGATTACCCCCTGCAAGGAGATGCGATCATGCTATAGTCCTAAAGGAGGGAGCTTCCATACCAAATATCAGGCCCTACCGTTAGAAAAATGAGATTGAGAAGATTGTGGATGAGATTTTAGAGACTGGCATCATCAGGCCTAGTATTAGCCCGTACTCAAGCCCCGTGTTGTTGGTAAAGAAGAAGGATGAAGGGTGGAGGTTTTGCGTTGACTACCGAGCCCTGAACGCCATCACAAGACCGAACAAGTTCCCCATTTCAGTAATAGAAGAGCTGTTAGACGAGCTGGGCGAAGCTAAAATCTTTACTAAGCTGGACTTAAAATCTGGGTACCACCAGATTAGGATGAAAGAAGATGACATTAAAAAGACAGCCTTCTGAGCACATGAGGGGCATTATGAATTCTTGGTAATGCCTTTCGGGTTAACCAATGTCCTTTCCACGTTTCAATCCCTCATGAATCAAGTACTCCGACCCCACTTGAGGAGGTTTGCGTTAGTTTTCTTCGATGACATACTAATCTACAGCAAGATCAAGGAAGAGCATGTATGGCAAGTAAGGGAGGTGTTGGAACTATTGTGACAGAACCAGCTGTATATCAACTAGAAAAAATGCTGTTTTATAGTAGCAAAGTTGGAATACTTAGGGCATCTTATCTCTAAGGAAGGAGTAGAGGCTGATCCCAGGAAGATTGAAGACATAATTAACTGGCCTGCACCGCGAGACGTGAAAGGATTGAGGGGATTACAGCAGATTCGTGAAGAATTACGGGAAGCTCGCTTGGCCTCTCACAACGTTGTTGAAGAAGGATGGATTTTGTTGGAACATGGAAGCCCAAACAGATTTTGAAACTTTGAAGAAGTCCATGACTTCCTTGCCCGTGCTAGTAGGCCCCAGCTTTGAAAAGGAATTTGTGTTGGAAACCGCTGCTTTAGGGACAGGATTAGGGGCTGTCTTGATGCAGGAGAGAGGGCCTATTGCTTTCTGGAGTCATACACTCTCAAGCAGAAACCAAATGAAATCTGTGTATGAGAGGGAGTTAATGGCAATTGCTCTAGCAGTGCAGAGGTGGAGGCACTACTTGCTTGGAAGGAAATTCACGGTGCACACAGACCAAAAATCCCTCAAATTTTTAATTGATCAACAAGTATTGGGTGAAGGGCAGCACAGATGGATATCCAAACTCATGGGCTTTGAGTTTGAAATCAAATACAAAGCTGGAAAGGAAAACCAAGTTGCAGATGCGCTTTCCTGGAAGCTTCAACTAGAGGCCATTTCTACGATTACCTCCCAAGAGTGGGCAGGGTTAGAAGAGGAGATCAGAGGGGATGAGAAGTTAACAGACATCATACAAAAGATTATACAAGGGGAGCCTACAGCCAACAACTATGAGCTAAAAAATGGAAGGCTTTTCTATAAAGGAAAGTTGGTACTCCCTAAAAATTCTTCCCAGATTTCACTGCTACTCCAACAGTTTCATGATTCCGCCATAGGGGGTCATTCAGGATTTTTCAGAACCTACAAGAGGATTGCAAGCTTAGTTTGGTGGGAAGGAATGAGGAAGACTATTCAAGAATATGTGGCTGCTTGTGATACTTGCAACCGGAATAAGTACCAGACTTTAAGCCCGGCTGGACTCTTGCAGCCCATGCCGATTCCACAACAAGTTTGGGATGATATCTCCATGAATTTCATTGGAGGACAACCGAAGTCACAGGGCTAGGATACTATCCTAGTGGTGGTAGACCGACTGACTAAGTACAGTCACTTCATTGGCTTAGCTCACCCTTACACAGCCAAGGACGTGGCTGATTTGTTCAACAAAGAGGTGGTGAAGTTGCATGGATTCCTAGCCTCAATTGTTTCAGACAGAGATAGAGTCTTTATGAGCTCCTTTTGGAAGGAGTTATTCAAGGCAGTAGGGACCAAACTAAGGTTCAGTTCAATATACCATTCACAAACAGATGGCCAAACAGAAGTAACAAATAGGTGCTTGGAGGCTTATTTGAGGTGTTTTTCTAGCACCAAGCCGAAGCAATGGGCTATATGGTTGAGTTGGGCTGAGTTGTGGTTTAACACCACATATCACAGTTCAACAGGAACTACCCCCTTCAAGGCATTATATGGTAGAGACCCGCAGACTATCATACGAGGGGAGGTTGGTGCATCCGCAGTGGAGGAGGTCAACTCGGCTCTAGTGGAAAGAGATTGCATCCTCAGAGATTTAAAGTGGCAGCTGAATAGGGCACAAGATTGAATGAGGGCCCAAGCTAATAAGAAAAGGAGAGAAGTGGAGCTTGAAGTAGGAGAAATGGTTTACTTAAAGATCCAGCCTTATAGAATGAAGACTCTAGCCACCAAAACCAATCAAAAGCTCAGCCGTAGATACTACGGCCCCTACAAGGTGATGGAGAAAATTGGTGAGGTTTCCTACAAGATAGAACTACTGGAAGACGCAAGAATACATCTTGTTTTTCATGTCTCTCTGCTTAAAAAATGTGTGGCAGCCGGAGTAAGGAGCCAGCCCCTACCCCCCAGTCTTAATGAAAATTTGGAGTTACTAGTACAACCGGAAGAGGTCCTGGCAGTAAGGACCAACAGCCAAGGAGACACGGAACTGCTGATTAGGTGGAAGAACTTGCCAGATCATGAGAGCACGTGGGAGGTTCCTGAAGACATTCAGATAGCATTTCCAGCATTTCACCTTAAGGACAAGGTGGTTGTTCAAGAGGGGAGTGTTGTTAGAGACAAATTTCAAGAGGGTTTAAAAGTTTATAAAAGGCAACAGTTTAGGAAAGGTGTTAGGAAATAGATTAGCTTTCTCAATTTAATTTCTGTTTTTATTTTTCTGTTATTATCTTTCGGTTATGATGTTTGTTTTTCCATTAGAGGTAGTTTAAATAAAGGTTATGTTAGATAGAAGAGATAGCGTGTATTATTTTGAGAATAGGGAAATTGAGCCACTTGAGAGCTCAAACATTCAGAGTGCTTTAGTTCGATTGAGCCTAGTCAATACATTCTCCTTCATTCAAAATTCCTATTCTATCTGTTGTCAACCATCATCATTGACCTGCAACTTGCCAGTCATCACCACTGACCTGCAACCTAGAAACGAGTGATGTTTGCAAGATCCAAAACCACTTCTATGTGTGAAAGCCTTGAGCTCTATAACAGAGTTGGTTTTGATTTTGTGAGAGTCGAGACTCATGAGAATTGCAACCCTTATTTGTGTAAAGACAAGACCCATGCTGCAACAAGTCCTAGCTGTAGGTGAAGAGTGGTGTCAAACAGTTGTGAAAATCTTGAAACAGACTGTCTCAATTTTAACAAAATTAAACGTACCATATCCACTGACCTAAGCCGTATTCGAATGTATTGAGCCACATCCTAGTCGTATCAAGGAAGCAAATTGTTTTTTAAAATAAAATAAAAATTTGGATAATTTTGGAAATGTATCCAGCGTATCCAATATGTATCGATATTAGATACATGTTTGATACTGATACTTCTGCTTGGAGTATCCGAGCTTCATAGCTTTAAAAATAAGAAAGGAAGGACTATGCTTTAAAAATAAGAAAGGAAGGACTATATTCAATGACTTGACAAGTTTGGTTGTAGTTAACAGTCATTTCTGTTTACCTTTAGTTTGATATATTTCTGATGTAACTTTTTTTGATAATTCGTGTCAATACTTCTCCCAGATCTGTGATTTCTTAAGAGGAAAATGAAGAAAAATTATTTACATGGTAGATTGAAACTCTTCTGTTATCTCTGACATTTTTTTTTATTTTCTTATTGCCATGCAGATATATGACACATACATTCGAACAAAGGCCCTTTCAATAGTCTATTCTTGCACTTCTATGCTGGGGACAATCAGTGGTGTCTATCAGGTATTTTCTTGGTACTAAATGACACGGCACAGTTCTTGTGGTTGTTAGATTAGTTTATTTATTAACAGATCAAGATATTCTGTTTAGGCAGAAACAAGTTCTCTGATTATTCCTTTGCTTAAACCATGGATGGACCAATTTTCTTCTATTCTAGAAGTTCCAGTTCAGTCTGAAAATCCAGATGATTGGAGTATTAGAATGGAGGTTAGTTTGGTGCTTTTTAGTACTCTATCTACACACAACAATTTTTTAACAAACACACACTCTCTCTTCTCTTCTCCCTCCCTCCCTCCCTCTGTGCGCATGTGTACACACACATATTGTTTCATATATAATAACATGATATTGCATTTTTCTTTGTTAAGGTTTTGAAGTGTTTGAATCAGTTCATTCAGAATTTTTCAAGCCTCATTACAAGTGAATTTGAGGGTATGTTTATTCCCCTAGTTAAGTTGCTAAGATTCGTTTCTGGTTCTTCAGTTTATTTGTTTTACAAAATGCTTTTCACTGTAGTTATGTTGGGACCTTTGTGGAATACATTTATCTCTTCTTTGAGGGTTTATGAGCAAGCATCTATAGAAGGAACAGAAGATTCATTTGAGGGAAGATATGATTCTGATGGTTCAGAAAAAAGCCTTGATTCATTTGTTATCCAGGTGATGATAGCAGCAGTTTGTTATGTTTATTATGTTAATTTTTTTCTAATGCAAAAAAAATGACATTTTGCTGTGAAGAGATACTTTCATGCCAGAGTCAATGGACTGGTTTTAGTTCTTGCAACTTTGCAAGTGATTTCTTCAATCTCCTTGTCAATGGCTTTTCATTTCTGGTTTATGTTATTAAGTTGATGGCCTGCCCCTGCAAATATTTGTTTGCTGGGTGATATTTTAATGAATTAATCATCAAATTGATTTGAACTGTTCTTTTCTGTTTCTATACTTCTTATCAATGACTAAGTGGACAAACTTTAAAATATCATCTAATAGATGATACCTATTAGTCAACCAGCATGAATTTTTGAAATTCATATATAGCTCCTTTTTTTGTGTGGAGAAAATCGAGTGTAGATTCTCTTTTATAAATGACTTTCATTTTCCTCTACTCATGTATTCTAATGAGTTTTTAAAGAATCAAATGATTGAGTTTTCAGCTGTCTATTGTCATAGAATGATGCAAATTGTACAGGGGTATTCACCCATGATTTTTGGGCTCTAGAATCAGATAGAATTAAGCTGTACAAAGCTAATTAATGAGAGAGAGAAGACAAACTTAGATACTCAATGAAAAATAAAGATTCTACAAAACTATCTAATACTGAGCACAATTCATTCTAACTTGGCTGCTTAATCAGAACTGAGCATAATTGTCAGTTTTCCAGAGAGAAATGTTATTATGAATTGTCAAAATCAGTCAAACCAGAGTGCATAGAGGATACTGAAGTTGCTGAACAACAATAGCCAAGACTATCCTACTAAGTGCAGTCAGCTACATAGATTATATGACATCATTGAGCTTATTCAAAAACCAACTTCTCAGAAATATTTATCATTAGATCTCTTTTAATAATTTCTTCTAAAGTTTTTTCTGTGTCTTCTTCTACCCCTTTTGTCATGTCATCTACTCTTTTCACTAATACTTCTAGTGGCCTGACCAAACCATCTTAAACAATTTTTTGTCATTTTTTTTACTATAGGTGCTATTGGAAATGATGAGAATAATTTTGTTTGATACTGTGGCTTTGTTAGCTTATTAATGAAAAATGAGTCTCTTTGTTTGATCTACACATTTTGTTAGTGTGTTGGTTGTTTTGCTGAATTTTTGTATGGAAAAGATCAAAGATAATAATAATAGGCTTTTAAGTAATCAACTGGCTGAGATCTGTCTAAACTTATGTATTCAGGTCCATGTAGTTATATGCTTGTGTTTCCTTGATTTCTTGTAATAACTTCTGAATTATTTTTTTGCATCTATTTTTTATTTACAGCTGTTTGAACTTCTGTTGACTATTGTGGGTAATCCCAGACTAGGAAAGGTTTGGTTCAAAACATTCTTGAAATCTTAGTTTTATGCTAAATGTTTCCTATTGCACCATACTTTAATATGTGGTTTTCACTTTTATAGGTGGTTGTGGCTAATGTCAAAGAATTGGTTTACTATACTATTGCTTTTCTTCAAATGACTGAACAGCAGGTATACCATTTTAAAGTTTCTCATTGCTCCTAATTCATGTTTGTCATCATTTTGCGTGGTAGTATCTGATTAGCTTTCTGCAGATTTATTTTATAATATTTTTTCTATTTAAACTGTTGTGATGTCATTTGAAAGGAAAAGGCTGCAGCTTCCTTGAGTGCAGATTGATCTATTTCTCAGTATCCACTATTTATTTATCTATTTTTTACTATTTAATCATGAATGGATGCTCATGCAATAATCAAGTCCTTCACTGCTTCTTGTAGCAATTTACAGCTTCATTGCATTTGTGATTGTTTGTGAGAGATATAATGGAAGCAAAGGGTGTATTAGATAGTCTTTTAATTGGTTCCATCCTGTATAGTTGGTGTTGCACCAATGTTTTTGGATTCACCCTATTGCTTGTCTGTGAGGAGGGAGAGGTGCTTAGTTCCAAGTTCTATTAGAAATAAGTGCAGAATATTCTTCCTGCGACCTGAGAGAGCTTGTGCCACTGAAGATGGTTCAGTTGGTTCTAGGTGAGACAAAAGACGTGTGCAATGTAACTGGTTTAAAGATAGCAGATTTAGACCTGGTTTGCATTAGATGAGTGGATGGAGCATTGTAAGAGTTGCTTAGAGGATTGTTAGGTGCAAAGGTAGGTTGAAGTGTTGATATGTGTGCAATGGTAGAGGGTGGGAAAGAAAGGGAAGATAATTTGGTTTGTGAGGCTGAAGGTGTAAGGGAGTAAAATTTTTCTCATCAAGCACAACATCTTTGGAGATATATATTTTCCCATCAGCAGAAAGACACTTGTATGCCTTGTGATTTGTGGAATACCAAGAAATATGCACTCCTTTGAATGAAATTCAAACTTTTGTTGATTGTAAGGCTTGATAAAGGGTAGTAGGCATATCCAGAGGTGTATAAGGTGAGATAGTCGGGTCAGTTTTGAGCAGCTTAATAAATGGAATTTCACCATTCACAGAGGATGAAGGCAAACAATTGATCCCAAAATTTGTAAGGAAGAGATGCTCGATTCAGCAGTGTTAGTCCAGTTTCCACCATGTGACAATGTTTTCTTTCATTAGTTCCATTCCGGTGGTGAGTTTGTGGACAAATGACCTTATGCATGATTCCAAGGTCTGTTAATAGTTTGGTAAAGGGTTTGTACTCACCACCCCAATCTGTTTTGCACAGATTTTTTAGTTTGGGAAGTTGTGTTTCAACCATCTTCTTGAACTGCTGAAATACAGTCAGCAACTCAAATTTATTTTTAATTAGATATATCCATGTATAGCAGGCACAATATAAGTGTCCATAAAATTAATGTAATAATAGTAACCCCCTACTGATAGAACAGGGGCTGCCCCCCCTAGGACACTGAAGAATGAAGATTGGTGACAATGCTTTTTATTGTCCTATCACTTTTAGGTTCATACGTGGTCTGTGGATGCTAACCAGTTCATTGCTGATGAAGAAGATGCTACTTATAGCTGTCGCACCTCAGGTCAGTTGCTTCCCTTAAGATTTATTTGCCAGTTTAAGTTTCTGATAGTGGTAATTTATTTCAATTGACTGATAGGTTCCTTTGTTGAGTTAGTTTTGTTCTTTGTAATTATTTTGGTGATTTTTATGATAATTTTAGTCCTTATCCTTATAATGAAGTTCTGTAATTTCTTTGACTTTAATCATTCAAGAACACTTAGAGTCTGTTTGGATATAAAGTGAAACTCCGTCAGCATTTATGTTGGCGAAAGTTGAAAAATTTCTCCTCTGCAGAAACCTTGTTCTGGGGTCTTGTAATTTGGCACAACGGAGTTGGCAACCTTCGCAATGCCAAACCAAACAAGTTATAAACAGCTTGTCGTTCAATAATGTTTTCAAATGGATGGATTTTGGATTGGATCATTATGGATTGATAATTTATAATACATTATTCCATTTAGTATTCCGTTAACAATTTAATGTAACTCTCTAAACTAAATGGATCTCCATTGGTTGTCCAATAGATATTTTGGTTGGTGTATTAGCTATTCATTAACTAAAACTAGCCCAACCCATACAATCCATTAAATTTACTATTGTAATTGTATGGCTTGAATTTAACATTTGTATGGATGAACTGACTGAATGGATAATGGATCCAATTGTCACCCCTAGATTTGGATGATTTCAATTCCTCATTTATTGTTCTGTGTTCATATGAATGCATGTATCTGATTTAGTAGTGTTTCATGAGCCTTGTAAAAAAAAAAAATGCTTCTTGTAGGTGTGCTTTTACTGGAAGAGGTAGTAAATTCTTCTGATAGTGAAGGAGTTTTGGCCATCATCGATGCTGCAAAACAATGGTTTGCTGAGTCTCAAATCAGAAAAGTGGCTGGCAATGCAAGCTGGTGGAGGGTAAATACAGCATGTCATTTTTCCTTGGATCTAGAAATTTAGCATATTTGGTATATAATGTAATTTGCAAAATTTGATTGGCTTGCTGAGTGCTGACACATGCTATTTTAAAAATATTTCTGATTCTCAATCCTTTTATATATATATATATATATATATATATATATGCTCTGTTAATCTTTTTCATGGTATGCTTGCCAATGATTCCTGAATAAACATGATACGAGAGACAGATTTCTTAGTTCTACAGTCTAAACTTTGTTATACATGCTAATTTTTGTCAGATAAGAGAAGCTACTCTTTTTGCCTTGTCATCTCTTTCAGAACAACTGTTTGAGACACAGGTTTGGTATTTTGATTTTGGTTTTGAATTCTAAATAGCAGAATTTGTAAACCTTTTCATTTCCATTTTCAATAACTTGTGGTTTTGTTTTACAATAGGATAAACTATGATATGATTTTTTATTGATATAGGAGTCTGGATTTGGGTTAAGCAGCTTGAAGCACCTGATTGAGCAGATTGTCACTGAGGACTCTCTAATAGGTCACTTCTCAACTCTCCCCTTGCCTCCTTTAAGCTCCCATTCTGCTACAGTGAATGCAACTGTGCGTGGGTGTATATGTATGTCTTTATATAATCTTAGTTTTTCGTTTTTCTCACAGGTCCTCTTGAATGCCCCTTTTTATATGCTCGCATTTTTACTTCAGTTGCTAAATTCTCCTCTTTGGTAAACGTATCCCTTTGTTTTATGACTGCTTCTCTCTCTCTCTCTCTCTCTCTCTCTGACTTCTAACTGATCATAATGTTTTACAGATAAGCAGTGGTGTCCTAGAGCACTTTCTCTATTCAGCAATGAAGGCAATTACAATGGATGTGTAAGCACACTTAACTTGCCTCAGTTTGTATTCTTCTTGTACTATACTCTTCTAACATTGCATTTAACAGCCCCCCACCTGTAAAAGTAGGTGCCTGCCGAGCACTTTCCCAGCTCCTCCCTGAAGCGAAAAAAGAAATTGTCCAATTGCAATTGTCGGGTTTATTTTCATCCCTCACAGATCTTCTGAATCATGTACTCACAAATACATCCTTTTTCTGTATATCTTTTACTATTGTTGCATGTGATAGTTATCTTTTGATTTCCAGGCATCAGATGAAACCTTGCACATGGTACTTGACACATTGCATGCAGCAGTAAAGGCAGGTTAGTATCTAGTGAAAGTATGTATGCGATGTATCTGGTGAGAGGAGCAAATCTGAACCATATAACTATACATGGATGGTTAAAATTAAGAGTTTTTAGAAGTTACATGATCACTTAAAAAATTTATGCGACTTTAAAGAACTCACATGACTTCTGTGTTTTAATCTTAACCATTCATAGTAAGATTTAATGATCAAGATTTGATTCTTTCACTTTCAAATAAAAAAAAAAAATCCTCTCTGTCTATCTATCTATTCAGGTAGCTATTTGTTGAGATTAGGCTTGATATTTTCTAATTTGTTATTTGTTTTGGCTTGATTATATTGACTGTATTTCCTGTTATTAGCTTGAATTTTTGTACATATTTGTAATAGGTAACTATACTGTAATCTTGTTTCTTTCCCAAAATTATGGGATTCTCTAGTACAGAACCTGTATTATAAATCATTTGGCTAAGAGGGTATCTCTCAAGCAAGTTTTCACTCAAATCTGTCTCTTGTCTCTGTTTCAACTGGATTTATTCTCTCATTGTTGCTTATTCAGGTCATGAATCGACGGCAATGGTAGAACACATGATTTCTCCTGTAATCCTTAATGTATGGGCATCACATGTTTCAGATCCTTTTATCAGTATTGATGCACTTGAAGTTCTTGAGGTAATGATTTTGATTTTTTTTGTTTTGTGAATATTATCTGCAGAGTTCTGTTATTGTTTCTCTAGCATCCTACATTAGTTATGACTTTGGTTGTCAAATTTGTGATCCTATCTTGAATTGGACGAGGAAGGTAGGAATGTAAAAAATGATATTTTAACATGAAGTGTTCTATCATACCTATTGTCTATTTTATGTTAGAGATTGTGTATGCTTTATACCAAAATGAAGTTCCTCCACATTCATAACATAGCGCTTTCTGCCTCCTCTCCATCAGCACCTGATAACTCAAATGGTAAAATCCCCCATCTCAATTCCCGTCCTTTTTTTCTCCTTTGTTTTTCCTTGAAATATTATTTCTACCTCGTTGTCATCCTTTTTTCTGTTGAAACTCTTTCTACCTGTTATGTTCTATTATTCTATGGCTGGACTTATCACCTTTTGTAAATAGCGAACTCCAATGACTACGACCACCACACCCATGCTCTAATTTCACAAGAACTCATTGCAAAGAATTCCCCCCAGCATCAGCAATCAAGTCTGCTTACACTGCATGTGCTTATTGCAACATTCAAATCGAATTTGGTGGATTGTGGAGACCTTCGATGGAAACTTCCTTGAAGATGATCATGCATGAAATAAGCCATAAATTTCTTCTCCACCAACTGAGGGACTTCCACATTCAAATTGTTCAATGTATTCCTCCATCAATCCAAATCATTGCAGCTCATAGAGACTTTCAAACAGATTCTCCACTTGGAGAGGAGACCTCCAAACTGCAAAAGCAAAGAAGAATGCTTCAAGCTCTCCCATGTTAGTGTCTCTTCATTCCTGCGCCACAAATTCAAGCAGTGCATAGAAGGTCCACTCATACTCACTTGTGCAAGTCTAATCTTAGTCTCTGATTGCATCTCCTGAATTGTGAAGGCTTTTTTCCTTAAGATCCGCCTTGCAGGATCAAATCCATTGAAACAGGTTAACTCTACCTGCTTCTCTAACAAATGCAGATCCTGCACCGTATCCTCATCCACATTATTTGAATCTCGTTCATCACCACTACTTGACGAACTGAAGTTCTCACATGAGAATGATCATGTCCTTTCTCCCAATGAGCTTCCATTTTCTCCTCCATCATTATTTTGAAAACTATTTTGGATGACCCCTTCATCTATTCCTGCACCTTAGATGCCCTTTTGGACAAGGACTTTGCAGCTGCTTCCAAAGAGGCTACTCAAACATCCATGGCTGTTGGAACTGGTTCTTTGTGCTTGGGCATACACCTTTGGTGAGGTTATTCAGCACATTGAACCAATTGATAGGAGATGCAATGAAAGAGAAAAAGAAATGTATTTAGTATTTACTTGAAAGGAGGAACAATTACAGAAGGATCTCTTTTGCCATCCTATAGCAAATTTCCTCAGAGAGAGCATTCACTGTCTCCATATTACACACCTTACATGTGTATTCTCACTCTCAGCCTGTAACTGAACCTTTGCCTTTTCTTCCTTACCCCTCCTGACATAAACATTCTAGATTTTAGATCCTTGTTCACTCCCTGCCTATGTGTTGCTTCATTTGTGCCTTTCAAACCCATGGGTTTCATCTCAGGGATAGAAATTTTTTAGGACCTTGAATGACCTTGTTCACTCCCTGCCCATGTGTTGCTCCTCTGCTTTGAATTTGGCTTGTTTTCTTGTAATTACCATATTTGTGTACTTTTTTGTGGTCATTAGAGGTTTTACATTCTTGTAACAGTTGTTCCAACTTTGACCACCCTTCAGATGCAAATTTTAGCTTTGTCTATGATGCTTTCTGATCTGAATCTATTACTCGATATGCACCATATATGGTTATCTAGGTTCATAACTACATTGACTTTGAAAGCAGTTTTTACAATAATTTCTTTGTTATCTGATGAAACTGGTTTTTTTTTTTTTTTTTCCAGGCTATCAAAAGCATTCCTGGATGTATACATCCATTGATTTCCAGAATTTTGCCATACATTGGACCAATTTTAGATAAAGTATGACTATTTAAAGTTATTCAGTGTCAATGGTTAATTATTTTAGAATAATAGCTTTGTTACTTATGCATTCCTCTAAATGTTCTGATAGCCCCAAGAGCAGGCTGATGGATTGGTAGCTGGGTCATTAGATCTGGTAACTATGTTACTGAAGGCAAGTATACTTACATGGAAACATAGCTTTGACCTTTGAGCACTGTATTTATCTTATGATTGACTAATCTCAGTTTGTTGTAGCTTTACACAGAATGCCCCTGCTGATATAGTGAAAGCAATATATGATGTCTCTTTTAATGCTGTTATCAGAATAATCCTTCAAAATGATGACCACAGTGAAATTCAGGTCATTTGTTTTTTGCTAGATACACACATGCATACATCCTATTTCATTATTTGTATTTGCAACGATTTCTGATTGGAACATGGGATTAAATGTTTGCTTTCACTTGACATGAGCAGAATGCTACAGAATGTTTGTCTACCTTTTTATCTGGGGGAAGACAGGAAATTCTTGCTTGGGGATCTGATTCTGGATCAACTATGAGAAGTTTACTTGATGTAGCTTCAAGGTAAGGCAGTTATTTTACATTTCTTAGTAAATTGACTATGTCGCTTCAAACTTCCTTTTGTGATAGGTAATTTTCAATGGCCTTCAGAATGAGTCTTTCGACTAGAATTGATATGCATGACACAATCCTTAACTAATTACGTAGTTCAAGTTAAGCATACCTAGTAATTCATGAAATATCGTTATGCTTTTAAAATTGTTTTTTTTTTGTATTGAACCTTGTAGGATATGGGAAAGGAGAAAACCAGTATGGGAAATGTGTAACTAGTCATTGCTGTTTCTTTTTTCTATGGAAAAATCAATTTGTTGCCCTAGTTTATACAAATCTATGTCTAAAAGTTGTTCAAAGGGTAGTGTTCACTTTTTTTGTGGCTAGAAATGGAGTGGAAGTTTCAACTACACCAACAAACAAATCAAGTCTTTTCCTAATAGGTGGGGCTGACAACTTAGATAAAATAGCGCATTAATGTGATTTTTGTATGTTAGATTTGTAGACAACCTATTGACCTTTAACAGCATAGAGTAGTCCAACTCTCACATTAAATTCATTAAACCATGTTTTGAGATATTCAGTCTCCCCCTTAGCGACAAATCTAGGAGGTTGCCATAGTTGCTAAAAATGGAAGTCTTTGCCTTTTGAGGGGCAGGGATAGCCATGGATTAGTACCAAATAGTGTCGAGCAGTGTTGAATAGTACTGAATAGTACCAAACGACCTAAAAATGAGTGACCCAACTCAAAACAGACCAACGAGGACAATAAACTGACATAAATGATATTTTACCAAGGAACCATTAATAGGGAATTATTGCTGACTGGTTTGACTGATAAAAAATTCAAAATTAGAAAGGCTTACTTTGCCTCTGGTTTTCTTTTGAACTCTCCAGTCTCCATTATAGTTTCAAGTAGGATAGGTTTATTGCTTGTGTGTTTATCTGCATGTTCTCTTTTTAAGTTTTTGATTTGTTGCTTGATTTATTCTAAATTTGGAACAGACTACTAGACCCCAATTTGGAAAGCTCTGGGTCTTTCTTTGTTGGCAGTTACATTCTTCAACTTGTTTTGCATTTACCATCACAAATGGCAGTACATATACAAGACCTGGTAGCTGCTCTTGTCAGACGTATGCAATCTGCTCAAATTGCTGCTTTGACAAGCTCATTGCTTGTTGTTTTTGCCAGATTGGTAATATAGCCAATTTTTCAGATTGATTTTGAATGATTCTAGTTTCAATTTTCAGTGTTAATGGAAAATCTCTATTTTTATTAATAGTCTTTAGAACTAGAAAGCCAGTACTTCTAGGAATAGTCATTTTTAAAACTTTTTTGGAACTAGCCAATGCTTCTAGAAATGATCCATTGCATCTTATTTTAAATTGCATTATTTGTTTTGCAAGATCCGTCACTCTCCTTTTTCCTGTAGAGATAATTTTCTCCTATATTACTTTAAATTTAGGTACACATGAGTGTTCCTAATGTTGGACAATTTGTTGATTTACTGATCTCAATTCCTGCCGAGGGACATGCTAACTCCTTTGCTTATGTAATGTCAGAATGGACTAAGCTGCAAGGTGAGCAGTCTTCTACTATTATGTTTGTTAAGGTATCTTAGTATGTGATTTTGTTGTCATTTGCTACTGTGCAGATTATAAACTTGTCAGTTGTCACCACATACTACGTCCATAGCTCTGAAATACTCCCTCCATTTCAAATTAAGTGTCATATTAGGAAAGAAAAACAATTCAATACTAAGTGACATTTTTGGATTTCAATGAAACATTAATTATTTCATTGCAATTCTACCCCAATAAATAATGAATATAATGATTTTTTAGTATTGAGTTAAAATTTTAGCAGTCAAACTGTTAAATATGTAAATTTGTTAATTAGAAAAATCAGTATATTTGTAATTATGGTAACTAGGTAATCGTATATTCTGTAGTTATTATGTAATTATTACTTTGTCATTAGAAATAAAACTCTTCGTTGTGTATCAAACACACACTGGTTTCATTCTATGTCTCTCAATCTTTTCTCTCTCAACATGGTATCAAAGTCGGCCTTAGATTTGATATTGGGCCACCCTTGACTTGAAAAAAGAAAATTTGGCCCCATGAATTTTTCAAGTGCAATTAACCTGATCCCATGGATTTTCCAGTGCAACTGCAACTTACCTAGTCCTGCAGCTTTCCTAGTCCTACCTACCTGGTCATCTTGTGGCTTATCCAATGCCTATATTAAAAGAAAAATAGTTTTATAATTTTCATGGTCTAGATGTCCAAGCTTGAGTGTGAGGGCGTGTGTTGAAGTCCCACAATGATTATAGATATGGCTAAATAATACTTTATAAGGCTGAAGCAATTCTTACCTTATGAGCTAACTTTTGGTTGAGTTAGGCTTAAAGCCTAAATTCAACAGATAGGTTTCCAAATAGTTCTATATTGTATCCTGCACTGTTCTTTCTATTCATTTTTTTTTTTCATCAGAGTAAATCTTTTCACTCATGCAGTAAGTTATTACTGATTTAGTGACAGTGAGGAAGGACTAAGGAGACACAGTGGGAAGAGGGTGGAGTCCATGAGAAGCAACACTGGGGGGAGAGCGGAAACAACATTTTGATGAGAAGAATAGGGTTACCTTCACTTGGGACATGTCATTGTCAATCAAGCAATTTAAAATGTCATGTGTGTGCTTGCATTAAGTGCAATAGAGATAGTTGATAAAGACAAAAAAGAGCAAAGTAAACTAATAGGGACCTTGTGTTAAGTTATTGTTAAGGGACTAAGCTGTCTGTTGCTTTGTGTTTTTTTAGGCACCGATTTGTATCTTTACAGCAGTTCCATATTTTTAGAATGTGGCAGTGAGACTGTGATGGGGGAGGGGAGAGGGGGAGAGAGAGATTGCTTTCTTAAGCAGTACATTATCAGGGACCTTGTGTTTTTGTTTTGTTTTATATGGGACTAGTGTCCCTCCTTGTTTTTGTTAGGTACTAATTGGATCTTTTCTCCAATTTCATATCAAGGCAATTGAACTGTAATGGGATTGGTCACAGAGGATTTCGACTCCAGTTTAATTGACATCAATATCAGTTAGTTGTAGTTCAAGCTGTCTGTACAGTCATCACCTTCTGTTAGCTGTCGCATCATATAGAAGTTATAGCAAAATGTTTGCTTAGCTGTCTGTAACAGATCTGAGCTTTCAGTTGCCTATATATATTTGTCTATTCTGAATACTTCGTAACAATTTTTACAATCAATACTATTCATTCAGATATTCTCTTTATCTTCTCTCTCTCTCTCTTTTCCAAGTCTTCAATAAAGTGTGTGTGTGTGTGAGAGAGAGAGATTGCTTTCTTATGTTGGACATCTTTTATGCAGAACATCTGTAGGCTAAGAATAAGTTAGTGCTGCTTCCTGCTGATTCAAAATAAAAATGCTAGTGCTACTTCCTAGGTAGTAATTCTTATAAACATTAAATGCATTTAACACGACATGAATCGCATGTTAATATTCTAACGCCCCTTGTTGCTTTTCACCACCTCTCTTTATCAAGCTTCTTATTGTTTTAGCAGTATTGCTTTCATGAAAAGTATTGACACAAATAACTGTGCTATCTGATGAGATCTGCCAGTGTCTTCTATGTTTATGTTGAGAATACGTCTGCCTCAAGCCAAAGAAACAGATATGTGTGTGTGTGTTTTTGTGTGGATAGTCTTCTTTTTTTTCTCATGAAAATTGGGTTTATCTTATTTATAGCTTTTTCTCAAAAAATGAAAATGATTAATAAGGAATCAAATGTGCATAAGCTAGATCAAGTAAATTTGCTACCACTTGATATCTGATTGCAGGGGAGATACAGGGGGCCTATCAAATAAAAGTTACTACAAGTGCCCTGGCCTTGTTGCTATCCAGTAGGCACAATGAACTGGCAAAAACACATGTCCATGGTTATCTGATTAAGGTATTACTGTTATTTTATTTATTTCTTCTCTATTGTTTTTTTGTGGTGAGGGGGGGTGGTGGGATTTGAATCCTTGCTGACTTCTTCAACTTATTTGTCTTATGAAGTCTGGTATGGGAATAACCACAAGATCAAAAGCTAAATCAGCTCCAGATCAATGGGTAATGTGGCCACTTCCTACAAAGGTAATTTCATTTTATTATATATAGCGCTTTGAACTTTTGGAAGAAATCTGTTCTGTTCATCTGTACAGGTTAGTTGTTTGGACATGATATGTTGAAATCAAATGGCAGTGTTAGGCATGTTTGTATTTCTTCAAGAAATTCTTTTGAGGATCTATCTTGCAAATTATTGGTGTTTTGCATAATTTTTTTCTTTGGTTTTTGTTAGCAAAGCATTTTTCATAAACCAATTATTCCAAAAGTTTAAACTATTAGGGGAAGACAAAAAGCTTTATTTTACATCTCTTACACTCCTCATCCCCTCACACACGAGTCCTTGAGGGTTAACATGTGGATAATGTACAAACCCACCTGTTGTGTGCTGAAATTCAACTTTTTGGTATAAGAATGGGACTGACAAGAATGAAACCATAGATCAGTTGGTCTTGTAGAGGTTTGACATCATGCCATAAACCACTATTCCAAAAGCATAAGCTATTAGATGAAAACACATGAATAGTTTCACATTACTTTTCTAACAGTTGTTAAATCAGTAAATGAGTTTTGCTTTTAGAACCCAGAGCTCAGTTTTGACAAAATGTCTAGGCCGAATTTTAACAACGCTACTTTTGTGGTACAATCATGGTTAAAATTTATGTTTGCCTGTAAAAGGAGACAATGGGGATAGAAGTTAAAAGAAATTTCTTTTGTAAATAAACCTCGTGCTTTTTTTAAAATATCTTGCAGATTGTGGCTTTATTGGCAGATGCATTAACTGAAATACAAGAACAAGTTTTGGCTGCCAATGATGAGGTAATTTAATGCATGTTGATATGTATACTAATTATACAATAATTAGTAAACTTTATATAAACTGTTTTATTCAGGACAGTGACTGGGAAGAAGTTCAAACAGATGACATTGAAAATGATAAAAAATTTCTTTATTCAGTGTCTACATCTGCTTCGGGAAAACCCACATACGAACATCTTGAAGCGATGGCAAAAGTATTTAATGAGGTTTGTTTGAGTTGCAGCTGTTGTCACTTAATTTCTCTATCGTGCAATTATATCATCATATATTAATGCTGAAATTTTAATTTATTCTTTTTATTTTGCTGCATTTGCTTCAAAATTGCTAGGATCAAGATGATCAGTATGAAGATAACCTTCTAAGTGTTGCCGATCCTCTTAATCAGGTCTGTGCTCTGGAGTTATGTTTCATTTGTTCAATGTGTTGCACTAACCCGCAATATGTATTTATTAACAATTATGGTTGCAACTGACAGATAAATCTGGCAAATTACCTGGTAGATTTCTTTGTTAACTTCTCTCAGTCTGACAGACAGCTCTTAGATCACATTTTTGAGGTTTTCATGCAGTTGGAATTATTTTCAGTATGTTCAACTTTTTAACACTTACAGACGAATGTTACTGAACTTGTGCAATGTATTGTGTTTTGCACTGCAGAGCTTGACTCAGTCTCAACGAAATGCTATTCAAATGGTACTGAAGAGATGAGAATTTATCGTGAAATCACAGGGTGAGTGCTGTCATAGGGATGGGTTGATATTACCAGGGAGAGTGAAACAAAGGGATGTTTGGAAACGAATATTTTCCATTATTCAGCGTGGGGAATCTGTTTGTTCTGAAGGATGCTTTCTTTCTGCTGCTATCTCCCCCCTTGTCCGTTTTTTTATTCTTTTTGTTCGATGTGTTATATATGTATCAGTTATCAGTTTTGCTTTTACTTGGTTTCTGCTTATTCTTGATTTACCAATTTTTTGTTTGTATACCAATTATGTCATTTATCACAGAAAAAGGAGCAAACATCAGTTGGTAGCACAAAAGAGCATAAGAAATCTCATTAAATACTCAGTTTTGCTTTTACTTTGTTTCTGCTTATTACTTTTTCCTGTTGGGCAAAAGTTTAGAGTTTATTCCCTATAGGTTTTAAAATCTTAACTTTCATTGCCCCCTTTGTTGTATAAAGCAGTGCATCATCTAGGGTAAAGTTAATCATTTTTTGTTCAGTATGGATTCCCTTCCTTCCCTCCCTAGTTTGTTATAATTATCCTTTTCATTTCTGGAAAAAATGAGGATAAAAAGGCATGAACTGTTCCCTCCAATTTGTGAGTGGATGTTGCTAACTTGTGGGACATCAAACTTTATGGAAATGGTGCACGAGTAAAATTGGTTTTTTCATAAAATTAACAAAAATTCAGATTTTTTTTATTAGACTGGAAGTTAGTTGCTCTCCAAAGATTTGATATATTGCATCATGTCTTTTGAAAATGGCTGCAACTACACGATTTTGTGTAAAAACTAAAAGGAAAAAAAGAAGTGTTATGTATAAAGGTTTAAATACAATTCAAAACAGGTTATGATAAATTATGATATGCAATAAAGGATAATTTATCAACTTTAAAAAATATTATTGTAGTTTAACATAGTTGTGGTTATTATTATGAGAAGGTGTTTGATAGTTGGATAAAAAATATTTTGTTTTTGTTCATTGTGGAGGTTTAAAAGAAGAGAATGTGAACTAATTTTAAATTTTCAAAGCTATTATTATTTTTTTTACTTGAGAGTAGTTAAAACCTCTTTGTTAGTTCCATTACTTCATCTTATAAACCAAAATTCATTGTTAAATTTATTTGAACTTCTAAATACAATTATGAATGAATTGTGTTTTATAGACAAAACATAGATAAGGTTTTTAAGGTGCTTTCAAAACTTTTGTTGCTTGTTTCTAATTAAAATTTTATTTTGATAATCAACATAATAAATGTTAGTATTAAAGCTTAACTCTAATTTTTGAGATAAAATTATAATTTTAATTAGAGAATAATGCCAAATATATTTAAAGTACTGCATATACGTTTTACTGTAAAAAAAATCTCCTAAATAATCTGTCAAAAGTATTAAAGGTACCATATCAAAATGTTTTTTACTCCACTCTCCAACGTCATCTTATAATAACAATCTTCGTAATCACATTAAAGTATAATGATATTATTAAATTCAAGAAATCACCGTTTGTAATTTGTAATTAATCTATATAACTTTTTTTAACTTGTTTTAATGGCAAATTTTTAATTATTACCATTACGTAAAATATATTTTTATTTTAATTCCTATAATATTTTTCATATAATCAAAATAAAAAATATATCACATAAAGGGACCAAAAATAATAAATATTTAAATGATACTAATGTTATAATAAAAAATAATAGCAGACTTATTTTTTAAATATTTTTATACCGATGTAAAAACTTTTTTTATAAAAAAAGAAATTAAAAACATAAATTTTATACAGGGACTAAAGTATTTTAATTATTAAAATATAAAAGCAATGTGTTAACTTTTAACAAATTATATGATGATTTTAAATAAGGAGTTGTGTCGCTATTGGCAGTCATGGAGTCGGGTACGGTTGCACTTTAGATGATTTTAAATAAGAAACGTGTCGTTGTAAAATGATAAAAAGCCTTCTTTCATACTTTTAGGGAAAATGTTTTGTAAACATGAAAAATAAGAAAATAAAAATCTTTTTCCTTTAATATCAAGGTATATTTTCAAAATCAATAATAATATACGTATCATTTTTTATGTTTAGTAAATGGAACTAAAGTTGATCTCTATATGCATTATATAATTTTAATTTAGATGCAGTTTTGGTCAACTTTTATAAAATATTTATAAAAAATTAAACAAAAATAAAATAAATAAAATCCCCTTTATTAGTTAAAATCAACTTATTCATCTCATATGTTAGAGAAGTTAAATGAATTTTTTTTATAAAAATAAAAAGGTGTAAGTTAATTTAAAATTGTACGATAAATTAAATTTATCACACTTCTTTATTTTTATCTCATATAAGTATTTATTGAAACTAAACTTTAATCTAAATACATGCAAACTTTTTTGGAATAATACCAATTGTTTGGATCTGTTCTAACATTGTTCTCTTCTCAGTAGTTACATGTTTGTTTGATCAAATATATTTTGGTTTTCATACGTATATGTTACATTATTTTAATTTGATTCTTATATGTTTATGTTACATAGTTTTAGTTTGTTCCTGTATGTATAAAAAAATCCAGTTTTGTCCCCACTAGTGCAAAGATTTTCTAAAGCCATCATCTTAGTTCTTATAATGAAAAATGTAGCTTCAATTATACTTTTAACCCTTCCACTTTTTTATTTTTCAAAGTATGTTTCTCACCTCAATCTTTTATCAGATAATTAATATAAATATAAAAAAATATGTATGTGTCATGCATTTATACAAATCCACAAAAAAAAAAAAATACCTTTAATATATTTAGTTAACTATTTTTATACATTTTTTATTAATTTATATTAATTAATAATATGCCATATCTTTATTATATTTTTATTAATTATTAGATGAGATTTTAAGGTGGGTAATTTAATTTAATTTAAATAATTAAAAAACTGCATTAATTAAAAATCAATAAATAAATAAGATGGCATGTCCGCATGTGATAATTCTCAAGTGTTGGAGCTGGAGCCTTTCTTCCATGTAGCTAAATTCCCTAAATCGACAGCTTGACCACTGTGCCAATTAATCTTACATATTCTTTTAATAATCAACATCTTATTGTATAAAGTAAATATTATATAAAAAATTAAGCATTTATTATCTTAAAAACACAAAATATATTTAATAATTTCTTTATTTAATAATTAAAAGAATTTATAGACATACAAAGTTAAAGGAATTTAGAATTAGTTGAAAATTAATGATTCCCTAATTGAAACTGGAGTTTTACTTTTACGATAATATTTCAAGAAGTATTATGAAGAATTGTTACAATCTGGAATCCAAGGTACAAAGCAAGTTTTCATGGACCTTATTAATTGACATGCAGCTAGCTAGTGCAGTGGCAAATCAGAAAAGGCAAAACATGATTGGGTTTGCAAATAACCAAGTTACTTCTTGGTAGTACATTTATTTGGACTAAAACGAATATAGATTCATCAATTTTCTTCATTACATTGGAACAGTTCGTTGCCAAAATGGAAAAGGAAAGAAGTCAATAAAACTATAGCGATTGGTGTATCTGATGCAAAAGCCTTCAAGCCATTCATATACATACTTTCCTGAAAATTGGTAAACATTACTTAAAAGAAAAATACAACATAACATTAATATTTATAGGTAATTTTAAATATTTAGAAATAGTAAATGTTTATTAAAAAGTATTTATTATACTTATAATAAATACTTTTTAGTAAAAGTTTATTAATTTTAAACAGATGCTTATAACTTGAAAAAGTATTCTATACTGTTATAATTTATTTACTATTTTTAAGAAAATTAGAGAATATTAACACTTTTTTTTAACTAAATTACAGATTTCATGATTATTTTACGTGTAAGAGAATATCAAATTTTCTATTTAAAATTAATTTTGAGAACTAATAGTATTAAGTAAACGGATTAAATTACTCAGCGTAGCCACCATCTCTCACGGTCATCATTGTGGACAGAAGAAAACTTGAAGAACAGAAGTTGAGCACTAAACTCAGTGAGAGCCCTTGGATGAAGTGAATCTCTGCAAAGAGGACAAGTGTCATTCTTGGAACCAACCAATCTATCCAAACAATCTCTATGGAACCTGTGGTCACACGTAAGCACTCTAATCACTTCTTCTTCATCTCCAAATTTGCACATACACACACCACAATCTTTATGTTCCTCTGAATGGAAACATGGCTTTGAATGATGGAGCATGTAAAAGGGATAGTAGAGAAGGAACTCAAATACCCATTTAAGATTATTGTAAATTAGAGTGAGGTATGTGGTGAACATGCTGAAGGTTTGAGTACAATATATTATGGAAATGGTTAGAAGTAAAGGTATTAGCTATGGCTTTGCCTTTGAGAAAAAGTTGGAACCACTTGGGAGTATTTATAATCAAACTTGGATGTCAGGTAGTAATGGAAACGCATAGCAAACACATTTTGGGTGGGTGACATATTTTAAGATGTTTTCTGTATTTTTAGTATTTGATATATAGGTTTTATGTTTACCTCATTAATAAATAATTATTTTAATTTATTTGGTGAAATTTATCTCAAATTTTACTTAGAAAACTAAAAGAGTAAATTTATATTTTTCTGTTTGAAAGATGCATACATTATATTGCCATTTTTTTTAATTTTACAAATTTTAACCACCTCCATTAAAAAAAATAAAATACATCATAATTTAATCTATTTTAAGTTTCTTACGAAAGCACCATTAAATATTTATTTGACATTTTTTATTAAAAATACTCTTTTTAATTAATTTTAAATTTTCTTTATTAGCTTTTTTAAGAAGTTTAAAAAGCTCAATATATTTTTTATGAGACAATACAAGATATAAACAACTTGTGGCCTTAACATATTAAAATATATATATAGAACATGAGATTTAAAATTTTAGGATATACAAATAAAAATTAGACTATAAATAAAGGATAAATCAACAAATTTAAAATTATATATGTATAATCAAAATAATTTTTATACTAATTATTACATAAATTAATAGTACTTGCTAATATGTTAATTTATGATTGGATGATGATTTAAATATTTTTTACACTGACCATGTATCTAAATTAAATTCTTATTTGTTTTGTTTCTTATATATAAGATTATTTTAAAACATTTGTCATGTTTACAAAAGTATTCTGAATGAAAATAAAACAATTAATTAAATAAAAGTAAGTAAAATAACTAGTCCATTAAACTTTAAAGTTAACTTTGAAAAATTATTTAAATTTTTATAAATTAAATTAAATTAATGATATTTTTAGTTTTCATGCTGCAATTAGAAAAAAATGAATATTTAAGAGTAGAGGAAGTAAAATATTAGTCAATAGAAAAGGGTGCAAATGAATCCGAAAAATGGGTTGTTAAAGGATCAATTGTTGAATTCCGCGTTATTCATTTGAAGTGGGGCCACACACAATTTCGACCACTCATTACCTTGTCATCTGTGTTTCAATACCGTAAATATGAAAATCAAATTATTTTGTTAGTTTCTATAGTTCACACACGATTATCTCGAGAAATCTGAGGTTACTAAGGAGATTCTTCTGTAGGGTCTACTTTTCTTTAAGGACTATGTTTTTAAGAATCTGAGAGTCTATATTGGAGAATTCAACAAAAATATTTCCTGTCATATTCTAATTCAATTTCTAATCACTCTAATTATACTTTATGTTTAACTTAATGGCATGCATGCATAGCTTAGGCCATGCTTCTGTTTGAGTTTAAAAGTAGATAATATACCATTTATTACTGGTCATAAATCTGATCTTCTTGTGCTGCCAAATGCATCAACTACCTTTCATAGATTGTGATTCTCTTTATTCAATTTGAAACCTGGTTTTATAGATCCGTGAATCTTCCACCAAGCAACTTTGAGGGATCAGTAACTAGATAAAACTTCATTCTACAATCTAATATTTCCAGACATTCCAAAATATCATGTGCCTGAAAATGTGAGATACAGAAGTGGGGAAGAATATGTTATACAAGACTAACATGAAAACGAGTAAAAGTGGTATTGTTGTCCTTATTAGTCATTTTTAGAGGCTTTACTGACTTAATAAAATCTCTACACATGCTTGTGCTAACTATTCAGTGATAAGAACACCAATGCATGGAACCAACATGATTTTGAAGTTTCAATTCTAGTACATAGAAATTATCAATTCATTTTTGTTTTGCCCATTCTCATTCCTTGATGTGGTCATGAGGGGAAGAGAATCAAAAGGAAGACTTTCGTAAAACTTGAGTCTGTTAACTTGGATACATGGAACTTCTCCATTACAACAGATAGAATATATAGGTAGTATCGGATAGATCACAGTGATCAATGGTTATTATACTAACAATACAAAATTTAGAAAGAAAATTACTTAATAACCTTAAGGTACGTAATGTTCCATAACTTTTCCTAAAAACCCAACTCATATATATGTCGCCGCCATACATGCACTCCTATCTGCTCACGTTTTCCATTTTCGGAAGAAAATTTTCATCCATTGCTTTACATCAAACGTATTATTTATGCGAGCACTGGTTTGCAAAACACATAAGTAATTACAAGATAACCTACTTTAACCTTCACAGGTTTGTTTACTTATTGCCATACTTGCTAATTGCTCAGCGTAACCACTTGATCTCATAGTCATGGGGGTTGATAGAACAAGACTCAAATAATTGAATTTCAGCACTTAACTTTCCGATTTCCTTTGTTGGCCCCATTGAGTGTCTGCAAAGAGGGCAAGTGGCACTGTTGAAGCCAACCCATTTATCTATGCAAACTCTGTGAAAGAGATGATCACAGCGCAGCGTTATAACCTCTTCTGTTTCTCCCATATTGCAAAGACACACAGCGCAATCTTCCCGTGACACAGAGGTGGACACGTGATCATAGCGTATTCTAAGCTCTTCTCCACTAGTACTTATTGCCATTTCTGAACCAGAGAGGTTGAAATCGATTACAAAGGGATGGAATAAACGATGGAAAACTAAATCCATTGTCATTTTAAGAAGGGTGTGAAGGAGAGACAAGTATTCTATGAGCATTCTCAAGGCATGCCAACTATAAATGAAGTTAATTGCTAATGCGATTCGGATTAGAGGGCTCATGATCATTCAAGTTCTGGCTTGGCTTCCCTCAGAAATTGGAATGGTTGTGTGTGTGTATATATATTATAGGAAAATAATTGTGTTATTTTATGAATATTATTGATATTGTTAATCAAAATTAAAATTTTATTTTGATAAATTACATCTAAGTTTTGTTTTTTATTGTGAATAAATCTTGATATAATTAATCTTCATTAAATATCAATCTTTAACTAAAAATAATTCTGTATAATGATTTTAATTTATTGAAATAAAAAATAAAATAAAAAGTGACATAGAATAATTAAGTTGTGTTTCCCGGTCTTCGTGATGCACGACCCGCACAGCCTACGTTCTTCTCGTGGATTAACGTCTGTTCGGTGAATGACTATTAATAATTTTTAAAAAATTAAATATTTTAATTATTCATAATGAATATTCTACTCTATTAAATAAATAAAATTTTTAAAATTTAAACTGAAAAATTTTAATTAAATTTTTAAAAATAATTTATACAGAACATAATTAGGAAGAAAATTAATTTGTAAATCATTCTCATTTAAGAAATCTTCAAAAACTATATATACTTAAAAACTATGAGTTTAATATATATATATATATATATATATATATATATATATAAGCATAGATTAAGTCTATAAATTTTTATCTAATTTATTTTAATATGTAATGTGCATTTTAAAATATGTCAGCCTTTCCTGTCCAACAGTTATAAGTTATTAAATACATAATGTGTCCGTGAAAAAAATTAACTAAACACAAGTAGTTGAGATTTGAAAAGACACAATAGACTTTAATGTAAAAAAATAAAAATAATTTTTTCGACTAAATAATTAAGATTTGAAAGGAAAAAATGAAATAGAGGTTAGAAAACTAAGAGAATGGAGTTTTCATAATTTTTTTAAAAATTAAAGTTAAAAATACTTTTGATAGAAATAGCTATAAATCAGACATAACAATAAATTTCAATCCAAAGATGACTTGTGATTTTAGAATACAATGAGAATATGAAAGAAATAAAGAATATCAGAATCTATATAAATAAACACAATTGACTTTTTACAACAATTTTGAAGTTGATCTAAACACAATTGAAATAAAATCTAGTAAAATTTTTACTTCAATTGCATATATAATGGATATAAAAAGTAAATTCAGGTTTATAACCAATCTTAATAGTATAAATATTTAAATTTATTAATATTTGGTGTTATAAAATTATATCTCACGTAAGTTATGTCATAGATTGGGGTGCCATGCTAACGCATTAATGGTGAGCACTATCATCTTTGGCCAATAAGGTTCACAGATCTCAATATAGAGATATCGTTTAATCTCATATGTCGGACTATTGACTATTCCACCCACAACATTCCTAAACTTCATTTTAAATGTTTTATAAAATGTGATATTAGAGTTTGAGAAGAGAAAATTTTAATCTATATATCTTTTTTATTTTAGGTGAAATTTGATACCTTAATTGATAATTTTGTACAAGAAAAGGATTAATTAATTAACTAATTACTATTTAAAACTTGAATAAAAAATGAATATTTCAAAATTTAAAGTAAAAAATCGGAAGCCTAAAATAACATATTATATAAACTAAAAAGGATAAAAATAAAAAATACAAAATGTTGTTGATGACCCTCAATTGGTTTGCACAAAGCCTAAGCGCCATTAATTAAGATATTATTTCTTCAGAGTTACTCAGCGTAGCCACCATCTATCATGGCTTTGAGTGTTGATAGAACAAAATTCAAAGAATAGAACTTGAGCTCCACCCTCTCTAATGGCTCTTCTTGGTCTCACTGGTTCTCTGCAAAGAGGACACGTGGCAATTTTGGAACAAACCCATCGATCTAAGCAATTTTTGTGAAAGACGTGTTCACAGCTTAGCACTCTAATCTCTTCTCCATCTCCAAATTTGCACAAACACACAGCACAATCTACATCTTCATCTGAACCGAGGGTGGTGGATTCACAGTGGAACGTTGCTCTCTCTTCTCCAGTTATTGGCAATTCATGAGGATCATTGAGCTTGTAGAAGGGATAATATAGCAGGAAATCTAATACCCATTTCAGATGAGTGTAAATCAGAGTCATGGAATTCGTGAGCATGGCTTTGGATTGAGAGATATGAGTCTGCACGGATTGTGGTTTCAGATCTTTTTGGGATATTCATAAACCTTTCAAACATATGATGCATATACATGAAAAATATGTATTTAACAAGTAAAGAAAAAATAACATTATTTTAATTTCGTATTCTCCAATTGAATAAAAAAATAAATAAACATTTTATCCAATAAAACATTAGAACATGATTTCCGAGAAAATAAGCAGAGTCGGCGAACCAACGACGTATTATTGGTGAGAAATGGTGACACGTGAAGCACGAAAAGCTGCCTCTGATTGCTACCGTAATTCTAAATTCTAAATTTAAAAGTGTATTAAATATTTTTTTAAATTATATTAAAATATTAAAAATATTTATATCTTTTTTAAATATATTATTAATTTTATTATTAAAATTAACAGTTATAATTATTTCACGTAAATAAAAGTATAAAATACTTTTTATTTTTTATAGTACAATATAATTTATCAATATTTCAATAATGGTGACTTTTACCGTGGTTCAATTAAAGGTTTTTTCACATCGTGATCTTCTCTTTTATTTTATAACTATTCACGGTAAAATAAATTATTTTAAAATAAAATATCTGAATTACTAATTAATTCTTGTTAATTAAGCACTGTATTAGTTCGCTTAATGATACAATAATTTGAAGTTGCGTTCTTTTAGCTCATAAATAGTAGAATTAAAAGTCGTTTTAATCAATGTATAATTTAGTTATAATAAATTTTGGATTGTGATCGGTTTGGAATTTTTTTTTCTATATAAAATGTTTAAGATAAAACTGTTTTTTCTGAAATCATTGGGATAAGATACAGGTCTTGACGTAACACTAACATTTTATTTTAGGCAGAGTACGAAACTAAAAAGCAAAATGTGAAAAGAAAGATTCTTTATCTTCTATTTTAAGACTATTGCTATAAAACAATTCTCAAGAAAAAAAAAAGAATTCTCTTGAAAATATTTTAAAATATAAATGTGTTTAAGAAGAGAGATAATGACAACATTTTAAGACAATAATTATTATTGAGTGTTTTAAATAATTTTTTTAATTAAACATGTTAATTCTGTTAAAAAATTTTTTATAAATACCAATAAAAATACAATATATTTTTGAGGTGGGTATATGGATCAAAGTTTATAAAATCGGTCAATGTAACTCAATTTTGTACGAGTTTGGAATATCATACTCATTAATTACAATGTAACTCAAAGTTTGTAACTATTTTAAAGTAAATAATAATAATAATAATAATAATAATAATTTTGGGGGTTGGTCCATAAATAATTTGGACTAGCATAAAAATTAGTTTACAAGCAATAGAAGAAGTCAACTACATGTAAGTTGATCTTTTAAACGTGCTCTAATTGTTGTATTCAATCACGAGTTTTTAGCAAATTGGTACTAGCCATGTTGGATTGCGTCCTAGTACATTTAGTAGGAGTTTCAAATTGTGAACCACAAAGGACACATATATGAAGATATCTTCATAGTTATCTACAATATAATTACTCTCATAATAAAAGAACTTTAGTAGTCAGTGTAGACATAATAAAGGTTTCAGGTTTAATTATTCATGGTGGTTGTTATAGGTTATTAAAATAGGGGGAAGGGAAACAAGAATTTTGAACTAATTAATGCTATGTTTGAATTTGGACCAATATGAGAGTTCCATTTTGAAATAATCCTATAACTAAATGGCATTCAATTTTAATGTGCATGTGCTTAGATTGTTCTTAAAACTTTGCAATTAGGGTTGCATCTTATATAGATGTTGACATGGGGACTAAGTTTCAAATTTGGGCTTTCAGTCCATTGCCTTCTGAAGGTGTTGGCCCATGTATTTATTTATTTTGCTCTTTTGAGTCCTCATTTTCATTGTTGGTTTATCTAGCAAAGAATACAGAAAAGTAAGGGAAAATACCGATATACAAAAAGTAATTGAAAGAATTTTGTTATAAAAATTTTGTAAAAAGTAAACCTTTCAATTTACATTATTATATTCTTTATTTTAAATCTAAATAACTGTAAAATGTTTTTTTTATCAGTAATTTAATATTTGCTAAACATAAATGCAGTAATATAATAAATTTAAAAAAAAATAAACATAATGAAAATTTTTAAATAACTAATAGGATACCCTTTTTATATATGGAAACCTTTCAGTAAGTTACTAAGTTTGCTTTGGTTTTTTTTTTTTTTTTTTTTGGTAAGACTCCCTTCAAATTATCTATTGAATTAATTTTTTAAAATAATCCTTAATTAAATGTGGTAAATTCCTTTCTTTTACTTTCTCTCTTATTAACATTAATAATTAAGTGAAAAGAAATTAATAATAATTTCTCTCAAACAGTGTAGTTAAATATCCTTTGCTGATTGAAAAAACAAAGATTACTAATAATATTTAAAAATATATATAAATTATTGATAAATTCAATATTACGAATAACAACAAAAACAAAAATTTTAGTATTCTTTTAAAGTAGTTAAATTACCTCTCTCTCTCTCTCTCTCTCTCTCTACTTAAAAAAAGAAAAGAAAAAGGTAGAAAATAACAAAATACAGAGAGAGTGAGCTAAGATAACCAAAAAAGAAAAGAAAAATGAAATGTAGGTTAATACTTGATAGAAAACAAAATAATAAATAGAGTGAAGTTAGGGTTTGATAAATTTCATGAAGCCATTCGCATTTAATGGTTTTCCCAGTTCCCGTGTGCTGTTGAGACCCTAACATGCAGGCTTCATGGCAGCTGGACGCTCCATAGAGACGGTGAATATTATATTTATATGCAAATTAATTTAATTTGTGTGGCTCTGATGCCTACAGGGAACATAATTTTTAATTTCTACCAAAACCTCAATAATAGCAATATATCATACAATAAAAAAGGATGATAAAATATCAAGTAAAATTTTGCATATTTTATCTACTTTATTAAACTTAATTACTTTAGCCGTAGCTATATATATAGAACAAAAGGATTTATTCATACAAAGAAAAAGAGAAGGATAAGAGTGAACTTATATGAAGGTAAAGTATAATTTATACCCATACATTACTTTACTATTTAAAAATGATTTAATTAGTACATTTTTTAAATATAATCAAAGGTGCTTAACAAAATATACTAAATATTGTTTAAATCGAATCCTTAGTGTTGCTTGTTATTAACTAATGAGATCTCATTACTTCATATTTAGTGCAAAATACCCAAACATTGTTACGCAAAAGAAATATGGCAAAAAGAAGCCTCCGTATAATGCATAGAATGCTAACTAGCCTTTTAATTCCTGATTAGCCCTAGCAGGACCCATCTAGCAATAACACATTTCTTCATTTTTTTTTTTCCTACATAACTTTTTTCATAATTTTACTTTTCGTAAATAAGTTATTTTTTATATAAAAAATTGATTAAAGATAATAAATTAATTTTCTAAAATATTATTTAAATAAAACAAACAGTTTTTTTCAGCTTTTTACACATAGCAAAAATAAAATCATCCAAATACACACTTAATATTCTCTCTCTATATTATAGCATTTTTAAGACGCTAATACTTTTAATTTTTAAAAGTTACATTTGCAATTTTTATTCTCTTTTGTAAGTTTTCTAATTTTCTAGTACATACCTCTCCTCTGGATTAGAAGTTCCTCTTCCCTAACTTTTCCTTGAAACCAAACACACCTTAAGTGTTAAACAATAATGAGCTCATTCTAAAATGTACAGCCAACCAACAGTTTGCACTCACAATAGAATGATTAAATGTTTAAATTCTTCATCATAAATGAACTTGTCCTAATTCAGCTCCAAAATCTGACTAAAAAAGGGGATTGTTTTGGCCTGTATTAAAATCTTTTTATTGTCTATTATAGACTTAAGATGTTTAAATTAAGAAATGTTTAGAATAATGTCATCGACTTCAAAACATAAGTTGGAGAAAGTTTTGGCAAAATTTAGAACTTCATGTTCGTCACATACTATGTGTAATCAAAATATTGTAATAGCTGTTTAAGTTAATACACCGTTCCAAACGCTGAAAGTTTCTATAATCACATTATGATTTCAATTACGATTGCATCAATCACTTTAGTTTGTAATATTTCAATAATTGTAATGGGACCACAAAATTTATCTTAAAAAAAGTATTAATTGACCATCCCCCACGATCTGAAGATCAGTCTCAGAGACATTGAATCGAATAAAAAATAGCCTGGTTACAAAGAATTAACTAAGATTTTTAAAAAAAATTATTGTATACAGTTTTGAAACTTGCATGCAGGAGGTCAATTTTCTAATGTGAGGTGATTTTAAGGATTTAAAACTGTGCAAACAAGCATTGATGTAAAAAAATATTAATGCTTGTCTATTTTCGGAAAACTATTTCAAGAGGCCATGTGAGTCATGCACCAACAAATTTATGGAAGAAAAGGAAAAAAAAAAAAAACTATACTAGATGCCTGAAGGCGACCCTAATTGAAAATTCAAAGTTAAAAGTATAGATAACAATTAAAAGTGTACAAACTTCAGCGTTAACTCATGAAACTTGGCGGTTCCAAAAGAGCGTTGCTAGCTTGTGACAAACATTAATAAAAGGTGGTGAATCTGTGAGGTGGAAATTTAATCATCCTTAGGCTCTCTCTCTGTCCTTTTCTGTGACCACAAAGAAGTCAAACCCAACCTTATGAGCGCCCCCACACTTTGGTCCATTATATACACAAAAAACCACCACACCACCCCCACTTCAATAAAAACACCCATTTCCATCGTCCTCTTCTGGTGGTCTACTAGTGGGGTACACACACTTTCATGATTCTGTTCTACCCAAGTCTTCAAGACCCCACTTGATTTTCACCCTTGTCTTCTTCCAATTTCCATTCCCTCACTCCAAAACAGGTTCCCTAGCTAATATTATATCATTCGTAACTGTTTCATTCAGTTATTATCTTACTGCATATAATATGATTATTATGTATTATATACATGAGATTATAAATATTATGATTCTTTTTGTTCTTTGTTATGATCATGTTTAATTCATATTTAGTTTGATTTGTTATTGAAAAACAATTATTTGTTTTTATTAATTTTTAGAAGAATTTTAAAAATAGAATTATGTGTGAAAAGAAATTGTATGTTTCGAAATATGCATTTTGAGATTTTAATTAACATGATGTACGCTAATGAATTAGTGGATTAATTTACCAATAATTTTTCAGGTGGAGGGCCCTCAAGAAACTTCGGTGTGGGGTTTTGTCTTATACGAAGTGAGGTTTCTTAGGGTTTGCTTCGGTTAAAGTCATCTTCGTTATAAGATAGTAAGAATGGAGAAAGATCACAACTATTCGGTACAACACATAGCTCTCATCCGTGGCTCTTTTACGTTTCTGGCTTCATTCAATTTTTTCATATGTTAGATATTTTCACTCTCTCATAGAAACCTCATATCATCACCATGTTGTTTTGCTCCAATTTTGTTGAATCATCATTTCAGGCACCACCCAGCATGCCCCCAAGTTTCAACACACTTGATTACTCTCTCGATCATCATCAACTCCATTTGTACCCACAAAATCAACAACACCAGCATCTCATGAAGTTCCAAACTTCGGGTGAAAACAACAACTCATTGGTGGATTACATGCCTCAAACACAACCACCACCAAATCCACATGGTTTTTATGGTACTAGTAGTGCTGGTACCACTTCTTATGATAAACTTAGTTTTGCAGATGTGATGCAGTTTGCAGATTTTGGACCCAAGTTGGCCTTAAACCAAGCCAAGAACTGCGAAGAATCTGGAATAGACCCAGTTTACTTCCTCAAGTTTCCTGTGTTAAATGACGATAAGATGGAGGAAGATCAGAACATGATGATGAATAATAACACTGATGGTGGTGATGGGGAAGCTGAAAATGATGCTGAGAGGTTCAACTTGGTGAGTGTGGAAGATAAGTGTAGGTTAGTAGGAGAAGAGGGAATGATGAGAGAAGACGAAGAGACTCGGGTTTCTGATGACAACAACTCAGTGCAACTTCGGTTTCTTGGTCATGAGGACCTACACAAGAATTCTTCTACAGTTCAAGAGAACAAGAACAAGAGGAAGAGACCAAGAACTGTTAAGACAAGTGAAGAAGTTGAGAGCCAGCGCATGACTCACATAGCGGTTGAAAGGAACCGAAGGAAGCAAATGAATGAGCATCTTCGTGTCCTTAGGTCACTCATGCCCGGTTCATACGTCCAAAGGGTACGCAACTATGATTCAAATCACATGCCTCTTTTACCCTTTTTCCCCTCTTTCTCTACTTGAAAAAGAGACACTAAAACAACTAACGTTTAATAGAGAAATTATCACAAACTGAAATTTAATTCTTTACGTGTTGTTTTTTCAATTAGAAGAGAAAAGAGGACAGTGATTTTATTCCATGCAAGTATTGCACACCAATTTAGAAATTAACATGTAATAGTATGTTTCTTGAACAACTTTGGTAAAACTTTTAGTTGTTTCTTCTATATTCAGAGAATAATTTTGAGATGAGTGTACACAGAAAAGATTAAAAAAAAAAAGTATAAAGCATAAAAGTACTTATACATACTGTTTACTTTCAGTTGTTCAAATAACCATTTTAATTTTCATCTTCAATTCTTATCATCCCCTCTTGAATGTTTCTAATTTATTTTGTTTATATGTAGGGTGATCAAGCTTCTATAATTGGGGGGGCTATAGAGTTTGTGAGGGAATTGGAGCAACTTCTTCAGTGTTTGGAATCACAAAAGAGGAGGAGACTCCTTGGAGAAGCTCAAGCAAGACAAGTTGGAGATCCAACTCTTACAGCACAACAGCCTCCATTCTTTCCACCTTTGCCTTTGCCAAATGACCAGATGAAGCTTGTGGAGATGGAGACCGGACTTCACGAAGAAACCGCGGAGAGCAAGTCTTGTTTGGCTGATGTTGAAGTGAAGCTTCTAGGATTTGATGCTATGATCAAAATCCTATCAAGAAGAAGACCAGGACAATTGATCAAGACCATTGCTGCCCTTGAAGATCTTCAGCTAATTATCCTTCATACCAACATCACCACCATTGAACAAACAGTTCTTTATTCATTCAATGTCAAGGTACATATATATTTGGTACCCTCATATATAAATTTAGCCACTTATATAATTAAGCATTTAAGCATATGTAACATATATTAAATCTGGTGCGTACTTCTATTAAGATTCTTGTGTTGATTTAACTTGTCTAACAATGCCTGACCTGTGTAGGTAGCTAGTGATTCAAGGTTCACCGCTGAAGATATAGCCAGCTCGGTTCAGCAGATATTCAGCTTTATCCATGCAAACACTAGCATGTGATGATCGATTACTATATGTTGCTATTATATATGTTGTGAGGTAGTGTAGGTACTGTATTCATATACAAGAATTACTTGTGATTTCTATAGTTGCCTTTATGAGATACTGATATTGACCTTGCACTGCCGCTTGCACACTATATATGTATGACCTTTGGATTTACTGTTGTTATTGTCGCATTGAAGCAATTGGTGATTGATCGAACAATAAGGTGGTTTATATTACATGATGGCTAGTCTTTACTATATCTTGTTCTCTCCCAAAAGTAGTACATTGCACCAAAACTTTGGATGCGATAAAGATGATGAATTAACTTTGAAGTAGAAGGATCATATTTGGGTGCAATTAAAAAATGTCACCTAAATAGATATGCCGTTTCTCCTTAATCAGTAATTATTAGTTTTATAGTATTATTTGGCTTTTCTTTTCCTCCCTCCTATGTGTACCATAACAATAATGTTGAAATTAAATGCTTTGTTTTATATTATGGAGTGTTAGAATACATTTTTTTAATATATTTTATAAAATATTTTTATTTATTAGTTAAATTTTTTAAAAATTAAAAGTATAAAAAAATCATTAAATTAAAAATAAAAATAACATAATTCTTAATAAATTTTAACTAATAACTAAGAATATTAAAAAAAACGTGTGTTGACATTTTTCTTTTAATATATATGTGATATGGAGATGCCATAACATTTCATATTTGCTTTACAAAGTAATAGAAAGATTATGGAAAAGAAAAATAAAAGACAGTAGAATTTTTTTTCTAATAAACTCACATTTAACATAAACCATTATGCTGCATTTTTACCTCTGTATATATCAATATAAATATTAGAAGAGTAGTTAAGAACCTTAATTTTATTACGAATAAATATATAATCATTACTAGTATTAAAAAATATATATAATCGTCACTTAAGTATATTAAATAAGTGGTTGATTAATTGGCAAGTCTGAAGTCTGAAAGGAGATAATTGATGTGATAAAAGGAATAATGTTGTAAAAAATGTTTATATATATAATCAATTAATGAGCAAGCACTTGTTGTTTAGCAATTTTAAATTTAGGCTTGTGATTAGCATTTGTCTAAAATAACTGCATGGTTGCTTTAGTGTATTTCACAAAAATTTACGTATACACATGGAATCTGTAGGAAGCCATCATCTCGCTAGCTCAACTCAACTCAACTCAAATTGGATTCCTATAGGGATGGGGTTGACCAGTTCATCACATCACATGTGCTTATAATTGGTGTTGGCGATTGACTTATCTCAATTTTCATGCACTCACTCCATCACTAGTCAGTTTCGTGGGAAATAAGGGCAGTGGCAGAAAGTCTACGAGACAAAATCTTCAATTTGGTGTTTGTTTCTATCAGATTGATCAGACCATAGCTTGCAAGTACATGATTCTGAGGCGCAAAGTCAACGTGTCTCGTACCCTCCATTCATTTGTGCCCTCTTCGTCTTTTGACTTGTCAGAAGAGACCACCTTGGTGCTATTAGGCTGGATTCAGATATGGCCATTCTTTGTAGGGTCTCTCTCTCTCTCTCTCTCTCTCTCTCTCTCTCGTTAAATCGAATTGCGTGGAAGTTTTGTTGCACTACAAAATAAATAATTCATTAATTTACCAACCTTTTATCGTCAATTTTTTTTTGTTAGTATATATATTCTTTAATGCTTTTTTTTTTATCAATAAAACAATATTTTGCTAACAAAGTGTATGGGGTACTCATCACAAAGAGGAATATGTTTTCTTGACCTCTATGAGAGGATACCTTCATATTTTTATTTATTTTTCGTTTTAAAGGTATAATTTTAGAATATATATATATATATATATATATATATATATATAGAGAGAGAGAGAGAGAGGACCAATAATAGCATCACATATGATATTAGTATCGATTTTTACTAGTTTAAGCAATAGAATTGTTGAATATGATTAACACACTACTGGGAAAAATGGAGAGTGACTTGTTGGACTTTGAGAAAGAAAATTTCATAACACCTGACAAAGGTGAATAAGATCGGGTAGAACTGCAGTCCTATCATAAATATTTTTAAAAAAATGTAATTTGCTAACACTTTAATGCTAGCTTAACCTCTGTAATTAATCTAGATTTTTTTTAACAAAAGTTAAAATATTAGTATAAATATTACGAATTTATATTAACAACATGATATAATATACTATTAAATAATTTTGTCAGTAAAAATACAATATATACTATCAATATATTATATGTTAATATAATGCACAATTTGTTAGTCTTAATCTTTAAAATTTATATTAATAAGTTTTTTTTTTGTCAGAAGACAACGTTTATGTTAATGAAGAGTATCTTAACATTTGAAAACTTTTATATATTAGTAATGATAATTTTTTTGTAGTGTATTATTTCTTGGAAGCCATGTAGACCAAACCGCAACCATTTCATATTGACCAGCCGATAGTGGTACAGCAAATAGGAAGACTGTCCTCACAGTAAGGGAAGGAATATCCGAACCAAGAGTAAATAGAAAGTCAACCTAAATGGAAACCTCACACCTGAAAAATAAAATGAATTGAAGATTCTTGAGGAGTCAAACAGCACCTCCCTCTTCTCAAGATTTAGCTTTGTAGGAATCCTATCCAACAGAACCAACCGAAAGCCAAAATATTTCTATGGAGAAAACTATATTAAGTCTTGAAAAAAGATGAATATGTTGATAATGTAGAAGACATTCTTGGAGAAGAATATATGCTAATTTTATCGAATAAATTCCCTGCTTATATCATGAATTGGCTCCAATTTTACAAAGTTAATAAGACACGTAAACTTGGCTATAATCTCCTCTTCTGGATGAAAAAAAAATGCCTCTTTCTAAGATTCCAAGACCACATGTTGTGACTGCAATGCAATGCCCAACATCAGCTATTGATTCATTTTATTCTTCGACATAAAATATAATCTCGGAAATATATTACATAAGTGATCTTCTCTCACTCATATCTTAATATACTATAAAAGAGGGTTGATTGATAGACAGTGAAACTATTGCCATGAAGTTGAATTCCCTCCAAAAAATTGACTCATCGCAACATATAGTAACGAGTCTCTAAATGTGTAGTTATTATTGCAGTAAAAATTCAAACGCGTCACCACATATAAACTAACGATTAATGCCTTTAGTAGTGATTATCCATATTTAATATAGGTGTTTAATTATATGTACTCACTAATCTTTCTAAATATAAAAGAAGGTTGATAAATAGTGGAAATATTGATGTAGCAGAATGCCATAGACTTGAAATTTCCTCCAAATCAATTGCTATTTTCATGATTGGATCTCTCTTACTCAAGAAATTACCGCCGCTGTGATCCTTCTTCATGTTTTTAATTAATTAATTTATTTTTATTTTTAGACTTTTGAATTTTGGATTTCAAAATTCCGAATAAAAATGCCTGTGAAGAAGTCAAAAGGAAACTAAATAAAACTAATAAAAGACTAGCTAAAAGTAGAATAAAATACAAGATAAATGAAGAAAATAAGATAAAATAAAAGAATTTAGACAAAAGCTGGAATTTAACTATATTGAACTGTTATGTTTTGTTTCAAAATCAAAACTAATTAAGTGCTGTAATAATGTAAAGCAATATTGTTTTTAGCAAGAAGAGAAAAAACTGAAGAGAATAGAGTAAAAGTGAATGAAAGTTCATGTTTAATTGAGTTACATGACAGGTAATAAGAATTTATTCTTTCACAACCTAAGTATGTAGTTCGTAGCATAACGATGTTAAGAGAATATTCATGTTGTGTTTCGACACTGTCTCACATACTACCTTGCCTAAGATGAATGATCTCTACTCTCTCTCTCTCTTTCATTTTTAACACATCCTAAAAAATATTTTATCAAAGACAGTGATTTGGAAAAGTTTCCACGTAATTAGTGTATTAGTAACTGAAGAAGACAAGAAATTAAAATAACATCACGGTGAAAAAGAAAACCTTACCCAACTTCCTATATTTGATCTAGGGTTATTTATTTTCACCTTATTAATTTACCCACAAGAGATAGCTTGTTTTTAGCACGCTATCTTTTGCCTTACTTTTATACCCTATTGAGCGTCCTTCACGCAACATTGTGACAAATTTCATTAAAAGGTGTCATGCTTCATCCTTCTAAAATTAAGCATAGATGATTTCTCTCAAAGCAATTTACTATATAATTTATCCTTAAGTGAATCAACATGTGAAGTTTTTGTAAAAGAGATAGAAAGGATGATTATATCTCCTATAAATTTGATACACGTCCTTTATTTATGTTTCTTGTGTACTAACATGTCTTCTTTTTCATCTATGGTTCTCATCTTATTCAGTTGTCATTTTTCAAGAACCCACTAATCTATCCTTAGGTGAAACATGGAAGTGAAGTTTTTTAGGATAAATTAATATTATATATTATATTATACTTCTCTATCATATTATATATTATCAATTTAGTTTTTTAGGATAAATTAATAAAATTTTAAAATAATATTATAAACACTCTTTAAATGAATTAATTTCTATTAAACAAATTTAATTAATTATTTTATTGAATGATTTTAAATCCTAAAAAGTGAAAATTCAGTTTGAATAAAATTATAACAATTTTGGTAAAATATTTTTATCCTTCTAAAATGGCCTAAATCAAAGTTCGCTTTAAATTTTCATAGACTTTGGGTCAATCCTATTAAAAAAATATTTTACAATAAAATTAAAACAAATAACACTACATAAAATAATTTGCATGTTTTAATTTTGAATTTAAATCAATAAATTGATAAAAATAAAATAAGAAACAAAAGTTAACAAAAAATCCACTGATGTACACACACATATATATATATATATATATATATTAATCATGATTAAATAATCATATTATATACTATTAATTTTAAGATAAATTAATAAAATTATAAATTATTCTAGACATTCTAAATAAATTGATTTCATTAACTATTAAAATATTAAACAAATATAATTATATTTTTTTATAAATAAAAGAGACTTATTATTGTGAGTAAAAGGGTACTCAAAATATAATTATATTTATTTAATAAAATCATTTAAATTCTTAAAATTTGATAATAAAATTACAATAAATAATAATTCATAAAATAATTTGTAAGAGTTTATTTTGTATTTAAATAATAAATTTATAAAAATAAAACAAAAGAACAAAAGTTCACAAAAAAATCCATTAATGTTTACTCATAATCTTTAAAAAAAACTTTGCTTATTTATTTATAACAAAAATATTGCTTATGGAAAAATAAAAATTATCCTTTTATAAAATAATATAGATGAATTACTCTTACTTTTTTTAAGTTTAATAAAACTTTACTCACTTTTTCTCTTTTATTTAAGTCTCTACATATTTTTTTTCTCAATTTATATAATAGCACACCCCTGTAAGTTGTAACATTCTTAACAACACAAATGTATCAACCAAGGAAGGTCAATCAACAACATAAAAAAAAGGGTCAAGTAACATTAAAATTTAAAGATTGTTAAATTTTAGAGAATATGAATATAATTTGTCCACAAAAATTAATATAAAATCATAGTCTAATTTTGATTAATACCAATAAACAAGAATAATATAGTAATAAGAAAATTAAAATCTGGAAACAAATTGAATGGAAGCATATTCTTGCAGAAGCAGTAGGGAAGATGATTGATGAGAGATCAAGAAACATCAGTCACAACAAACAACGACCTACGAAACAAAACAGAGACCCAAACAATCGCCTAAGAAACCCCAAAACGCAAACATTGTCCTAATTTCTCTCGTCGCCTTCTGTTCTCCATCACCCATCTCTCTCTTCATTCATCAATATCAAATTTTAGAGAAAAATAATTATAATAATAATTTTAAAAATGGCGATTAATTATTCACCAGCTCGCTGTTGCGTGCGCTCACTACATCGCACTTTCCCTTTTCGCTCAATTCTCACACCCAAAATCTTCTTCCGTGACGCCGCTCCGAACCTCAGGCTCGTTTCGGTTCGGTCCCAAGCTCCAGGTTCGGATGGCTTGCACTCCCATACCTCCTCCATTGGCTTCTCCGCTTCTTCTTCCTCCTCCTCTGTCATTGATTTTCTCACCCTCTGCAACCGCCTTAAGGTACGTACACTCGTTGATTCTCTGTTCTATCGTGTGTGTGTGTGTGTGTGTGTGTGTAAGTGTGATCCCAAAATTCCCAATTTACCCATTTTTGTAAAAAGAAGAAAAAAATGTGATCTAAGATATCCTTATGGTTGGATTGGTTAGTTGGTTTATGTTTGATTTAAGTTTTTTGTGTTTGCACTAATAGTTATGAAGGTGTCATGTTCTTACTTTGTTTTCTCTTTTCAAAGACTAGGGTGCGTTTGGAAAATTAGTTTAATTAAATACTTTTTCGATGAGTTCTTGTGGAATGAGAGGTTATAAGTAAGCTTGAATGTTGTTAAGATGTCTCACTTGAATATGATCAGAATGTTCCTTATAAGGCGTGCGTTTTCCTCTTCCTGTGAGGTAGCTCTTGGGAATGAATTAAGCCGGGTTTTCTAACAACAATGGAGCTTACTGAAATGAGATAAAATGGGCTTAGAGTTACTTTCGTGGGTCCAAATGAACTTTTCCAAACACCCCTTATACTAGAAATGGTGAAAGCAATACAATGATTTTTAATGGGTCTAAATGTGAATGAAAAGTGTGCTTTTGTGAAAGTAGGTATATACACTCTTAAAATTTGTAGTATGATAACATTAGGCTGCATTTTTTGTGTTGGTTGTAGTTTTTGGCTACAGATAATCTATCATATTAGACTACCGGGTTGGTTTACAGCAACGAGGGTTGAATGGTGAACAAACTTTAAAATTGGATGTCTGTCGGATATTCAATTACAGCAACATCTTTTTTTCTTAATAAATTTCAAGTTGGATGAAATTTGTTTGTGGGAAGGACATCAAAGCATAGTAAAGTTGATGGGGCATCCCCTACTGGTTAGAGAGGCGAAGAATGTTAAATAGGAACATTCTCTGTCTCTCTAATTTGCACTCTTTGCCTTTGGAAGCTTGAGATTTATCTTTTGTATTTATTGTGTAGACTGTTTCTAAATTAGGGTATTCATATTGAAAGAAAATAATGATACTTGATTTGAAAAATTGAGGTTGTGGACTGGTTCTGCATCACTGGATGAATAATAATATGGTCTCTCTTTGTCATACTCATGTGCCTTGTAGACTACAAAGAGGAAAGGATGGGTTAATCATGGGATAAAAGGTGCTGAATCGGTTGCTGACCATATGTACCGCATGGCTTTAATGGCATTGATTGCTGGCGATGTTCCTGGATTGAATAGAGAAAGGTTTCGCATTGATGTTCTCTTGTTATATGAATTTGTATGATGGTCACTTCTGTTTGGTATCAGTTCTTTGGTTTGTTCTATTGTGAGATGCATCTGTAGATTCCATGATTATGTGAAAGTTTGAAAATAGAGTACATTACTATAGTATTGTCTTTGGTTGGATACTGAGAATTGTTTACTGTAAAAGCGGGAAACCATTGTCTCAGGGGGACCCTTGGAGGAAGTTTTGCTCAATGGATTTGTGAGTGATCAATCAAAAGAAACACATTCTTCAATTCATTCATCTCTATCTCTCTCTGTTCTACCTTTTCTATCTCTATGTTTTCTGTAGTTCATAACATATTTCTTTGTCCATGAGATTTGTAATTTTGTACACAGCCTAGATGATATAAGAGAGTGTAAGCTATGCACTCTGCCCACCAAAATAACAGATTTTTTTCTTTCTTTTTTTACCTTGTGAGTGTTATCTGTCTAATACCATAACAGTGTGAGTCAGTATTTTTATATCTCACCAAATTGATTGTACTTCTAAACTTCCTTATCTCTATAGGTTTACTTTTGTTGGAGTAATTTACTTTGTTTACTTGCTCCCATTTCTGTTATTTATATTTACTGGATTTGTTTTAGGTGATCCCCTTGGGTTTCTCTTTAAACTCTATTTTCCTGCTGTACAGATGTATTAAAATAGCACTCGTGCATGATATTGCAGAAGGTATCTCTCTGATTCCCTCTGAATTGTTTCTGAATTTATTTATACTAAATTTGGTGACAAATTTTACTTTGGATGAATTGCTAGCTGTATTTGGTTGAAATCAAAATTTCAAAATTTTCAATTTTCGTTCAAAATGACTGCCTGGTGACTCATGTCCTTGCAAGCTGCAAACATTGGTAGTTTCCATTTCCACTGTGGCATAAATTGTAGAGTATGTGTTCATTTATGTTATATATGACCATCCTATTCTTCCAGGAAGAACAGTTCTGAGGCTTAAGTAATTTTTAAATAGCAGTTCTCCACCTTCATAATAATCAATGGATTAATAGCATATTGAATGTTTCTTAATAATCATTAGTAAATGTAGACTGCTGATTAAATGATTGGATAGGGTGGAATGTCAAAGTGGATTACTTAGAAAAACTTTTGAAAAAAATATATGTATTACATTTTGTTTTTCAGTGGCAGTTAAGAGTTTATAACATGTACAAGGAAGGAAAAACTCAGAAAAGAATGTTGGTTTATTTGATTTTGTTACACAAATTGTGACTTAGTTGTATGTGATTGTGAATGGTGAACACATTGTTTTTCCTTAAGCATATATACAAGAAAAAGATAAAGGAAATTGACTAAGATTAAAGTATCAAATCTTTTCAATATATGATTTATAACTTATTGGAGTTTAAATTTGGTATTGCATTCAATAGCTATTGTAGGAGATATAACACCATCTGATGGTGTGCCCAAGGCTGAAAAGAGCAGAATGGAGCAGGAAGCTTTGAACAAAATGTGTGAAGTTCTTGGTGGAGGGATGAGAGGTATTGAAAATTATTTTTGTTTAAAAATTTCAAGAGATTCAAAATTTGGCATCAACTTTACTTGTGGTCACTGTTTTTATCACAGCTGAGGAGATCAAAGAACTTTGGGCAGAGTATGAAAACAATTCTTCTTTAGAGGCTAATCTTGTTAAGGATTTTGATAAGGTATGCATATGCTACCTGATACAGAGGTGCCCTTTATGTGTGAGCTTGAACATTGGGACCAAATTAACATGGTTTAAGGTTATGGGCTATTTGACATTTGAAGGAAAGTTAGATTTAGAAAAACTATATATTGGCAGCAGAAAAGGGTGAATGATGGGTAATGGAAGTATTGACATTTTTTTCTCTCTTGTGGGGGGTGGGAGTGGAAAAGAAGTTTCCTTGGAGGATGTTGACATTTTTTTTTTAATTAAAAAATGTTTTACAGACACAGAGATAGAATTATTAACTATGATGTGGGTCAGATGTGCTTGAAGAAAAAAGAACAAAATACTTGATGAAAATTTGAAAAAATAAAAAATGTAACAAGGCGGGTCTCAGCTTGTCAGAAAGGGCAGCTTTCTTTAAGCCGCCATCACAAAAAATAACACATGAACATAATCCTACCCATTCAGGTTTAGGGACAATGAGACACCATAAAAAATGCTAGCAATCACTCCAGAGCCAAATTTGCTGAAAATCCAGTAAATATTGGACTGTGTTTTACCATACAGCTTTCCTTTAGAGTAAAACATCAGAAAGTGTTTCAACATATCAGGGTACACCTAATTCTCACCGATGATCCCAAAAAATATTTTTCATAGGAATGTTGTTGTCTTGCACTTACACTGAAAGAATAAGTAGCCTAAAGTTTCTTAGGTAGATCAGATAACACACTGAGAAATTGTTCTTTTTCCTTAAATCAAACAGAATTTACCAAATTAAGTACATTTAGATTTGTCTTCTAAAATGCATTGGTAAGAAACTAGGACAGATGGCTAGTTCCGTGCATAAACAATAAACAAGAACTTTTGAATACTGGCTGTATAAAATAAATTGCAGAGGATTAAAAGTTTTGGCAATAATTATTTCACAGACATAACAAATTATCTCTACACGATCAGTTTTAATAATGTTTTTAACACTTCATGTTTTTTTATCTTCAAGGGGTTAGAGGGAGTAAAGTGTTTGTTTTTTTTATCATGAGAGAAGTGAAATGTATTGGGTTTTATACTTATTGTAACAAATTGTTTTAGACAAATTTCATAGTTAAAGTGTTATTCCCCCTATTTTTATGTCGTCATAACATGCATCTCTATCGGGATATTGTGGTTGATTTCTAATCATATTGTCCGGCCCCTCTAAAATTCTGATCAGGTTGAAATGATTCTGCAAGCACTGGAATATGAAACGGGTAAGTTATAAAATATTTGCATGTGGCCATTGAATTCCTACACCACTCTGGCTCTTTGATGATATGAGGTTTATGATTGATGATTCTTCCTAAAGTCAATACTGGTATTACTAAACATTCTTCACGGTATGCTTTGTAATGTTAAGTATCTCAAATTATTTTGTACCTTGTGGCAGAACATGGCAAGGTGTTGGATGAATTTTTCCTTTCAACTGCAGGTAAAATTGAAACTTCACTTATAAATGAAATGCTCGTATTTATTTTCTGAGAACATTTGTCAACCACTTCATCTTTTATTTGGTCTTCAGGGAAGTTTCAAACTGAATTAGGAAAAAGTTGGGCATCTGAGATCATTTCAAGAAGAAAATCTTTATCAGCAAAGAGGTTGAGTTGATATAGTGGTTGACAAGTGGTGCCATGGTGGCTTGAGTAGTTGTTGGTCACATCGGCAGAATGGCTAAGTTAACTACCAACCAATAAACATGATTTCATGCAGAACATGTTCAGGAATTTTGACATAATTTGGGATGACATCAGTCTCTTGTCCCTGCCTGATAAGTTTTCTTTTTCTTTTTTGGAATCATCTTTTGTCTTTCTTGTTGACGCATTTAAACTTAGCTTTTCTTTATATTCTTTTCTTTTGTCAACACTGGTAGTGTAAATTATTATCAAATATTAAGAGTATTGAACATCTTGTAATTTTCTTCTCAGAAATAGTTGGAAGTTGTAGCTATTTGATCTCATTGATGTTTAGTAAGTCAAATTGAATAGGCATCCATTTTTCTATCAACTAGTCTGGCACCGAAGTTTCAGTTAAATATTATAAACTTTTGGAAGAATAAAGACAATTAAATATTTGAGAGGCCTACCTTTATAATGATTCTGTGGCTAAAACAAGGTTGTAGGCATAAAAAAAATCGTGATTTGTCTACTCCATTCCTCCTTATAATTTTTTTTCAATCTAGTTTTTCAAAAAAAAAAATCATTTTAATCTAATTATTTATTTGCATAACATTCAAGATGACTGATAATTTGACTAAGATATATCATTAATAATATCATTTTTTTGTATTTTTTTAATAAAGTTGAATTATAAAATTAGATTTTTGAAATTAAAATTTAAAATATAAAAGAAATAAAAGTGTAAATGTTACCACATTATTCATATCAACTATATTATATTATTATATAAGTTAGATGTTATATACCTAAATATTTGGAGAAAAAAATGTAACGAATTATTAATACAAAGATTGTATGAAAATATTTTTAGAGAATTTGTTTGACAAAAATTAAAAATGAAAGATCAAATGAACATATTATGAATTTTTAGAGAATTAAAAAATTATTTAAACATAATTTTATTTTATTTCTTCATCGATTCTATGGTGAAAATGTTGAATATTAATAAAGAATAATTTAGCTTTCGACTGTTTTTCTGTAAATGCAATTTGAAATACGACGAGGAGCATGAAAGAAAATAAAAATTTATTCCATAGAATTATTTAAAATAAATGAAATAAATGAAAAGAATAAAGCCTTGTAGGACAAAGTTTATTACTTTAACCAACCATATTTACTTTCCTTTTCTTTTGACCATTCAACTTTCTTCCTCTTTACATCTTTCATTTTCCATTCTCCTCTCATTCTCTTATGTTTGTTGCTAGTTATATTTATTTGTATGTATAATAATAACTTGTTTAACAATATATAACAATCAAGGAAATCTAGCTCCAAACGATTATTATATGACATTTTTCTATAGTATAACGAAAATTTTCAAAAATTTGAGAGGCTGTTTTTGACTTGAAAAAAAATTATTTTGTTTCATATTTTATTTTTAATTACAAATACATCACATAATTTTTATTTTTTTAGATTAAATTATATTTTATCTCTTGTAGTTTAGTATTCAAGCAAATTACATTCACATTTCTAAGGTTTAATAAAATTTTATCAGATATCTTTTCATTTATTTACATTATTTTGACTTCATTCAATTTATACAATTACATAAGAAATAAAGGAAGCCATTGTAATTAAGAAAGGTACACAAAATTATGTTGTTGTACAATAAAATAAAGAAGATTTATGTAGATTAAAAAAAGAAAGGCATCCAATAAAATTTTATTGAATATAAGGAGATGTGAGATTTATTAGCCCTTAATATTTTATTGAAGGATTGTCCTATGCTTTTTTATTTTACTCTTAACCCCTTATAATTTGGATCAAAGTGAAAATATTAAATTATTAAAATTTTATTGAAGTTAACATATGTTGAATCTTACACTCTTTTTTGTCCCATAATTCCTCTATAGGTTGGGTTGGCAACATCTTTGTAGATAGGGTTAGGGTTCTCTTAGCTCTCCTCATCTCCATTCTTGGCAGAGACTTTAAGGATGGATTTAAGGGAAGCGGAAATAAAACATTAAATTTGATTTACTCATATAATTTTAAATAAATTATATATCAACTACATTTTAATTCAAATAATCTTTAAAAATTAATAACCAAAAAACTTAAAAATTAAGTTATAATTTTAATAATTATAAAAAATAAGAGTATCAAAATAAAATTCCAATTCTAATATATATATATATATATATATATATATATATAGACACAAAGCAGTTCAAATTCACAACTTTACTTTAAAAAAGTCAAGCATATAGTACTCGAATCAACCTCCTATTGCTCCTTGAAAGATAAAAATGAGTTACACTTTGGTTTTTTTTAGTTTTTTTAATATGAACAAAACTTTTAACAGTGATAAATAATTATAAATGTATCTCCAAATAAATTATTATTATTATTATTATTAGCAACTATTTTTAAACATCGTATCAACTTTAAATTGTCATTTAAAATAATTACTATATATTAAGATCACAAAATTGAGAGAAAATGTTCAAAGCAACTGTTAATTATGTTCAAAATCAACATAATAAGAATAATATTATCTAAAAATCTCATTTACATTAAAAATATATTCAAATATGGTAAATATTTATCTTTAAAGAGATGAAAGTGGATATTTTAAAATACAAGAGCAGAAGACTATAATACATCTTCTGAGGAAAGAAAAATATAATTCATTCACATTTTTATTAATAAATAAAAGATTGTGTTAACCACTCTAAACAATTTCAGTTTAGCCTTTATTAGAGAACCAACATAAAATCGTAGTGTCTTATTCATTTATACACTGAGAATTTCTTGTATTCGGGAAGACTAAGTCAACATATAGTTATGGCTTCCATACGCAGATACTGCCCACTCAGTTTTTTATATATACACACATTTCGTCTGCATTTTATACTTTGAATTTATCATATCAAATAAAAAATAACAATTTTTTCTTCTTGAACTTGAACCAGTCAATACTTCAAGCTCTTATATACAAATTAAAGTAGTAAACAGATAAAAAAAAAATGAAGGTAGCAGGTAAAAGTGAACTTGTATTTTTTATTTCACCTAAAAAAGAGCATTTGCAATTTTTCTTATCAATTAAACGGATTCATTTCAGGTTGGTTTGTTTATTAACTTAAATTTAATTTATTCTGCATTTATGCCGGTGTGAAGATCCTCTGGAAAAAAAATAAAAAATAAAACTCAGACATAGACAAACCCCAGTTATATTTTTGTTTTTGATAATAACATACAATAAAACACCAACCTGTGTGTCTATCTTTGATTTCTTTTACTTAAAGCTTTAGGTTTCTTTTATGCATATCTATAGAGAATATATTCGAGAGCAGATAAAAAAAATTCCCCTAGCTAATCAACTCTTTTGCAGCCAGAGTCTAAATTAATTAAACATGTGACTTTGCAGTAACTATTTGCATTTTTCTTGGCATTGAGCTAGCTCCTATTCTGTACTGATTATGATAAGATTCTCACCCAATAGTATACCTTTGTTTTTTCCTTTTGATCCTGATCACTCCCGTGCATTAGCAGGGCATTTTTTTACCAAATAATCCCTCCCAACTCCTCCAATGCACAAAAATATAATAGGTGGTGGTTTTGAGTTGTTCATTGTCTAAACAGCCTAATCTGCCTCATGCAGGTTGATTCAATGAGGTTTGAGATCAATAGGGTGTCAACTTAATTCTGAAGGTTGCCTTTTAGTTAGCTCACTAAATATATATAAATTTTGAAAAAAAAAATATCATAAAAATTTACCCATTATCATTTAATAGTTAATATTTATTAAGTTACCAATTAATATTTAAATCAACAAATTTTTATATTAATAATATTTTAAATTAAGAATATCCATAAGTTATCCCGTTAATTAATGAGTTAGGTGAGCTAAAAAAAATTATGGAGACAGTGTAGTGTAATAAAATACTAGATAATACTTTGTCACCACCTATCCTACTTTTCCTATTATTGTATTACATTTAATTTATATACTATTATTATTATTATTATTATTATTAGTATTATTATTATTATTAAAAATAGTCTAGCTTAATAGTCGAAACCTTGGATTAATCCTGTTACAAATTAATTTACAGTAGTAATTGTGAGTTAGATATCTAAACCGTTGATTAAAATATGAGGGCTTTTATGGTGCAGAAAACAAGTTATTGTGCATCTGCTACGCTGTCGTTTATTTAATATGGTGAGTACTGAACAATCATGCGCCTCGTCATCTCGTACTCTGCTAACTTTTTCACAGTTTTCGCCGACACTGAGAGAAAAAGATAGAAACGCGCCAACGCTTAGATAAGCCACTAACTGATAATAACAATAATAAATTAAATCATTACTTTGAGATAATGACATGTTCATACATATTACCGTTCATTTTTTTTCATAAAAAATTATATTGTTGATTAAATAAAAAATTATGATAATTTATAATTAAACGAAAGTACAATATATTATTAATGTATTTTAATAATATGTATTTTTGGTTTCATTTTTTAAAAGTTTTTATAATAAAAATACCAAGATAAAAAAAAACTTTTGACATGAGGTCTTATTTATTTTTAGTGGTTATATAAACAGAAAAATGAAGAAAGACAAAAGAAAAGGAAAAAAGAAGAAGCATATAACTGTCAGAGAATGAAAAAAGGAAAAGTTAAAAGGGGAAAGTAGGACAATTTTGAAGGTTTCTAATCAGTGTTGGGAAGCTCTTGACCCAAAATCTTACCATAATTTAGAGGAATTTTCGAATAGCAACCATATTTGGCTTTTGTATTGCAATGATATTTGGTTTTCACGGGTTGCTAAACATGGTTGATGGGACATTGCGGACCCACATTCAAATTTCACCTGTTTTTCTCATCTTCTGGTCCACTTGAACTTGATGATCTAATGAACAATAATTAAGTTTCTAGTTCAAGCAAATCTAAACGCCATGCACTCTCAAAACACGTAATGATTTTTCGTTTTATTGGAAAGATGTCCTTGATCCAATTTTTACATTAAAGTTAGCGTTAGAAGTCTTTTGTCAAAACAATGTTTTATAAACTTATTTATTAAAAAATATAAAAAAAATTATCTGTAGAGTGATTTTAATTATATATGAGTCAGTTTTGCTCAAGAATGGGACTGTTAAAAAAAAACAAGTATCACATTTATAATAAGCAAGTACATGCTAAGCTATGTTTAAAGTATTAATAAGAATAGAAGAGTAAGTTTAAAGTCTATATTGATAGTTGGAGTCATAGCAATGGATTTATACAATGAAGAGAGTGGTTAATATTTAATGGTTTAATTTGTATTAATGGAAGTAAAGAAATGAGGAATGAAGGAATTAGTGGAAAAGAGTGAGAACTTCCACGTTTGGTAGGAAAAAACAATATGGTGAGTACTTATTTTTTCTAGTGCACTCATGCCTAGAGATGTTTTTTTCTTTTAATTGAACACGTACTTAGAAAATAATTAAAAAGATTAATACATAATATAAAAATATTGCATTATTTTATACATTATAGAGACAATTTTATTCATTACACATATAAGCAATTTTATTTATATTTTACATTTTAAAAAATAATTCTTTTGATTCGGATAATCAACATAAAGAATATCAACCATGTATATCTTAAACATAAAAATCACTGATGATTATGCTCCTATTTGCTGCAATAACATCAAAAACAAGAAAAGAAAAATGAACTACTTGCTTATTGTTTGTCTACCTTGTGAATATAGTCTTTGGTCTTCATTAATTGGTGCTGAAAACATACCCACTTTAAGCTTTGAGCTTATCTTTTATTCTTAAGATCATGCATGTCTAAACTCAATTTTAAATCCCCATTATGTTAAATAACATTATTAGTAAAAGAGCTCATTAAGTTATTATACAGTCCTACAAGCATAAAATAAGTTGTCAGCGAAATCCAAAGCTGAATATTTTGCACTAAAAAATGGCTGCCAAAAACCAAAAGGTCATCAGTAATGACAAATGACATTAACTAGTAGTATTAATAACATAATTTTATACTAATTGTTCATAGCATCAAACAAATGTTGCAAAAATAAATAATACTATCCACCGCTGCATCGAGTATGAAGACAAAACTAACATTTAGGGAAGGTGGGTCATAATTTTTTATCCCTATTAATTAATTTCGTTCACATACTTTGTTTAATGTGCTTTTAATCATGATAACACATATATTAACTTTGCAAGTTATGATATATAATATGTCGAAAAATGGATAAAATTGAAGAGCGCTGACAAGTCTATGAACGGCGCCTTTACGTTGCGTGACCCTTTTCATTTATTGTTTGCTATAATTTAATGTCAAAGTTTGAACAAAATTTAAGTTGTAATAACAAAGCATTGGAAAGAAGACATAAATGGTCTATTTGAACCATTCCATTGGTAGGTGCATTGTGGTGTTAAAATTATTTAAAGAAGAATGACATTAAACACTTGCTAACATGTTTTCTTTTATTATTAATTAAAATTTATTAAAATTATATAAATTATATATTTTTATTTTTAAATTAATATTCTTTTATTTTTAGTCAATAATAAAAAAATTATGATAGAAAGTCTGTTGTTGACATTTTTCTTATTTAAAAACAAAAATACTCCACTGTATATAAGAAAACTTACAATATTGTGACATCACATGAATGATGTTTTACCATGGTATATATGACAAAATTCAAGGAGATTGTTGATCGTATAAAAATGAAAATGTTTCTTTCAGTAGTGTAGAAATTAAAGATTTTTAAATTTTTTATACATTTGTATAATAATTTTCATTTTTTTACATCATATTATTTACCGTATTTTTAATTTTTTTTTCTCTCTTATTTTTGAATCTCTCACCAGCTACTTATACAATGTAGGTATGTAAGATTTTTTTTCCTAAACTAACATAAATTTAATAATGGAAATTAAACAGATGAAAATTTACACTAATTCATATCTTATTATTAAATATGAATTTAGGTTATTTTATATTAATGAATAATACAATATAAGGCTGAAATTAGAAAAGAAGAGTGAGGTAGCATTCTTAGGAGTCGCTTTCACGTGGGTTTTGGATTTGGGACCCCACAATCCGTGTAACGTGTTCCCGACCCAAGTGGAGACTATGCAGAGAAGACACAAACACAGACACCCTCAAACAAGTTCTCATAGGACGAAAATTATTACCTTCGATTCAGAAAATTCGCGTTGAAGAGTGAGAACTGTTCAATTCAAACAACGCAAAGGTATTTCAAGTTCGAGGGCCCTAATGTTTTGGTTCCTCTCTCAAGTCAAGTTTGACAATAACGATGATGAGTGGTGATTTATGTGCTGTGTCGTACCTCCACTGAAATTCTCTGTATCCGCAAAATCAGACAACCTAGAATCTTCCTAGATTGCATGCAACAACAAAAAAGGGAAAAAGTTGAGTTTTGATGATCCAGAATTTGGCACTGTGATTGAAGCATATTGAAATTGGTGATCTGAGTATTGCTCAAAATCACTTTTGCTGAAGTGGGTTGCAAGGTTTTTATTAAGGTTTGGCTCTTGAAACATTGGATTTGGTTGGTGAAGTTTGGTGACTTCAACTATCTTCGCCATTATCATCTCAAGTTTTTAACTCCAAGCAAGAGTTTGATCTCAGCCACAAAGGTTTTGGTCTTGCTATTACTATTACTATTATTAGTATTATTATGGTATATGAAGTTTGTAACTTTGCTTGGTGTTGAGATTGGCGCGTGACATGTCAAGCGCGTCGCCGTCACCGGCTGCGCCACCGCCACAAACACCTCCCTCCTCCACTACTAGTCCCTCACCGTCCACCACCACCACCACCACCAATCCGCCGCCGCAACAACCACCACCTTCTTCCCCTTCACCACCGCCTTCAACCCCACCTCCGGCCACCCCATCAACTCCACCTCCGGCCACCCCCTCAACCCCACCTCCGGCCACCCCATCAGCTCCTCCTCCAGCTGCTCCGCCTTCACAACCGCCGCGGTCTCCACCTCCCCTCATGTCTGGAGCCTCACCTCCACCGTCATCCCCTCCCCCACCATCACCACCGCCATCTCCTCCGGCAAGGCCACCGCAGTCGCCGTCGGTTCCGCCAAGAAGATCTCCACCACCGCCATCAGCACCAGTTTCATCTAGAGCCCCTCCACCCCCGCCACAACCATCAGCTCCACCGTCACCACAACCACAACCATCAGCTCCACCACCGTCATCACCGCCGCCGCAGAATTCACCGCCTCCTCCGGTCACCGTGCCACCAACCCCAGCTTCGCCTCCTCCGCCACCGTCTGCGCCACCCATCGGTTCACCTCCACCATCACCGGCTGCACTGCCCCCAAGAAACCCTCCGCCACCGGATAATTCATCATCACCACCGGTGCCTGTGCTGCCACCGAAGTCATCGCCGCCATCACCATCACCCACCCCTCCTAGGATTAGTCCTAATTCCCCTCCAAGTTCTCAAGCAGCTCCACCTTCAAATTCAACACTGAGGTCATCCCCACCACCACCACCAATTGTTGAAGTGGCCCCGCCACCGCCTTCGCGTGCTTCATTGCCGCCCTCGCCGAACAGTACAGAAAACACAAGCCCTGTTGGTGGTGGAGGAGGTAGTGGTGGAATTAGCACTGGTGCTGTGGTGGCTATTAGTGTGGTGGCTGGAATTTTGGTGCTTTGTTTCATTGGGATTGCGATGTGGTGCATGAGGAGGCAAAAGAGAAAGGTGCCTCCTAACGGTGGTTATGTCATGCCATCCACCCTTGCCTCATCTCCCGAATCAGGTAAACTTGTTAACACTCGCATTGTTGTTTTTCCCATATAGCTTATTATTGGTGGTGCAAATGTTAGGTTTGTTGAACCAATTTATATGACTTTCTTAATTTATAATGCCCATGTTTCTAGACTAAATAAAAAATTTATCTTGCCATTGTGTTATTTGAAGTGTGTGATTTTTTCCAGATTCATCCTTTTTTAAGACACATTCTTCAGCTCCTCTTGTACAAAGTGGCTCTGGCAGTGATGTTGTGTATACACCATCTGACCCTGGTGGACTTGGCAACTCAAGGTCATGGTTTTCATATGAAGAACTAATCAGGGCCACAAATGGCTTCTCTACTCAAAATCTTTTGGGTGAGGGTGGATTTGGTTCTGTATATAAAGGATACCTTCCTGATGGGAGAGAGATAGCAGTCAAACAGCTGAAAATTGGTGGAGGTCAGGGGGAGAGAGAATTCAAAGCTGAGGTTGAAATTATTAGTCGCATACATCATCGCCATTTGGTTTCTTTAGTGGGATACTGCATTCAAGACGACAGAAGACTACTTGTCTATGACTATGTTCCTAACAATACGCTTTATTTCCATCTACATGGTAAAACTACTTCTGAGTGATTATCGATTGTTTCATGATATTTTAATTTAATTTTGAATGTATAAACTGAAATTGTAATTTGCAGGGGAAGGTCGGCCTGTGCTAGAATGGGCAAACCGTGTTAAAATTGCAGCCGGTGCAGCTCGAGGGATAGCTTATCTCCATGAAGATTGTAATTTTCAATCCTTATTATTTTGTTCTTTGATCTTGGAATGCACATAAATGCCTATTAGTCACTTTCCTTTTGGAAATTTGAATTTTTTGAATTAGCTAAAACTATACCAGATTTTACATGAATGTGATTGTGAATTGATGATGGGTGCTAGAAAACATTTTTCTCCTTTCTCTTTAATAATTTGAAACACAATTGTTGGGCATATATACTGACTAGACAGTTGATATGGCTTGGTGGCTAGAAGATTGAACTTTATGCACATAATTTTCCCACCAAACAAGGATGTTATGTCAGGATAAATCTCTAGTTATGTTTAAAATCAGATATTCTCTAGTACATTTACGAATGGCCAATCCAGGAAATCATTTGATTGTTATAAACACAATGTTGTTAGGGCAATCCTTGGCACCATGTTTAGATTGCTGCCTTGTCATGGATTCAAATCCTGGAAACAGCCCCTCCAATAATGGGAGTAAGGCTACGCACATCTACCTTCCCTAGACCGCACTATGTAGGAGCATTGTGCACTAGATTACCCTTTTAAACGCAATATTGCAGTGGATATACCTAGAAAACATAAAATTGACATTTACTGCTATGAGACATCTTTATTGTTGCTATATTCTATCTTCTTAAGTGAACGTATGAATCAGAAGAAAGAAAGGTACGCACATGACCAAATGAAGAAAAGTCTCACATTGTTTATGCAGATAATATGATGTTAACAGAAGTATATGAAAAACATTCACATGATTTCTAAGCCTTCTTTGTGCTAGTTGGTGATAATTGACAAAAAGGGGAAAAACTACATAATTAAACATGGGGTGTTTTAATTATAAATACCAAAATTCTAATTTATCATGAAATAAACTGGACAAAATAGAAGGGCTGTGTTTGGCAGTTTGTGCCCCACATAAAATATTGTCAAATATGGATATTTTATGACATGAATCAATGTTCAACACAATGACATCTATTGATGCAAGGAGCTGACCAATCTAGTAGGATAATGCTTAGATGTTATATTATTATTGATGCTATTGGATGTTATGCACATTTCAGGCAACCCTCGGATTATTCACAGGGATATAAAGTCATCAAACATTCTTTTGGATTACAATTACGAAGCTCGGGTATCTGTCATTCTACTTATTAAAACTTTGATATTGGAGATTCTATTGATATCCAAATCTTAGAATTCAAATTCTCAAATGTTATAGGTCTCGGATTTTGGGCTAGCCAAATTAGCCCTTGATGCAAATACGCATGTAACCACACGAGTCATGGGAACTTTTGGGTGCGCATTCATTAATATGTCTATGAAATTCTCCTTTCATTTTTACTAAGACTAATAGATCTTTTAGTACAAAAAACTGAATCAACACTAATTGTTTTTCCCCCTACTAAAGGTATGTTGCCCCTGAATATGCATCAAGTGGCAAATTGACTGAGAAGTCTGATGTATATTCTTTTGGAGTTGTGCTTTTGGAGCTCATTACCGGACGGAAGCCAGTAGATGCATCCCAACCCTTGGGAGATGAAAGCCTAGTTGAATGGGTATGCATAGATGCCATTTTGCACTTATCATTCTTTTGCCGACATAGCTATTTTTTGCTAATCTTGTGTTTGGGAAGTCTTTAGTGTCGATTAAACAGTTGATTAGGATTAAAATTTAATTCATGATTGTGCTTTTCTTTCTCTTCGGAAATTTTATCTTTTATCATAGTAACTTAAGCATGATAAGGATGACAAAATACTTACTATTTTGCAAACCTTGCTGTATAGCCATGGTTGCAATCCAGCTAGCAAAGTACAATGTTTTGCTTTCAAGTTTAGTATGCTTAATTTAGTTCATATATTTGTATCATAAAATTTTAGGGAACTTGATAAGTTAAGATAACTGAGTATCATCTTCAATCTTACTGAAGAAAGATGAAGAACTGAGGTCACTAAATATTGCTGTGTTATATTACTTATATTTATGGGATAGAACATTTTGGTCGACCTCATCAGAGTAATTGTTTCCAATTATGCATGCATATTAATAGCCGAAAACTATCTAAATTTGTAGAAGTCAAACATCTTCACTTAAATCATACTTGAACTTCTCAAGTCTGATTAATCACTAAAGATGCCACTCCTACTACCTATTTTTCAGGCTCGACCTCTGCTGAGTCATGCAATTGATACTGAGGAATTTGATAGTTTGGCAGATCCAAGGCTGGAAAAGAACTTTGTTGAGAGTGAATTGTATTGCATGATTGAAGTTGCTGCTGCTTGTGTGCGGCACTCAGCAGCAAAGAGACCCCGTATGGGACAGGTAAATGGTGGAAACTTTAAAAGCAGCAAAACGGTTCTCTTTGATTAACAAGAAGCAAACATGCAAACTACTGACATTGCTTTTCTTGAATTTTTATGTTTCATAGGTTGTTAGAGCTTTTGATAGCTTGGCAGGTTCTGATCTAACTAACGGAATGAGACTTGGGGAAAGCGAGGTGTTTGACTCTGCGCAGCAATCTGAAGAAATAAGATTATTTCGGAGGATGGCATTTGGTAGTCAAAATTATAGCACAGACTTCTTTAGCCATGCTAGTTTGAATACATGAAAGGCCCCTGTACATACTGGAAGAGTTTCTTTTGGACCAAAGGATCTCAAGCTAAGTCAAGGGGAGACCCTGGTTGAGTTTGTTGGTTGCAGATATGGCTAGGTGCACTGTTGCTTTTGATTCTGGAATTGACTGCATCAGGTTCAGATCCTCATTCTTATGCCTGAATTTCATTATTCTTTTCACTAGCTGGTTTTCTGGCAGAAATTTTGTTTTTGTAATTAGAATTTGTAAAAAGTTTTATGCTCACAATGACAAAGATTAACATATTGATTGATTTGTCACAAAATGAGAAAATAGATGTGTGACTCCTTTTATGCCCTAAATATTCTCTTGACCAAGAAGTTACATGTTTTTTTATGTTATTTGGAATGGACATTGTTGAGACATCGGTTACATATATTTGCACTGATAATAGGTGACAGTTTAGAATGAGCTCCAAAAAACCTTTTTTCAATTGAAGGTATGAAAAATTTGCTACTGATCTGGTCAGTAACCAAAGTAATTATGGGACTAATTGGAATTTCTAAAACAAATATGATGGTTATGGACCATTGTGTTGAAGGAAATTATGTTTGAGATAACCTAGTACTGAAATTATAAAATTGAACATTTGTAGCTGAATTTAGTTTTACCATCTGCCCCGTGTCCTACCTTGGGACCAAGCACTCTTGTTGCTACCATAGAAACTGTTAAATTGACTGAATGATATGATATCTCTTAAGAAAACATGATTTTAGCTACTATAATATATATGGAAGCTGGTCAAATTGACTTGACAAATCAATCAATACTTTTATAATATTTTGTTATTTATTGGAATTTAGACTAAAGCTTTAGACACAGGACTTAAGTCTACTCATTCAATTCCGACGTGCTGTTGGTAGATGAGTCCATATAAAGTCTTGCTTCATGGGAAAGTCTTCTTTTCAGAGCGTGTTGGATCAAGCTTTCTAATTATTTAATTTTAAGAATGTTGTAATCATTTTAAGCATCAAGTGCAATGGCTGATATGGTAAAGAGAATTACTTTCTAGTTCCTTGAACAGAGCGTGCCTTTGTTAACTTTGAATGCAAGAATTGTTACCACAATCATGGGTTTCATCTTCTTTTCTTTTCCTAAAAGAATTATGTTTAAAACAATTACTATTGAGCTTATGCTTCTTAAAAATGTTAGCTTGTGTTGTGGATGAAAAGTATAGAGACTGATTGGTTCAGAAAATGTTTTTAACTTCTTCTTTTTTTTTTGCTTTTAATTACAAAATTGTCGTCCTATTTCATTTTGTTTTTTGTTTTCAAAGATTTGTACGTTAAAGCACTAAAAACATATTTCTATATTTTTATTATTTATTGTACAAATCTTTTAAACCAAGAAAAAGAATGAAAACAAAATGAAAGTTTTATAATTAAGGGGAAAAAAAAAAAACAAAACAAAACAAAACAAAACCCTTTTTTAAAAACAAACAGTCTCAGAAAATTTTTAACTCGCATTTGTTTAGTTTATGTCCTTGCTAACCAAACCCAGAAATCATATTTTAACTACCAGCTAAAAATGTTCTTGTTTATACATGCTTCTTTACAATGAAATGTATTCAAATCAAATCATCAGAATTCCATCCTTAATGGAATGTTGCATTGTCAGAGTGATCATGCAAGGCTTATTGTGCCAAGGAAAGGGAAAACAAAGAGGTTGAAAGTTACTGCTACTAAGAGAATCCCTTTTCTTCTCATTTAATTAAGGAGGTTGGTTTCAAAAAACAAATTAGAGACCCCTGTTTAGATTTGGCAAATATATTCAGATTATTTGTCGAGTTTAAAAGGGTTACATTAATATTAAATCATTATGTACTTCATCAATTGTACATTAGTTTCAGACCAGCCATTTTTTTTTTTTTAATTTAGTTTTACTCTGTTTCTATACATCATCAAAATTGTATATTGCACGTCTAGTTACTAACTGCAACTTGTGTTTGGATTTATGTTAAAAAAACATGTAAACATATATCTAACATAAAAATTATACCCTAAAAATACTAAAATAAACGTAAATCTTTTACTATTCAAATATAAATTTAAACACTCTACATAGCTTTAAAAGGCATGTGTTTGAAGCTCATAAATATGAAACCAAGCATGCATTATAAACATTTTGACAATTCAACCTTTTACTATGTTGCTTGGATTCTTTTCTTGCTGTCAAGATTTTGACAATATTGTAGCGTGTGGTAAATATGAATACATAATCTCGATGAATTTATACAATATGAATGGAAGATTCGCGAGTCTTGTTGAAAAAAACTAACGGTTGTGCTGATTACCTGACAAAAGCTAGACCTTGCAGAGGTCAAGTTGGAGCAATTAACTTTATGCTTCCAGATGCGTGAAATTGGGTTTGACATTCTTTGTGCGATTCTCAAATGTTCTGTTATGCCAGAGTTTAATTTTCTATTTTTCTTTCCCTTTTTCCTTTCAAATATAATTTCAAAGACATTAAACTCTTAACCGTCCTATCATATTTAATTCTTCATGACCCATCCATTTTATACGCAAACACATAACCAAACACAATTTATTGCCTTATTTTCGGCTCAAATTAAGACATACCTGATGAAATCATGCAATAAAGAGGTCGCTTGGGCCAAATTATGAACACTGCTGACCTTGTAGACTTTGAACATGTTACTAGGATGGCAAATTAAGCTTAACTTGTCTAAAATTTGGACTACACTATTACTAATTTTCATAATTGTTTTTCTTATTTTTTGTATTAATTTTGGTTGAATTATCTACTAGTCCATAAATTTGGCTAAGATTTCTAGCCCAATTTTTAAAATGGGTCGAAAAAAAAAACTTTTACAAAAGCTGAAACTATTGCAGAAAGTGAAAAGATCCTCCTACTGTGAAATGCAGTTCTTTCTTTAATCCATGCTTTTATACTAAATGAGCACTCAAAATGTGTATGGCAACTACTTGTTTTGTTTGGTGGCCGTTCCTTTCTTCAGAAGTAAAGTATTGTTTGGAATAGGTACCATGCTGTCTCAGGTAGCACGGGTATCTTGTCTTGGTATTATTAAGGCATGTGATCCACACCTTAGACAATTATTCCTCGAATTTTTCAGTAACATGGTCAGGGATGTTAAATGCTGATTCAGCTATCACAATATACACTTTGACACAAAGTTACAGAATTAACAATCACCTATTATTGCATATTGAATTTAAATCCTCTCTCATGTTATTATTATCTAACATGATATAATTATATTAGAATATCATTAATGGTGCAACTCATTCAAGTTGCACATGTAACTATTTTGTAAGTTTTTTGTGAGAATCACAGTAAAACATCACTTTATGCAACTTTAATTCATATAACTATAAACAACTCTACTTCTAATAATGCAACTCGATAAAATTATTTTATTTTAACTTAAAAGTTTGTTTCATTTCTATTTTTTGTTTCAAATCAATAAATAGAGAAAAATATATAATATGTTAAAATCTATTAATTCTTATTAAATAATTTATGAATAATTTTTTTCTGAATAAGTAATAAAAAATTTCCATTACTTAAGATAATACAAAATACATAACAATTTATAAAGAAAGCAACATTAAACAATCGTTATTTTGTTTTCAATTGTATGTATGTTTGAAAGTCGAGATGAGGACCATTAGATATTTCAGCTATTGAGATATATTGGGTTCTACTAGATAATATCCCATGTTTTATTGGGTTCTATTCACCATATATTGTACCTCATGATCCCTCACTTTATACACATTATTGAATACACTAGATTGGTTTAGACATCAATGTCATTATTTGAACATATATGTATCAAGATAATCATATAAACACTTTTAGGTTGCGTTTCAACGAGGTAATTAAAATTTTTAAATAATTTAAATTAAAAAATAAATTCCATTATATAAACTTCTATTATTTTAAAATATTTTATTTGGATGAAATAATTGAAATTCCTTCATTTTAAATTTTTTTATTTGGATAGAGTAATTAAATTACTTATATTCTTAAAAAAAATTAAAACTATCACTATAATTAACAAAATTAAATAAAAATTTGATTTAAATTATTAAATTAATAACTAAATAAAGACATAAATAAAACACACAATAAATGAAAAAAATAATTTCAAATTCTTGCTCTTTTACAAAGATTTACATTTCTTTAATTTTTGTCTATTAAAAATGCTCAATAAAATTCCTAAATTTTTAAAATTAAATATACAAACCACAAATTATACATAAAATTGTAAATTCTTTTAAATAGTAAATACTCACTTAAAATATCTCGTCTAAACACACTCTTATCAATACTTATCTCTTTCTAGAAAACTCTTCCCGTTCACTTCCTGTTCGATTAGGGTAACAAAGAGTTGAAATGTATTTTGCTACATGAATCCTTTTTTTTTAATGGGTTTTGCATGTATCTTAACCTTTTTTAGTTATTTCTGTTGCTGGTCAAAGATGTCTGGCCCATAATTTGAAGAGTGGAACCGTTGCTTACCCAAAAAATCGTTTCTTATTATTTTTGCCAGCTCAAGCAATTGTACTCGTGCAACTCCTTGACACAACGGTTCCATATTTTAAGAAATGAGGTTCATGAAACTCCATTAATGATGCTTTTGGAAAGAGAAAAACACAATTTTTAGCAGAGTGATTCATCTTGATTTATTGCCAGACCCACTAACTAATTATAACAAAAATTGTATCTTTTTCTCTTCAACATGACTATATCATGTTATTCAATATATGAGAAAATCTAATTTTTTGCATATTTGAGTTCTCTTTAAAGGAAGCCTTGTAATAATGTAAAATGTTACAAACCACACAAAATTTCCTAGCCATTAATTTTTAAAAAAAACATTTACAATTTTAAAACAAAATTTGAATGGTAATAATTTGCACAAGGAAAATGGAGAGAACTTGACTCCTTATGAACCACCAATCCATACCATGTATTTGGTTTCTCTGTTTTGGCATAAGTAGTGTACATAGTGGATGCCTACTCTAGAACACTGAATTGTGTGACCATGTCTGAGAGTCTGAAGTTTGCTCTTGATTGAAATTTCCTCTCCAGAGGAGTATCTGCTCATCCTTGAACAAAAGAGGGACACACGGCACTAAATCCTGCAGTAATAGGAACAAGGTTAAATGCTTAAGCACCACAAGTGCATTTTATCTTCAACATACGAAAACATTGCATTTTTTTATGATTCTACAGCATACCCTTAGCTTCACTCCAATCCTTTTGCAGTCACTTTTACCCACATGGGTACAGTCCAGTCTCACAACCTCCTCAGTCGTAAAAGCTTCCCTCACCCGCTCCACCACATTCACATAAACACCATTTCTAGCTGAATATTGAAATCAAATTTAGCATATGCACCAATGCAACACCACTTTAAACTGGATTAGGACAAAAAGGTAACCTTTAGTAAGCCTCTACTACCCAATAATTCACTTACTAAGTTTCATCAGAGGATGTGAGTTCAATCCCCTGTTTCTCATTTCTTTTGTTTCCTCATATGTCAAACCGTCAATTACATTCTTCACAAGCCTAGGATATATTGGTGCATAAGGCTTCCACAGCATAAGAGGAACAACTGGACGGTTCTTGGGATCATATTTTCGTCCTCTGTACAGAAGCAGTACATTAATGTTGCGGTAGATAATTTTCCCACCAGACTTGTCCTGCAGACACAGAAACACAAACATCAAGGGCAAAAGAAATGCATCCCGAGTGTATAGATCAGAATGATCGATCATTTTGCCAATGAAAGCACAAAACAATGAGGTTGACCTCAAGGTGGAAGCAAACATTGTCCATGTCAAGAGTTGGCACACCCAAGCACTTAATCCTCACAGCTTCAGCCTTCTTCCAATGGTTATGGATGTCATCCAACATGTTGTGAGTGACTCCCCCCTTCCCTAGCACAACACAAAGATCATTAACTAATTGCATAAGAAGTTAAGAACTCATCTGTGTAAAGTAATAAATTGGATTCCTCTAAATGCCATTTAGATAGAACAATGAAGAGATATAACTCCAAATTAGAAAATCAACATAATAAATTTTATTAGCTCTATAATTTGTTGTAAATTTAGGATATAGTTTATCAAATTTTTAGCACTTGATAATCACACATTCAAATGCTAAATCTCTGACTCAAATAAGTACACATTTGAAACACTTTCAACAGTTCAAAATCAATTCTATTAAAATCAAATGTGTGTGTTTGGGTGAGCATTTACATACTAAGCTTAAATAAACTTGATTTTATAAAATTGATTGATATATCATATTTGGAACTACAATTACACATGCTTTAAAATCACATTAACATAAAAGTCACAACTAGTAACATCGGAGTAAATGTGGATGCATGATCATCAAACATAAATCCAAACACTTAGTCTTAGAGTAGACTTAAAACAATGTAATTTATGTTAAGAAAACAATTCTTCTTAGAAGTTTATGATAAAATTTAGCATAAATTTTCCAGCCAAACGTAAAAGTTATAATTCATCACGTCTATTTGTGAGTTTAAAAATAAAACAATTTTAGTTCAGTATTAAAAGCCAGTAGACATTACCCATATAAAATTTCAACTCTGATTTGAAAACTGTACAAACAGTGTTTATAGTATTGCATCTAAGTTTTATTCTTGGTTAAACTCAAAAACAAAACTAACAACGGTCTTTTTGTTTCACAAAACCGAATTTAGAAAGTAAAATCAACAGTTATGCTCTATAAATGCAAATTTGCTCCTATGGTCCTTTTTTTTTTTTTCAAATTTGCAGGAATCAAAGCAAATTTACATCTATTCGTATGATTCTAGAAATGCAAATGTGTTTCTAAACACACGCTCTATCAAACTCTAAACCATATGTCCACTAAGTCAAATCAAAACATGCTCAAAAACTTCAATAAGCAAATAAACACCCTAATTAAGTGAAAACAAAAATTAGTTGAGAGAATTAGGAAGTACCTAAATTGATTTGCCTGGCACAGTCACTGTGACGGTAGCGTTCAACAAGCTCAGCCACCTCTTCCTTATTAAGCGGGGCTCCGAGGACCCGATTCCGCTCCTCTTCAACCCGATTCCGGTCCACGTTCTCCCGAACAGGAGCAGAAGTACCGCTCCATTTCCTGTCGAGCCGGCCCGGCCCAAACGGAGAGAACTTGGGCGATTCGCGGAAGCTGATGGGCCTTATGGAGGGGTCAGACTCCGAATAAGAATATCTGAAGTCGAAAGGAAGGTCCGATTTAAAAGGACCATTTGGGGCTCCATTTATATTCGGAGCTCCATTCTCTATGTTCCTCCTTTTCTCCTCTTTCTTCTTCGCTTTGTGGGGCTTTGGAGAGCGGGAAAACGGTGGATCGTATAAGTCGTCGTGCGCGAAATGACTGAGAAAACGACGGTGATAGAGTGGTAAACGACGCCTCCAAAAGAAGAAGAGGTGGTTCCGCATTCGGCAAACGGCTATGATTGAAGAAGTGAGAGTACCTTTGAATGATGGGAGTGAGAGTTACAATGTGTTATTGTCAAAATGTTATAACAATTACTTTACAAAATATTTATAATTTAAACATTCAATAATAAATTAGGCTCTGATAAAAAAAAAATGTTTCACGATTGCAAGACATAAGGCAACTTTTCAAAGTTTATATGAAAATTACTGATACTAGAAAATATTCCCGTGCGTTGCACGGTTTATTTTTTTATTAAATTAATTTATTTTAAAATATAAAATATATAATTTAAATATAAAAAATATATAAATATAATAAAAAATTTATTTATCAAAATAAATTATTATTTAAAATATGTATAATTTAGTATTTTTTAGCATAAAATAAAATAACATACAAATATTTTATTTTTAAAATGTAAAAATAAAATTTATATTATTTCATGATATCATAAATCATTTATTATTATAAAATTTTAAATAAATAATTATAACAATAAATTATTAAATATAATAAATTTGTTAATATATGTTATAAAATTTAAATAAAAGGTCTTATAATTTTTTATTTATATATTTGTTTATATTTATTGAATTAAATTTATAAGATAAACTATCTATTTATAATTATAATTTTAAATTATTAATAAAATTTTATTATATAATTATTAAAACATATCATATTTTTTAAAAATAACCTATTAGACTAATATATAAAAAATAAAGTATTTATTCATCCAATGTATGAAATTTTAAAAATCGTCTTTAAATATCAATATACACAAAACTATATATTAATATTTAAAAATAAAAAAATATTAAACTTTTTATATATAAATAAAATTATCATACAAAAATATTGTAAATAAAAATTAATAATCATATAATATATATACTGAATTTGAAAATTTACTTTTTGATAAAAAAAAATATGGAATTGAATTTTGTTTAAATAATTAAATTATTTTATATTTTTTGATAATTTAATAGAATTAATAATCATATAAGTAAGTACACATAAGAGTGACTTTATAAGTTTCAAATTTTAATATATAGAGTAATAAGTAAATGAAATCACATATACAAAAATAACTTTATACATTTCAAAATTTAATGCATAGGATAATAAATAAGTGTAGTCAATTTTACATATTTATAAGTTCTGAATTAATTCTTTAAATACAATTCATCAATTCTAATAAAAATTCTTTAAATACAATTCAAAAATAAATAAGTACAAATAAATATAATTTTAATTCATAAGTTATATGTTTTAAATTTTAATGCATAAAGTAATAAGTGAGTGCACATAAGAGTAACTTTATAAATTCTGAATTTTAATGCACAGAGTAATAAATAAATAAAATCACATATATAAAAATGACTTTATACATTTCAAAATTTAATGTATAAGGTAATAAGTAGGCGTTATATAACAAATTTTAGTAAAATTTTACAGCAAAATACCTGTTAAGACATTATTTCCACAACGACTGTTAAATAAACATAAAGTATTATTTTTAAATTATATAATGTATTGAATCTTATTTTTAATTGATTAATTTGTATTAAATCTCTTATTATTTTCTTATATTCATCACAAGTAATTATTTATTTTTATATTTCCATGATGTTGTAGGAGAACGACAAGTTTCAATGAAGATAAATGAATTTTTCTTAAGGATCTGAATTCAACAATAGATAAATGAAAAATAAAAGTGTGCATATCACGAATGTGATATTTAATTATAAAAAATATGAATATATGTATTATAGATAATATTTATATTTCCACATCAAGATCAATAAAGAATTATGTCAATATTAACATACCAGAAGTTACTCATTTTATAAATTCATTCAAGTATTGAAATTATTTAAAATCTCTGTTATATTAATTATTACTAATTATTTACTTTTTATTTTAACTACATTTTCAATTATTCATTATCACTTTGTTGAAGGGATTTTAATTATATGCATATTGCTTACAATGTTGATAATACAAGATCTACTATTTTTCATTAGTTAGAAAATTTAAAAAATATATCTAAAATCTTGACAATGGCAAAATCAAAGAGTCATATAGTAAATTTAATATCTCTTATACTTTATTCTTCTTATTGCAACATCTGAATTTGTAAGCAAATGTGTTAATTTCTAACTTTTTATAAATAAAATATATTAAAACATATAACTATTTTTATGTGATAATTTTTTTAAAGGTAATGGTGAAGTGTTAAAATTGCCTCCACAACTTTTAAAGATTATTAACACTTCACATATTGTTCAAATAAAAATGAGTACCTACTTTGAAAGTCATGAAAAATAAAGTTTCACTGCAAATAAAATTGTGAAGCCGATAATAAAGATAATATAGAAAATTAAATTAGAGTTTCATTACTTTCATTTATAATGTTTATAATACAATGATAAATAACTTTATTTTCATTATTTATATTTACAGATTGTAAAGGAAGAAGGAGTAGACAATATAAATGCAAAAAAAAAAGAAAATGATTTGGCAATAAGTTACTCACATATATCTCTAATCATAGAAACACCAAATTTACCAAAAAAAATGAGAAAACTAATGTAGAAATTATAAATTTATAATGTATTGTTTAAATTTATTAAATTAGTAATTTATATTTGATATTTTCTTTTAAATTATAACTTAAGGAAGACGAAGTAAAAAATTGTGAACAAAAAACAACAATAGAAGATTTAGAAGATTGAACCATTTTTATTGCAATATTGTATAAATACTTTTAATATTGTATAGAGTCTGAAAAATAAAATGTCACCAAACATTTAAATCTTTTATAAGGAAGAGGTGGCTGAGCTTGTTGAACGCTACTGTCACTGTGCCAGGCAAATCAATTTATGTACTTCCTAATTCTCTTAACTAATTTTTGTTTTCACTTAATTAGGGTGTTTATTTACTTATTGAGGTTTTTTAGCATGTTTTGATTTGACTTAGTGGACATATGGTTTAGAGTTTGATAGAGAGTGTGTTTAGAAACACATTTGCATTTCTAGAATCATATGAATAGATGTAAATTTGCTTTGATTCCTGCAAATTTGAAAAAAAAAAAAAAAAAAGAACCATAGGAGCAAATTTGTATTTATAGAGCATAACTGTTGATTTTACTTTCTAAATTCAATTTTGTGAAACAAAAGACCGTTGTTAGTTTTGTTTGAGTTTAACCAAGAATAAAACTTAGATGCAATACTATAAACATTGTTTATACAGATTTCAAATCAGAGTTGAAATTTTATATGGATAATGTCTACTGACTTTTAATACTGAACTAAAATTGTTTTATTTTTAAACTCACAAATAGACGTGATGAATTATAACTTTTATCGTTTGGTAGAAAAATTTATACTAAATTTTATCATAAACTTCTAAGAAGAATTGTTTTCTTAACATAAATTACATTGTTTTAAGTCTACTCTAAGACTAAGTGTTTGGATTTATGTTTGATGATCATGCATCCACATTTACTCCGATGTTTGGATCTATATATTTATGTAAAATTGACTGCACATACTTATTACTCTATGAATTAAATTTTGATGTGTAAAATTGACTGCACCTACTTATTACTCTATACATTAAATTTTAAAACGTTTAAAGTCATTTTTATATATGTGACTCCACCTATTTATTATTCTATGCATTAAAATTCAAAACCTATAAAGTCACTCTCATTGACTGTACTTACCTATTACTCTATGCATTAAATTTTGAAACGTATAAAGTCATTTTTATATAAGTAATTTCACTTACTTATTATTCTATACATTAAAATTCGGAACCTATACAGTCACTTTTATTAGTCACTCTTATTGACTACACTTACTTATTACTCTATACATTAAAATTTGAAATGCATAACTTACAAATTAAAATTATATTTTATCGCATTAAAATTCGGAACCTATAAAATCACTCTTATTAACGGTACTTACTTATTACTTTATGAATTAAAATTTGAAATGTATAACTTACGAATTGAAATTGTATTTTATCGCATTAAAATTCAGAACATATAAAGTCAGTCTTATTGACTGCACTTAATTTGGAATATGCAGTATCATGGACATATGTTATTCAGTCACAGTCAATTGAGAACACAAAATTGGTAGAAAATTCTCAGCAGACCAGTGTAGGTAGAAATTATCTTACCTTGAACTTACAGGAAAGTTGGCTGGCAAGGAAGATGAATCAGTCCTTCCAATGTCCCTAGTGGATGGCCCACCAATTGCACTGTTATTAACTGCACTAGTGCAGTTGCCAGCATGATACCTTTGCATTTCCCCTAATTATAACCGGCATACTGCCCTCAACATCAAACTCACAAGTATCCAAACTGCATCATTGAAAATGCATTGTGAAATTTCCAACCAGAGCAATTAAGCAAGCTAAAAAAGCCTAAAAACTGACAGGGGAAGAAAAAGGACACATAATTGAAGAAAGAATTAGATCAAATGACCTTAGGCATCAAATCTATGTGTTATTGAACTGCCTTCAATTCAACCACTACAAGATAAGCACTGAAATCCTAATACCCCAACAACTATATCACCCAACTTGAGACCCAATTTGTGGACCCCAAATGTGAGGCAGAGTGGTACTATTCTGACCTGTAACGCACAAATGGATAAAGAATTAAGAAAAAGATCCATAACATGCACCATAAGAACCATTAACTAACACCAAGAACACATCAGAAGAGTGCAACTCAAAGGCAATGTGCACACTCCAAAAAATAAAAAACATGTGAATGCTTCATTTAACCATGTTGACAGCTGGAGCAAACAAAAATTGAACAACTATACTTTCATGTTCTGAAACCGGTGTTGACACTAACCATGTCAAAGTCTTGATTTCAAAAAAAAGTGCAAGCATACAAAAGAAGTTAAACATTTTAAATATGCCCTTAAAAAGCATTTCCGATTCAAACTAATACAAACACAATCACAACCATTGTACAAGTGAATAAAATTACGAATATTGAGACAGCGTATAACCATGAAATTGG